CTGCCGCCTCCTGGCTACTGTCGGATCGAGTAGCCTTGTACAGAGTGTCCGATGCTTTCTGGCCGGCCTTCCGGATCCGAGCCCGCTCCTTTCGACCGGGAAGGGAGACGACGCCGTTTACGACCGAGGGCCTCGCTGGGCAGTCTGTGTGGCCGGCTTGGAAGGGGCCGCAGCAGTTGGGACACTGGGGCCTGGCCATGCAAGGTCCCGTTTCGTGTGAGTCGGAAGGTCTTCCGCAGTTGCTGCAAGTCGGTCGTCGTCCGCAGAACCGGTTGGCGTGGTAGCCCTGGCAGCCGGGGTCATGTCGGATGAGCGTCCTTCGTTTTTTGATGGGCAGAGATCTGCCGCTTTGGTTGAAGAGCCTGAAGGGCGTGACCTCTGATGTGAATGATATGAGCCAAGATATTTCGTTCGTGACTGGGTTGGGCCCAAGGCGGGACGGTCGAGCAAGGACAGGCTTCTGTCCTGTCTGTGCGAAGACCTCATCTTCAACGAGTGTGGCTGGGTCCAGGACGTCCCCGCCAATGCTGTGTAGTTTTGTTGGGCATCGCGGCACAACGTATGTGTGCCACTTGATAGGCGTCTCGACTTGGTGGGCGCCGAGGCATTCCGCCAGCTTTGCCTTACTTGTAAGTAGTCTTTCCTGTATTTGCTTGTTTCGCGGCTTCAGAGAGTAACCTGTGCTGATATGGTAGACGTGGGGAAGGTCCGCTAGCCCCAGGCCAACGGCCTTACAGACGATCTGTCGTACGGCGAACGGTGCGATCTTCCGAGCGGCCGCTAAGCTTTCTTCCGGGACGCGGGCAAAGATGCGGAGGTCCTCCTTCGGCTGCGCCTGCGGCTGATCCTCGGCGGGGAGTGTGGCCTTCGGGCGGGCAGAGCTCTGGCAGCTCTGGCCGCTCCGGGTCGCCGCAGTGGTGTTGCCCGCCATCGGTGCGACGACAGCCGCCCAACTCCGGGCCGCTATTGGGCTTGTCTCGTGATTGATCAGTCTCTTGAGGGTTTGAATGACATAGGCAGTGGCTTCTTTCGCGATCTGCTTTCTAGAACCGTCAAAGCTGGCGACAACGCTGTCGACGGACCGTGCAATGGTCAGAAAGACGTCTTTCCGTGCCTCGTACTGTCTAGCTTCTTCTGCAAGGGCTGTCAAGACGGACCCTGTGGCAGATCCGCTCGGAGCAGATGCGGTAGAGGCTGCGGGCCCCTCGGCCGAGGTAGGGGCGTCGGTGGTGGCATCAAGCTGGCTTCCCGTTAGGCTGGGCCGGGTCGGCTGTGCCTCGGCGTCGCGGCGTCGCTTAGCTCTTGAGGTGGGGTTCGGCTCCGGAGGTGTCCCGGAGCCTGGTTCGGGGTCGGCTTGGTCGGCCGACATCAGTCCGGTGCCCGACGGCGGCTGTGAGGCCATCGCGGATGCGGGCTCCGGCAAGGGGAGGTGAAGAGTTTTCGGCTGTTAGTAATTTGGTGGTAGGCTCACTCATTCACTAACAGCAGATGCCAAGAAAAATTAGGCGAGAGGGAAGTTGCCTGGGCGCTGAGTATCGCGGCAACTACTGGTAGGCTTTTTAACCCCGGCCTGCCCTAGACTTTTAGTCTAACCCATCTTGTCTAGGAACTGGCCGGCAGTTGGTGAGATCGATATCATGGAAAATATCAACAATCTTGACCGCGCTTATGCCGTCTTGCACTGCGGCACCCAGCCTGGCGGCGCTTGCAATGAGCCATCTGGCCTCAGCGGGTTTCGTTCTTGCCCTGGAAAGTCTTGTGCTGGTAACTTTCATACCTTCACCGTAGAGGTCGACAGATCCAAGTCTGTAGAAGCTCTTCGCTGGTATGTCGATGGCGTCCAGTTTCACCAGGTTCTTCAGTCACAAATGCCGGCCGCCACCTGGAAGGGGACTGTACAGAAGCCTCACTTCATTTTATTGAACATGGCTATTGGTGGATCCTTCCCGGATGCCATTTACGGGAAGAAGACACCTATCAGTACCACTTTGTCAGGCGGGACGTACGAGGTTGAATACGTTGCTGTTTATCACACTTGATTACTACTGTTCAAGGGTAGACTGCTTTACGATTCTCTTCAGGATTCTGCATCGTTGTTGGCTTTATTTTACTTTAGATTTAAGGATACCACAATAGATATTATTTCAGTGCTGAACGTGACTATTGCAAGATTACAGCCTTGTCCTTCTTGAGCTCTGCCCTCGGCCCCAACATTTGTTCGATGGCTATCTTATTTAGCGAATGAGCAACTCCGGGGGGGTTTATGTTGCCAATCAAATGCGTGTTCTGTCCTAGATACCAAATACCGACATGTGACTTGCTTCGTTCATTCGTTCTTGTCCATTCATCATGAGCAGTCATAGTGGTCTTGAAGCCGGCGTATCTCTAGACAATGAGCCACAGCTTGTAGAGGCTCCTGTTCACGGAGAAAACTGACTTTTCCGATTACAGATGCTGGTAGGAAGGATACATAGATCATAAAGTAATGCTGCGAAATGTATCATACTTTCCTCCATCGTGGCCTTAGTATGTATGCTCTGCTCGCGTCGTCATGTAAAGTCATATGCAATGACGTGTCGATCTTACCCAACCTCTACACACATTCTGCTATTACCGGGCACTTCTTTTACATTTGACATATGCTCACTTAAGCACCGGCTTATTTGAGCCGTTGTATCTGTCGTCTTCCTTACATGTACGGACCGTTGCCGCAATAACGTGTGACTCTGACCGTTGCAGGACGGTGTGAAGTCTGTCCACTAGCATAGGATATACACTGTGGTGAGAAGCGTCGATCCAGGCACTGCGGCTGTTCTATGACGACATGCTCGAGCGTGCACTCTGACGACGGATTGAGGTGACTAGTGACAGCAGCTTTCTTCTGACGACCCATCCCTGCCTCAACACCACTACCTTATCACAGCCATGCACTTGAGGAAATGTAGCCCACGGTCAAAAGCCATATTTTATCTCTATGTAAATCGCATGAGGCCAGTCAGCAACCACTTTGTGTCCAGCGATATCTTCAGTATGAAACGCACTGCGATAGCTGCAAATCTTTCCAGTGGAAGCAAAAATGTCAAGAAGCCACGGCCGGCGGTACCCGAATATCATTTGACGCCCTCGGTAAGGGGTCTTGATGGCCAAATCGTGTGGCCTGCGCCAGAGGACAAGCTAGAGGCGGCGAGATCCTTCATCCGCGAATGGTATGGTTGAGAAATCCATAGACCAGAACTACTAGGCTCGAATATGTTTCGAGTGGTGATTTCTCTCACTCTCATACTGACACTCTACTAGTGTTTCTGCCGGAAAGCCCACATTAATTGTCCCGGACAAGGACGCCGACGGCCTCACATCTGGGGCCATCTTGGAACGTACTCTTGTTCTTCTTGGCCTAGATCCATCTCTCATCACTGCGTACTTGCCCCCAAAAGGCCATAACATCCACGATGAAGCGTGCCGGGCAGAGATGACTTCTCTCAAGCCCACCTACATCTTCATACTAGACCAAGGCTCTCGTTCTTCACCACCTCTCATCGACGGCCCCCATCGGGGTATAGTCATTGATCATCATCACGCACTGACAAACGACCACCCAAAGGACGCGTTGCATGTCACAGCTTGCGACTCCCCTCCGGTGGCAACAAGCTCTCTACTCACGTACCTCATCTGCCGAAGTCTCCACGAGAGCGTGCCAGAAGCTTGCGACTGGCTTTGCGTCATGGGTACCCATGGAGACTTGGGGAATACCTTGAAGTGGGAGCCTCCGTTTCCCGACATGAAGTCCACGTTCAAAACGTACACCAAAAAGGCTCTCAACGACGCCGTATCACTCATCAATGCCCCCAGACGAACAGCCTCGTACGACGTTCCTTCGGCTTGGAAAGCCCTCCGTGCATCAAATTCTCCAAAGGAGCTGCTGAGCAACAACTCCCTGCTGGCCGCCAGAGCAGAGGTTAACGCCGAGGTCGAACGATGCACTCACACTCCTCCCAAGTTTTCCGCCGACGGCCGCATCGCCGTCTTCCGCATCAGCTCAGAGGCCCAAGTCCACCCCGTCATCGCCACACGCTGGGCGGGTCATCTATCATCCTCCAAGCTCGAGGTTGTGTTGATTGCCAACGAAGGATATCTGCCTGATATGGTCAACTTTTCATGTCGTGTCCCGCGCTGTGCTCGAGCCAAGGAGCCGCCAGTTAATATCATTGAGGTTTTGCAGGATGTCGCTGCTCGTGCCGAGGACACGACTTTGAGGGAGCGGCTAGGCGACTCATTTGCGAGGGGTCATAAGGAAGCTAGCGGCGGCATTGTTCCAAAAGCCGAGTTCGAGGAATTGATTGCTGTCTTGGGGATTGGCAAGAAAGTTGAACGAGAATCCCCCAAAAAGGGGCAGAAGCCAGGGCAGGCGAATACGTTGTTGAACTATTTTGGAAAGAGTTAGACATGACACAAGACTGAAAAACGTCTAGATTCCACCCACTGAATTTCTCAGGTTTCGCAAGGCAGATTTTTGTCTTGTGATTTTGTTTCTCGAAACTCTGGACTAACTACACCCCGTGCTGTCGCCTTCTGGAGTATCCTAGCGTAAAACCCCTTTTCGGATCACAAAACATAGTCTCCAAAGGCTTCCCAAGGTTTCCTGAGGCCGAAATTGCGTGTATTTCAATTATATGCCCGAGTGGCGGTCCTGTTGGCCCGAAAAAAGCCCATGTCTCTCCAAACGACGCAGGATACAAGGTCGTGGGTACTGTTTGTCCGGGGGCCAAATACATCGCAAACTGATTCGGCATGCCTTGTCTGGACCGATGATGATGAATGGGGGCCAGGGTTGGTCTGTATGGAAATCCATCCGCGCTTCCTACTGGTTGATCTCGGTCCTTCCGCCCCGGAAGGATTAATGTAATACAGCCGAGCTTCCACTCGCCCATGGCTGTCTTAGTCTCTGGTTCAAGGATAAGTAAGTTTTCTTGTCTGGCTTCGAGTCTAATTGAAATCCATATTTTAATATGGCCTCAATGCCACATTTTCATAATAGCAGTGGCTTTCATTGGCTTTATATTAAGTTGCATACCTGGGCTGTTGATGTGTGCCGCTGAATCATGGCCGTTGACCATCACGCAAGTCATTCCGCTGTTGAGAACAGCAAGACATCTTGTTCTGAATCACTATCATCATTATTTGAGCTGTAAGTATCGATTTCTGAGTCATATACCTGCTTGCGCAAGCAGTTCCTATTGCGTTGTACATTGTTTCGAGCATTCATCGTTCGCCCAAAATCAAGTCAAGTTTCGCAAACCCTGAATGTGGGTAAAGAGTTGAATGCACTTCACATTCAATCTCTAGTCATCTCCCAGTCGCAAAAGACATTGAATGAGGCTTGGTCAGGTTCGGTAGTGACAAGGTTGTCGCAATCCATCAACACCATTCAGGCAAGACTTGAGAAACCGGACTCAGCTCGCCTTCCGATTTTGAAGAGGCCCCACACGGACCACCGCCGGGGTGGATCCCTATTGCCGATCATGAGCGACGCTCGCTGCGCATCGTGCATCGGGATCGCCCGCAAGGATCATTCCACGTTCCCAGCGTTCTGCGTGCTGGGTTCACGGGGTGCGGGGCCCACAGTTTCCGGATCGCTGCATCCGGAGAACTTTCGCTGTTTCCGTTTCCAACTACGGCGATATCCCACTCAGCCTCACACACACACGCTTGGCTGTGCCTGAGCATTCGGGTCTGCATCAAAGTTGCAGATGGAGAAATTCATATAGCTGTCGTCCGTCGGATCTATCACGACCTACCTAGACGAACTACTCGCTTGAGGTCTGTAGACGACTGATTCAATTCGTTTACAACGGCTCACATGCGCAATGTTCATCACCATGAATAGGGAGTAGGCAAATGTACGCAACTCTTAGTCGCCGTGCGCTCAGCACGACGAGTGTTGTCAGATTCCGATCCCCGGGTATACCTATGCTTAATGATAATAATACAGTTACAAAGTATATGCTGAATGTCAACCAGCTCTGGGTCCTATTTGCGTCTTTGCCACTGTTCCTAATATGTTCCTGTGTTTCTTGCTTTTTCCTTCCTGTCTTTATGCAGTTGTTGTCTTCCTCGAAGTGAAGCGATGGCCCCAATCCCGAATTCTTTTGGAGAAACTCCTCTTCATAGGCGCGGGCTCGGGCACTTTTTCGAGGCCGCCCAAATCATCAGACTCGGCCGCATTGTCAGTGGTCACCGACTCGCCCCCGAGCTTTGTTTGACGGCGCTGCATGAAGGCGGCTCCTGACGAGAATGTCCTCTTGGGCGCAACCAATGCAGGCTGAGCCACTATTTGTTGCTGTACTAATGGTGGGGAGGAAATCCGATTCATTTCCGTCGTGGACACGGGGAAGGTTGATGCCCGACTCTGGCAGCTGCTGCCGCTAACAGTACGAGACTGTGCGGGTCGGGAGGTGCCCGGGAGAGGAGACGCTGCCGACGATGCCCAGCCTTGGCCATGGCGGAGGGATACCCATACGGAGGTTACGGTAATGAGGATTCGAGTCGCCTCATCCACAGGGTGAGTCTCTCGTTGTGTCGCGCCGTGGGATGCAGTCGGCAGCGATGGGATTTCCTTGTCGCCGCTCAAATCCATGCTGAATGGTCGTGTAGGGGGATATCGCCCAGAGGACTGTGAAACGGTGGTGTAGTTATCCAAGATTTCGAGGTTAGCCGGCGTCAAGGTTGCCATGACGGGGTGTCGACGAAGGTGTGGATCGAGGATGCTGAAAGTGAATTTATACTCTGAGGGAGCGGGGGTCGATACCGCGGTGCATGTGGCCGTGGACAGAGGTCGGGCATTACGTCTGGCCCATCTCGCAATCGTCGTCCGCCCAGCTTCATCAATGTGGACGAAATCGTACGATCCATTGCTTGTTTGAGTTGCCGTCCAAACTGAACCGTCCGCCAAAACAATCTCCGTCTGTTCGCCAGAATCCCTCCGCTCGCCCTCTTTTCGCGACGAGATCGGCGAGATGACGGCCACCAAGTCGCGCTTATCGAGATCTTTGTCGTCCGAGTCAGAGTCGTCGGCGTTGTTGTCGTAGTCTTCACTCTTGGCCAAGATGAGTCCATTCATGCCCAGCTGTCCCTTGACCCTGAACATCTTGGGAAAACGTCGTGCGAGGCGGGGAAGGATCACTGTCCCAGCGATCATGCTTGAGGGGACAACATCGATGGCGGGCATGGGCCGCTTGTCGCTGGATAGTTGTTGCAGTTGCAGGAGAAGTCGCGGCCGGATGGATACGAAGCGTCTCTGTTTCGTACGAAGCTTTGGAGGAGGGTAGGCCAGCATGTAGTTGGTGCATTGCCTTGCGGCTCGCCTTGACCTTTTGGATCTTTTTACAGTGCTTGTATCGCTGATCTCTGATACAAGACTGCCTTCATCTTCGCTCACGCCATCGAGACCATGTGTTTCCTCGCCTACAACGGTAGGTTCTTCCTCGAAGCGTACGACGAGGTCCTTTCTTTGGACGAAGTCAGATACCGGTCGGGTTCTGCGTACGGGGCGGGTAGCAGAAGCGGGCTCTTGTAATGAAAGGCGTCGGTTGACACGTTGTGTCGGCGTCTCGGTTTCATCGGTCGAGAATGATGATCGCTGAAGCGGTGATGCGCCCAGTGATGAGCGTAGGAGAATATGCCTGCGCGCAGGCTGGTTGCCGTTGGCAGTGGTCTTGTTGGAGTATTCGTGCCCATGCAGGCTTGCGCCAGAATGGAGAAACATGGTGGTAGTCTGGAATTTAGTGACACGGTGTTGATGAAATCATGGACGCGACCAGGGCGATAACCCACTCCAGCCAGCGTACGATGTCAAAGGACAATTGCGTTTCAATATTTCCCAATTGGAAATGCAGGTAGGAAAGCCGGTGTGGTTAAATCAGCCGACTAGGCGATGGTTGGATCGACTTATGCGAGGGGTATGAATCGGGCAAGCTCTCCACTTGCAGCTGGCCAAGGATGCTGATGCTGATGCTGGTAGCGGTGCAGTGCAGCTCGGGTCCTGGTGATTCCGTTCAAAGTGGTTTAATACCGCAAGGTGCGTTACACTGGCCTCGAAGTGTACTCGACGTGGGAATCGATCGCTACAGTGACTGGCAAGTCTGGTCGACACGGCGACAAGTATGGATGATTGCGGCAGAGGCGTTGGACGAGGCAGACAACAGAACAAAGAATAGAGAGAAATAGGGGACGTCGATGCTGGAGAGCAGGCTGTGGGAGGGAGTGAGGAGCCTACAAGTACATCATCTAGCGTCAGCCCAGAAACACCTTCTCTGATGAGGCTCAGGGAGCTATGCTGTATTCGACGGGGGTGCAGAACAGGAGGCTTTTGAATGGCTTGAGTGGCTTGACTCGTTCGTGGTCAGTGGCCCGAGGACCCAGTTGGCTTTGTGTGTCCGTGGGTGCGGGATGGGCTGAGCTGAGGTGACGAGGGCAAAGAGCAATGCAAGAGGCTTACCAGATACTTGAAAAGTAGCGTTCGGTGTCCAATGGGATCGTGTGAAGGCGAGAATAATTGTTGGTTGACCCAGGGTGCGTGTCTCGAGAAGGAGCAGCGGTGATGGAAATCCGCAAGTCGTGCCTTGCAGAAGAGAGGGGAAATCGATAACCGGTTACGCTGGAGGAACTGAGCTGAACAAATCGGGATTCGTTTACCGCGTGATGCCTGACTTTCCGAAGTTGATGCAAGTATAAGTTCGGGTCGTTGAGAAGCAAGGCCGCAGCGCAATGTCATTTGTCTCTCGTGAAAATCGTGGAGAAGATACGTTGAATATACCTAGTTAAACAAGAAGGAGACGGGAAAGGCTGGCGAGATATGCGGAAGGAGTTTGGCGAGAGGATCTCGGATGCAGGAGAGTGGTTGGAGAAAGAGCAAGGAGGAGTAGACGGCCACCAGGGTCTAGATGTATAGATGTAAGTTGATGGAAAGACGGATGCAAGAGCAGGGTAGCCCGAGGCAAGGGTCGAAGGGTAGCTCGGGGAGGCAAGCTCAGGTATCCGAAGAGCAGGTTGGAAAAGACGGTAAGGTGTGTGTGAACCCCGTTCGTTTGTGCCGGAATGCGAAGTGCCTTTACTGGGGGTAAGTAGGTGAGTAGGTACTTGACAAAGGCGAGGCGAGGCGAGGGTGTGAAGTGTTGTATTGGAGCCGATTTGCGAGGTGGGGAGATGGAGGGACGGAGCCGGAAAGGATGATATCAGGGCTCTTTTAATTTTGGCTTTCTCTCTCAGGTCTCTACCGAGTGTCGGAAGCGCTGTGGGGGGGGAGTACCTCAGGAGGGTAAGTGCTGATGGGGTGGTGGGTGTTTACTGTGAGTGAGTGGGTGTGGGCGTGCGAGTGCCGTCTTTTGTGGCGGCCGAGGGGAAGAGACGGGAGAAAGGTCGAAGCAGAAGAGAGGGGAGTCCCCGTCTTTCTTTGAGAAAACGCGATCGCAGACGCAGCGGGGACCTGGACTTGCAGGTGGAATGGTCGCCGTTTGTTTTGGTTTGGTTCTTGGTTCGGCGGACTACGTAAAGTATCCGTTCGCAATACAATTGTAGTACGTACACACTACCAGGTGCGAGGGTCGACGTTAGAGAAGAGGACAGGATAGGAGAGAAAGGATGTGTGTTGCCTCTGGGGCAATAACAGGGCGAGCCGGCCTGCCGTCGGTGAAGAGAAGGAGGACGGGAGGGACGGGGGGGCAAGGGGGCGCCGAGAGGTGAACGGAGATGGAAAATGTGCGAAAGAGAAAGAGGAAGAGAAAGGAAGGTCCGACGGGAGCAGAAGAAGAAGACAAAGTTGAAGAGGGGACTTGGAGTGGAATGGGAAAGAGAATGGTAGTTGCAAAGTACGGAAAGGGGTACGTATATTTGGGTGAGAGGACCGCAGCGGAGATATGTACCGAATACGTACCTTTTCTTCGGTTTGCATTCAATTCTCAGGAGGAAGTGACGATGTCCAAATGAACCTGGGCTGCCCAGAAAGAGCGCAAGCGGGGGGAAGGAACCTTAAGGACCCGAATCAAATTATGGGCAGGAGCGGTGGTGCTATTGCTCGGTACGGATACCTATGGATACAGCTACCTAGGTACTGGGCCACCTGCCCTGGGCCTGGGCGTGACGGGGCACTGAAGTGGGAGGCGAATTCCGGCTGTCTGTCTCTGTTATGAACTTGTGCAACCAAGTGCAAATTGGAAGCTATAGCCTACCTCCATAGGTACTTTGACCCGGCACAGTCAGTGAGGTAAGTCTGACATATGCGCTGCCAATGCTTCAGAAGTCTCATCTGACTCTTGGGGGAACAGCGGCACTTGTGGTCCCGCTTGGAAGTCATGAAGTGTACTTGCAACAAAGTACTTCCGCAAAGCCCCTCAAAGCGGAAATTCAGGGGAAGCATCGTGGAAGACCAGGAATGTTGGTAATTCGTAAAACCTCGCTGACTCCGGCAAACACTTTTTCAAACTACCTACCCCGTACGGAGACAGACACAAACCGTTGCCTCATGCCCCTTCGTGTGCTGAAATCCTGTGGGAACTTGAAAATTCTGCTGGCCATGGAAAGCCCCAATCAAGCTAAGCAAGCCAAGAAGCATCGAATGAACTCGTGGACATTGTCCGTTTCTTCGGCCTCTCTTTCTCGCAGCTCATCCATCTCCATCTCCATCTCCATCTCCATCTCACAATACAAGCCCCCGTCCATCGAACGACCGCTAAGAATGGAGCGCCCGCCAACGTGGCGACGGCGGCCATATAGCCAAACCCGTGCCGTAGTGCGAACCTGAAAGACCCCTCCTCCCTCTGGTTCCTCTCCTCTGCATCGTACTAAAGCACCCTGTTTAGCTGCCTCTGTCGTCGTCGTCGACGCGTAACTAGGTAGGTAGATGTTGCTTTGCGTTAGTAGTCAGCTTATTCATCGGCCCAGCCTGGCATGGTGGTTGTCGTCTGCCATGACGAGTTGACATCTAGCCCGGCCGTTTTGATATGGCGTCGCCTGGCCCAGTCTTTTGCGGAATGTGTTGTGCTATTTTATGCTGCAACTTCAGCCTGGCTTGCCAAAACTACCTTAGTACGGATTCACACAAACTGACAAGGAAGAATCGAAGCCCCACGACACTGACAAGGCACCGAATGCCGCCTCCACATCGTCTTTGCATCGGCTCGTCGGCGAACTGCGAGACCCTAGATCGGACGGGACGGGGTTCTCTCTCCGACCGCCTCTGAACGGGAGAGAGTCCTGACCTCGCAGCCTCAACCTATTTGCAGTCTGCTCTTTGCACCGCTTCTTCGTGGGGAAGGCGGGGCCAGCTCCAGATCAGTGCCAATGGCCACAAGCCTCCCTCTGAGTATCAGGTCCTTCTGTGCGTCTGTCTAGAAACCTGCCTTGCTTCTTTGCTGAAATGCTATACCCAGAGAACAATCCTCTTGCATCTGTGTTGCACAGAGGATGACAGACAGCAAACTGTGTTTGTGTTTGCGTAGTGTTTGATTGGTGTCGCCGGTGAGGGCTGGACCTCCAGAGATGGGTGGTTGCGCGAAATCTTCAGCCTTTCGAGTTTCCCCTCGTCTGAGGCTTGCCGCAAGAACTATCGGTCTCATCACATAACTTTGCCTGTAAAACACGGCTGCCGAGGGGAAGGTGCCCGGAAGGGTGTTTACAACCGCGTCGTCTAGTTTCTCGTCAAGCCAACCGGGGACCACCATGGTAGTGCAGCTATATTCAGCTGGCTCCAGTACCAATTCCGCGTCTCCTTCCCCCCTCCCGCCGCGGGAAGGGTTATCCCGAGTCCAGCCAAATGAACTGTGGGCTTGCTGGTGTACCTCCTGACTGGGGAAGCCAGGCGAACCAACACATCGGAAATCGTCAATGTGCCTTCGATTCGCAAGGCGTCGGTAAGAAGGGCGGCGAAGAAACACCCCCGAATCCAACTCCGTTCATCCATCATCCGTCCATCTCACAGTAAGAGAGCCGGACTCCTCTCAATCCCGTTGAATAAGAAGACGGTAGATGCTCCATATGTCAGGCCACTTTGAGAGACCTCAAAGGCGCCGGCTTCCAGGGCACATTGCTGCTGTCAGTCAGATGTTCCCTCCAAGACAGACCATCTGTTTCACTGGAGCTCAGTCTGCCGCTGCGATCGGGCGCTAGGCCAGTTAAGAACAGACACACGCCAGCTGCAGTCTCGCGTGGGTGAGGTGTGGTGGATTCGTGCTTGGATTGGATAGACGGCTAACTCGGGTCTCCCTTGCAAGCTCACCTGGCAGGGTACGAGGGTTCATCTTCCCTCCCCCGAAAGGGGATGCCCACATGCCACAGGACTGGGCATCCCAAGATGCGCAAGCCGTATGTGCAGCTGTCTGTGCGTCCAGGAGGGAAGATGGGTAAAATCCTTCTTATTCTCCTTCTTCTTGTGCTGGTTCATCACTGCGCAACTGCCACAGGGATCGGGGTTTCATTGTGGCGGTTGAAGCACACCCATTGGAGCATCTCACAAATATCAACCGTAACAAATGCTCGGCCTGTGTTATCCAAGCTTAGCAGTCGTTGTTTTGGGCCGGGGTCGACAAGACCACCCAGAAGTAGGGACGGATTGCGGAAGACGGGCGCCGTCACTGATGAAGGGTTAGCCTTTCTGCGCGGTCGCAGTCACGGCGTGAGACGTCTCGAGCCGATGGAAGCCCTAGATCAGACCGTCCCACGAATCCACGATAGGCGTCCGCACCTTCTGCACCTACTGCACCTGACGAACTCTGAACGCACGCCGAGGCTGCTCTAGCCGTGACACGTTGCAGGCCGACTGTTGTTGCTCAGAAGCAATCATGTCGAGTGGATGGCATGTGGAAGTCTGTTTGTTTCGTTTCCAGCGCTTGTTTCGCGCCATCGTAACCAAAGTTTCTCGGTGTTGTAGCCCAGAAACAAGAACTATCCGCAACGCCTAATAAGTGCACTTATTGTGTCTTTTGGACCCATCGAGCTCGGCTGGTTGGGGCCGTCTAAATGACAATTGTCTAGCCACGCTGTACCTGCACTTGGGCCATGACGTGTTGGGCGAGATGGCTGTTGGTGTCCCCGGACGGCAAAGCTGGTTTAGGTGGTCAAGATCACCTCTGACGCTCTAGCGCTCTGGTTCTTGAATCTCGTCTTTCGACTGCACTGAATAAGTTGACTAGATAGGAGGAACTGATGCGGCGAATTGTCTTGCCAATGTTGCACCAAGGAAAATAGCCGGGACAGGTTCAGATGCCTAGTTCGTGCCTAGATAGATCATAGACAAACAAGAGGGACAGCTTGGCTCGACTAGGTAGGTAGATACCGGTATTGCTGCATCCTGCGAGATGGTAAAGGCGCATGGCAGTCTCGGATTTGGGTCTGCAAGATTGGCGGCGGTGCTTCAGTGTTGATTGATTCGTTCAGTCGTCGAACGAGATGGCGCGATGCAACACCAACGCCTCTATATCGATCGTCGAGTAGCAACAGTCCATTCCAAGACAATTCAAGATATGGAATAGCGGTGAGATCCAAAATCCCAGGATACATAGCTACCGTACCTATTCGGGCATTGTCTCCTTCGAGTGCCCAAAGGACGTCCTGTATGTTTGGAAGGAGCAGTGTGAGTTCCCCGCATCGACATCATAAAGCTGTGTGACGGTTGCGAGATTGTCGCCGGCAGAGTTGCAAATCGGCCCAGGCATCAATGGGTCGGGCGGTGATGGGCATGACGATCACTGAAGCCGGTGCTCAGCGGCCAGCCCAGCGATTGGATCCTTCGCTATTACCTCACTCGAGATTGCGGATGATGCTCCATGTCATCGTTGGCTTCCGCAAGCGAGTGCGGCTGTAAGGTAAGGTCAGCACCAGGCACAACGTACCGCCATGATCTCCATTCCCCGGTACGAGAACCTGGGGTCACTTGACAACATCAGCGCCCTATTGCAGAGGGATTGGTGTCACGAAGCCAAGGTCCCAGATAAGGTATTCGGAGCTCCTTGGCTGCCACAGTGCAAACCCCAAGCTGTGATACCTGACCACCTTGGACTGAGCAGCATGCGTCCTTACGCAGTCGATGTTGCTGTAGAGAGGACTGTGTGGCTTGCAGTGCCCTGTAGCTTCTTCTAAGTGCCCGCCCTATGAGAATATCATTACCGTACCTTACTATGAAGTACCTAGGCAAGGCTTGCTATCTGAACGGGCACGAATGCAGTCAACAAGGAAATGAAGGTCAGGGGTCCAGACGCAACAGCCAATCCGGTGGCTGCCAGCGATGCCGAACGGACGCGGGTTGACAGTCTGGTGACAGTTTCTCAAGGGCGAAGGGTCCTCCTGGGTGCGAAGCTTAGAGGAAAAGTCGGAGACTGGCTGTGTCTGTTGGTGGTGTCAGCAGCAACGTTCAGGGCCGCCCGTATTAGAGTTGAGCACTATTCTCCCAGAGGTCAGACGAAGACACCTGAACGTGCTGGATCTGAGAACAAGATTGGAGGGGTTCGTCATCCTGCTGTGTTTTGTCGTAGGTATCCGTAGTGAGTTCTGTGCTTGAAGGGCGCAGGGGAAGCCATGTGAAACAAAGCAAACAACAACTTCTCAGCCTCTCAACCTTCCCTTTGGCCGCCACAGGCCAAGTCCCAGCTCCGGGTGCTCACGGCCGGTTCCGGCTGCGAATTGCCTGTTGTGGTGGGCTTATGTAAATGCAAGGCGCACATGACTTTCAGCTTCGGCTCGCAAACTGGATGGAACGTTCACGTAATCTGCTCTACCCAAAGTACCTTGGTATCTCATAGTGAAATCCAACTTTTGGAATGACCCGACCTGCCTGTACTTCCTCGAAGAAGCCGTGCGAGACTGCGAGCCTAAGTGAGAAAGGAAGCGAGGACGGCACGACGGGAAAGGGTTAAGGAAAGCGAGGGCGGAGGAACGGCGCAGTGGTGCTTTCCGCTCCGATGCCGATCTGCCAATGAGCCGGGGCCGACCTGCCTTGCTGGACGGAATGTCACCTTCCCACCTTCTTTCCCAATTTTGGTTCTTTCCCACAACAAACATGTCACCATGTCACCATGTCACCTTTGGATGTCAACCTCCAATCTGTCAGGCACATCCTCATAGCCCTATTCCTCCGTAACACCGAAGCAGTTACAGATACGCACCTTATGCAGATGCGCCTGATACATTTCAGGGTATGTAGATGTGAATGATGGTCTTAGTCACATGCATCTTGTCCCCTTCCCTTCCCTTTCCTTTTCCTTTCCCTGCGTAAGCAACTAAAGGTGAGGTAATGCCTAACTTGCATTTGCACATGCTTCAAGCCGCCACCCATCTAAACGACCACTCAACTTGTGAAAGCGTGGGCTGGGTCGGTTGAATCTTGGTAAACCTAACGTCGAGTGACAAAAAAGGAATCTGGACCAGCCGCCAGCCCGCCCACCTCCACCCGTCTGCATACCGTGCCGGCTGGAGTGCAGCGGATCTACCGGGACTTGGCTCATTGGACAAATTTGAGCCTTTTCCAACCCAACCTAAGTCATTGAAAACAATGCTGGTGGCTGCTCGTCTGCATCCATGGCCGGGTCTTTTTCCTGTTGGACCCTCGTCCAGTCACTTCGGTCTGCACGATGGATCGATGGCTGCATGTTCATGCCTACCTAGTACTCCGTCTTGGGCGTACTGAGACCACCTTCAGTCCGCATATGGCGGTAAGCAGATGCAGCAACAACAGATAACTGATAGATTAGATAAGTAGACATCAGATCAAGGAGACAGGCCAGTATCTAGCCAGCCTCATCCTCCCTTGAACCAATGGCCCGGCACATGCAAGGTCGGTCTTGGCACGCATCCCGCTGCCATACCTGGACTGGGCTGTGTAGGCTTTTGAGCAATGAGCGTCTACTACTCCGTACGGACGAGGTGCTCTTCATTTTACTCTTGTCAAGCTGGAATGCACTCGATGGAAACTCGGGGGAGGAGAAACACGGGGCGGCAAATTCAGGGGATGAAGCTCTCCTGTAAGAGGTTCCAACTTCCCCCATTGCCCACGGGTGGCCCTGGACGAGCCCTGGACGAGCCCTGTTCAGTGGAACCTGGTCCGAGACTTCGCCACACCTTCATCGCACACTGATCCTGATGCGGCCAAAGTCCACCAAACTTGTGCTCACTGCGGCGTGGGCTGAGCGGTCTGCTCCCTTCAAGGAGCTTTCTAAGCGGGCTCTCCGCTGTTCAATGCCCTGGAGCCCTGGACTACACACCGGCTCTCCACTGCTGCGGAGAGGAGCACAGGTGGTAAAGGAGGCTGGAATCGAAGGGGGGGGGGCACTGGGTTCCGCTAATTGCAATCCTGGTAACCAGGTACGGGCGACATGGTCTTGGAGTTTTGACTCCCGGTCCATCTTCAAGCCTTGATAGCCAGGTGGACACTGGCATCCGCAATCAACGGCGGCTCGTCCCATGGAGACGGGTGCTTGGAACGCTTCGAGAAGAAAAGAAAAAAACAGAAAGGGCTGAAAAAATGGAGGAAGAAATTTTCGTCTCGCCCACATCGTCAACATTTAGATCGGATCGAGACCCGCTCGCATTGTACTGACCCCGAACTCCGCCTCGGCGGGATGTCTTCTTAGGTTCTCCGTAAAGTCTTTCGAATGGAAGATACAGGATTGCCTACCTAAGGTATCCGGCCCTAGGTTCGCTCCTACCTAGTCAGTGGTGTAATTAGCCAAAGCATCAATGCTGAACAGAGAGAAGAAAGGAAAAAGCAATTCGAACCCAAAGGGGGGTTCAATGGTCTGTGCGTTCTCGTCGCACACCGAGTCACCGATGACCGGCTGCTCACCGAGGTCACTCGGCGATTGCAATTGGCCACAGTTGCTTCCGTCCGTCCCGGCGCGGCTAAAGCTCTCACTCCATTCAACCTCGCCTCAAGTCCTCTCGTCCAACGTGACAAACGGCAGCGTCAAGGTAAAGGCAACGCCAGCCAAGGGTTCATCCACAACTACCACTACCACCACTGCAGTCAAACTTTGTCTTTCCTCTCAGAGTTTCCCTGTAGTGGAGCTCTTGCCACTCCTTTTATCCGTTGTCAGCTTGTGGTTGTTACAAATCCCGCCGCCTTGGCACTTCGCGGACCTTCACTCGCGCCCGGAATCGCGGCATCTCCCGCTCCTCGACCTCATCTCGACTTTGCCCGACGTCATCACAATCATGTTCTCCCGCCATGACTCTCAACCCCGTCAGACTTTGATCACCGCTTTCATTGCCTGGAAGGCCCTCCTACTGGCCATCGCCCTCGGCAGCGCTGTGGCGCCATCTTACGATACTTCGACGACGTTGATGCTCCAGCGTAATGAGTCCGACATCTCTCTCGTCACCCGCCTGACGCGCTGGGACGCTCTCTACTTCACTCAGTCCGCCAGACGTGGCTACGTGTTCGAGCAGGAGTGGGCTTTTAACGCTGGTCTGCCTCTCGTCGTCTCGGGCCTGATCCGGGTCGCGCGCCTGTTTGGCTTCGAGGGCGATGGGACCGGCGCACTAGAAGCTGCCTTCAGCATCGTGGTCGCTCATGTAGCCCATCTATTCGCCGCTCTCATGCTGTACGAGTTGACCATCAAGCTCTTTTCTCGACCTCGATTGGCATTTCTGTCCACCTTGCTGCACATCTTGTCTCCGGCTGGCCTATTCCTCTCGGCACCCTACGCAGAGAGTCTTTGCGCCTTCTTCTCTTTCGCCGGCTACTACGTCCTCGCATCGGCATCAACCTCCACCAAGGGGTCGATTTCATGGGTCACAGCTCAGGTCCTGGCCGGCGCCATCTTTGGTCTCGCGACGGCCTCTCGGTCAAACGGCCTCCTAAACGGCCTCCCCTTCGCCGTCGAGTGTCTAATGATCCTACCCCCGCTGCTGGCCAGCCCTACGAGCTTGAACAACATTGCGGCTCTGTTTGGTTCTGTCACAGGCGGGCTCCTCGTGGCAACGGGGTCCGTTGTACCACAAGCGCTTGCTTGGCTGCGATACTGTTCCGGCGCATCCGAGGCGCGCGCATGGTGTCAGCGGACCGTGCCCAGCATCTATTCTTTTGTACAGGAACATTACTGGTATGTACTCCTCGCGCTTCACCGTCATTTTCTCTCTTTGAGAGATGAAAATTCCTCTCCAGCCCTACACTAGCCATGGGTCTGTTTATCGTTGGGTCACCCCCCTTCCTCCCTGCTTCTCTCCCTCGGGCCCCTTCAAGTGCTTGAGTCGGTACTTGCGGAGATTTGAGGTGGGATCTGGGTTTTGTGGGATCGTGAATGTCACTTGGTTCCTTTAGATTCTGTTCTCGCTTGCTAATCTTGGACCACGCAGGGGCGTTGGCTTGTTCCGTTATTGGACGCTATCGAACGTTCCTCTGTTCATTCTTGCCGCGCCGGTGCTGGGACTGCTCATGGTGTCCGGGTGGGAGGTCATCAACAGGCCTTCGGGGTTGGCGCGGAGTCCGACGGCGGAGAAGCAGCAGCAAGGGCAGAGTGGCACGACGTCGGTTTTGGTGGGCTCCATGGCCGCTGCCCAACTCCTGCTTGCCGCCTTGGCGATCACGACGTACCATGTCCAGATCATCACTAGGATCGCCTCCGGGTATGCGGTGTGGTACTGGTGGGTTGCCGGCTGTCTGCTGGACGACGGCGCCAACGGCAAGAGACGGGACATTGGCGGCAAAGTTGTCATGTTTTCGGTAATGTACGCCATGATTCAGGGTGTATTGTTTGCGTCGTTTCTACCGCCTGCGTGAGATACCCCGGGTTCTGCCGCTGCGGCGCATGGATCTCGGTTCAACCTGTTCATCATGTTGAATAAACTTTTCTTCTGACATCGAGTCCCATGACGGGGGGACCTTCTGATTCCAACGCCATTCACTGGATATGGGATGATGACCAAGAATGTCGGCTACTTCGGATAGCCTAGAAAGCTCATGGACCCTTATCTGGACCCTGGCTTTTGCTGGCAGGTAAGCCAAGCAAACCTAAAGCCTTGTGCATGAGGTGTAGTCGAAGCAATGTGACTCAAGCATGAAGAGTGATGTCATGCTTCCCAAGGTCGGTTGACGTCTCTATCATGTTCATGCCATCTATATACCCACAACGTTTGTGTTCCAGGGAAGCTCAGGGTCTATGATCGTGATGAAAGGCTGATATGGGACGACTACCGATGACTACTCCATCATCCAACTGACCCAAGTCACGGGGCACCTTGCGATGGCTTAATCTGTTTTTGTGCCTCTTTCTAGCATCAAAGTAAGTACGAGAGAAGGACTGCAGACTCCAGTAGGGGTGACCTCCTGACTATGCTTCAATCGTAGCCTATTGAAATGCTCTGAAATCATCAGTTGTGAACACATAATTCTCAGTCTACTTTTTGGAAAGTTCCGAGTCGATGGTCCATCGATCAAATGATCTAAGCAAGTCTTAGTTGAGAATACAGCACAACATTAGTTGTGATGATCTACACAGATTGGATTCCACAGGCTTGATATTTGGGCTGGATGCCTTGGTGTTGAAATGCAGCGTACCTCCGACGGCATGGCGAATATCGTGGAACCTCACACACTCTTCAAGAAAGGAGTTTCGGCATTGTAATTTGTAGCTGTTCGTTCTTCATTCGACTTGTTGAGCAACAACTTATCACAATCACAAAATAACAAGTAGGGAACAAAGCCTCTTGTGCGTAGTTCATTTTATTCCTGACCTAGATGTTCATTCTGGGCAGAAGAACGATAAAAACACGATAATTATTATATCCCGATGGCGTTTTCATGATTACTAGGCATAATCAGCATGGGTTCATTCGCTCTTGAAACTGAGAAAGAACAGGAACTTATAAGCCCCCATCCATGAGCGTGCGTTGCCATATCTCCAGCCCTCGACTCTCTCCAGTGCTCATCTCCTAGCTGAGACTCGGATCGATGACGGTCATCTGTGATTTTAGATGCATCCTCTAACAGAAAAATGGTTACTACATATGTGTGAACAATATGAACGAGGCGAGCAGTGCATATGCTAACAGAAAAGCTGTTCTCATGAGATCTGGTTAGGTCCAATGACAACCCCTCTACTGAAGAGCCTTTTTCTTAAGCAGTATGAGGTACGCTGAGGTGCGAGAAACCCTCTCCGTCTTGAAGGTAAATTATTTTCCCAAGCGAGCTTTCTTGCGCTCGATATCACGGTCTCGGCGGAGGACGTCATCGAATTGGTGGGCTTCCAGCCAAAGGGGCAGGGAAAAGGACGTGGAATCGATAAGGGGATCAGCCTGGCCGACGACGAATTTGATAATTCGGATATCCTCGTCATCCTCACTGACCGCTGCGTTGTTGCAGAAAATGTACTTGGAACGGTCAGCAACGTAACCTTCGGTACGCGCCAAATAGTTTACCACCGCTTGGTATCGATAAACAGGATTGAAGAAGCCTGTCATCTGAAGGAAGATGCAAAGCTCGTTACCGGTCATGGGAAGAACCTGCTGATGATTGCCAACGACCAGGCGAATAGCGAAGGCGATACGCTGTTTGGGATCGTTGACTACGGAGTTGATGACCTCGTACTTGAAGCCGTCGGGATTCTGACGAGAGTAGCATACGACGGAGGCGCCGAAGTGATCAGGGAGCGGTCCTGGGAATTGCAAAGCGCCGTGCCAGATGAAGCATTTCTCAACTTCCCACTTGACCTTGGCTTTGGCGCAGTTGGTAATCACGTACGCAAAGTCAGAGGTTGGTGTGGTTGGGTAAGGGTAGAGAGAGCCTGGGGTGGCCATTGTTCCTCTGTGTGAGGATGCCGTATTGAATGAGGAGAAGGTATGTATGTTTTCTTGGGTTGGTGATGGAAGGAGCCTGCCTCAATTTCAGAAGGCGAAAAGATTTGTCAAGAGGTGTTCAAAAGAGGCGTGTATTCATTAGGGCTTAAAATGCCTCACTACCTTATCTCATCGGTGTATATATTCACCTACGTATACGTGCGTGCGCGATATTTCAGAAGTCATCGTCTTCGAGCTGGGCTACTGATTTCACTGTCTGTATTGACACAAGGTTCATTGTCCGACTTTAGAAGGCCATGAGCATATGGAACACCAACAACAAACAGCTGAATGTACATGTACTTTTATCATTGGTCTTAAAGCTACTATCTAAAGATACAGGAAGGCCTGATGATGAAGGCTGAGGGTATAGGGTCTAAAGTAGGTATGAGTAGGTCATTAGCAAGACGAGTAGGCTCTAAAGTTGCCACACCGTCTTCATTAGGATTAAATGTGAACCTGAAAGTAGTGTCCACAGACAACGGACACTTTGTGAAACACATCGCTTAGTCGCTGTCCTCGTCCCGGCCTGGCCAAACGAGCTTTCTCCTGATGACGGCACGGGCACAGCAAAAGCCAACGAACAGCCAAACGGCGACCAGCGCAAGGGTGAACACCGTGGCTAACCACAACAAGCCCTCGTTGCCGAAAGCCTCGCCTATGCGGATGGTGGCAATGGTGAAGCCGACGTTGGGGAATACGAAACTCCACCAACTGAGGTGGAAGGAGTGATCAGGCATGCCGAACATTGTAGAGAGACAGGCGGAAGAGAAGAACCAGAACGACAGGCCCCACAGGAAGACGGCGGTAAAGAGAGCCACGGCCCTTACGGCGAAAGCGACGGTGCCTGGATTCTCCATGCCGTACAGGTAAGCCGCTTCGCGGAGGGAATCGGAGATGATGGATCCCTCGGAGGCGATGAGCCGGGGCACGTTGGCGCCCATGGCTACCAAGGCTGCAGCGGTGAAACTCGGCGGTCCGACTGCGATAAACATACCGGGGCGTTGGACCGGGAGACCAATGGTCATGAGCCTGGACAAATACGTCGCGTACATGAAAGCCGAGACGAGGAAGCCCAGCCCCTGAGCCGCGAGACCTGCGCCCAGCATAGCAGCGGCTTGATTTGGCGGCTGCGAGGAGGCCATGAAGCCAGCTAGCGTACCTGACAGCATGACGGGAAAGATGGGCAGAATCCAGGCCGGAGTCATGCTATCTAGTGACAGTCTTCTGCGGCCGGTGAAGAGGAGGTGGTACATGCCGACGGAGGCGAAGAAGGTGACCACGAGGTAGATCCAGAAGCACACTCTCAAGGTGACGATGAGCCATGGACCACATTTCGGAACAGCGTAGTGTTGAATATTGGAAAGGGCGGCAGCGATGGATAGGAAGAAGGTCGGGATGAAGAGCGATTCTGAAGGGTGCGTGATAGCTTTTGCTGGCGTCTTTCGGAAGAAGGTAAAGCGGAGGCAAAGGGCCAACGTGATGAGGAAGATGAGAACGATGTCGAGGAGGAAGACAACAAGGCCTATCGTGTCGAGACCGGGGAAGCGGTGCGGAGTCTCAGCGAGGAGGAGGGCGATGCCGCCTGTTGACATGCTGTGTGGGAGGTGTCAGTGAAGGGTTTTAGGCCGGTAAGCCAGCGTGGGAAGCCTTCGGCTCGGGACGCGGCATAAGACATACGTTAGGGTGTACCATGCAAAAGTGAAATGATGGATGCGTTCGCGCAGAGAGACCTTTTCCAGAAGGGTGTTGGTTCTGCTCTTTGTGCGGGAGAGGGTGGCCATGAGGGCATTCTGAGGCGGCTCGTCTGAGATTTGGCCCTCGTCCCTGGTCCGGGTCGAGGCCTTGGAGACGACATCTGCGATATTGTGTGAGTACATAAGACAGAGTATGAGAGTGAAAGAATCGGACTGACTTGAGGGTTCGTCGGCGGCAGCCATTATGATGGACTTGACATGAGTCAAATGAGTCTTGTGAGTTTCTCTTGATGAGATTGATGAATTGTGAGAATCGACTGATTGTTTCTTTGATGCAACTTTTGGACGCGATTCCTTGTTCGAGGTTCCTGGCGCTCGGTTGATCGACGTCACTGTACTTTAGCAACCGATGGGGATGGCTCTACATTAAATTTAGAGTCTGCAGCAGATGAGTCAGCCAACCTTTGCTGTGGTTCCAGCCTACGGGTCACGCCAACGTGTCGGTACTGGAGTGATGAGAAAAGGGGGCGGTCGTATGATTTGAGTATTTTTGGGCTTTTGTTCCTGGGATTCAAACCGGCTGGTCACTGCTCGGCGGGAATAACGAACCATACGTAAGGCAAGAGAGGATGAACAGCGGTCTGGAAAATTCTTGATCGGCAGGGCCGAATTGAGGCCGGGCAACGGTTCGATACGGAGGCGGCGAGCTAGGAAGGTACTGCCGGCGTGGCGCCGTGCCATCGGGTCTTGGGGGTCTTGGACGGACGGGGGCAAGGGTGCATTCCAACGATTTCTTAGGGAATAGACCGATATCGTCGTGTGTATATCTCAGCTCTGAAATGAGGAGACTAAGAGGGGATGGTCTCATCTCATCTTTGGTACCAGTAGAGACATTGCCTTTTTCTCAGTCTCCCATCACGAATGGCCGTCCATAGATGTGAAGTAAGTATAGTAGGTACTAGGTTGTCCGTCTTTGAAGACCACGTGAGTTGGGACGTTCCTCGCATGAACAGCCTTAACCTTGAGTGTTGGCAGAGGCGAAATTGTCATGCAGGGGCATAGTGGTCATCGAATGCTTAAAATCTGGAGAATTCGGCATTTCTCGTGACTTGATCAACAAGGGACGATAATCGACCGGACACATTGTGCCTGCTCAGCTCCTAGACCCTGAAGGCTGAGGGAGCGGCAGCAAGATCTTGACGCGCATGCTGGAAATCTTGTCCCACGGAAATTGTCGCGTGGATAGGGCTAAGGAATGGATGTGTCCAGGCCCTGAATTGATGGTTTGCAGGACGCAGGCAGACGAGACACATCGCAGCCGCCAATCCATGTGACAGAGTTCAGACGCAAAATTGGAATCAATCACTGTGAGAGTGAAACACGGCTGCTTCTGGTAGCTCAAGCGTATTGAGAGTGAGCACGTAGAGATGGAGTGGATGATTGCGTCTTCCGAGTGCCGCCTTCGGCGAGCTGAAAGAGACAAGAAGCGCATTGACCTGGCCAATGTCTATGATGCTCACAGCAGTGGTAGCAAGAGCCAGGAGGGCAGCGAGTACGGATAGATGTGGCGCGAATGGCCTGCAGACAGACAGGCCTAGGTCGGGCCGGGAGCACTCGGCCGGTTCCCCGCCGTGGCCGCCTGTGGGCAGATATCGTCTGGTCGAGCATGACTAATGAGCGGATGGGCATTCGAGAAGTTGGTGAATGGTGCTTGGCTGCTCCTCAGGTCGAGGCTGTTGGCCGCGAAGCGGTGCCAATACTCGGTATAATTGTGACCATGACAGGCTGCTTGATGCTTGCCTACCGATTGGTGCAGGTGAATTTCGACGAGGATAGTCACGTAGACCAGGGTAGCAATGCAGGTTGCCGACACGATGGCAGAATGCTGGAACGCGTGGTTTGTGCTTTTTTGCAGGGCCGCAGCCGTATCCGTAACGTGAGAAAGATGGAAGGCGACGGGTTGGCGTTGGTGGCGTTGACTGTGTCGGAGAAGTCGATGAGCATGATGAGATACGACGGAGTGTAGTATGGATACTTGAGTTCGAAGAAAAGAAGCGACCAGATCAGATATCGAGGAGCCGTAATAAGGTCTTGAAGTAGGCGAGGTGGTCCGTAGTTATGATGCTGTGACATGTGAGCAATCAGGTTGTTTATGCGTCTGTTCTCTCCTCTGGCGTAGCGCTAGTGCAGCGAGGCAACATCGTGTCTACCAGTGAGTCTTGGCTGGACATGCTGCGGCACAGTCTGCATACGTAGTTTGATGAGATGCAATTGAGGCGTCGTGGTTGTGTTGGTGCGAGAAGTTTGTCTTCCTTGGTTGTAATTAAGTGGTGTTGATATTGCCCCCATGGTCCATCTTCTCATTCAAGGCTCGCGGCAGGTTTCGAGAAGCAGTTGTAGGCTTTAGTCAAGAGACAAGATACATGTCGAGACTTGGAGGCTGAAAGAGGGGCCATTCGGGGTCCTTTTTCCCGCTCTTCGCAGTCACGCAAGGTACCTACCTAGTGAACCTACCTTAGGTAAGGTAAGTAGCTAAGTAAATCGCGGCAAGCGCTGGGATGCAGCTGTCACCGAGAGAGGAAGCCAAAGTGGAAGGGGGCCCAAGAGGGGAGGTGGGAGGTGCATCAAAGTGGGGACCTCAAGCTTACCTAAGGCACTCGCGTACATACTGCCTACTAGGTATGGTACCGTGGTAGGAACCTCCAAAGGCTTCAGGAACAACGAGGCAAGGCAAGGCAAGGCTGCCAAGGGTGCGTAATAGGTAAGGTCCTGGAGAATGAAAGGTCTTCTGACATCAGATGTATCCTCACACCAGCTTTGGCACTAGAGATACTTGAGAGCTCACCTCCCAGGCTTCTCCTCGCCGGCTCTCCCCAGTAAAGGTGAGGCCCAGGCTGCTGCTCCGCTGCATCATCACTTCCTTCCGAATCTTTCACTGCGTGACTACGTCCAGTACGAACACCGCTCTGCGTGACTGCGCTTGCTGCAAGGCCGCCGACCGCATACCGTCACCCGTCACCCGTTCCCCGGTGAAGTACGTGCCCGCCTCTGTTGCCTCTCCCGCTCCGACCACAGCTGCACTGCACCTGCATCCCGTCTGCATCTGTCTCTCTCTTTTTTTTTCTTCCTTATTTGCCCTCTCCTTCTTCCTTCTTCCTCTTCCTCCTCCTCCTCTCCCTCTCCAGGCTGCTTGGAAATGGGGAAATAAAAGATTGCATTGCCATCCAACACCCTTTTCTGGTTGTTCTTGTCGTGCTTCTTCTTCTCCTTCTTCTTCTTCTTCTATTCAAGTTTCCCCTTGTCCAGGTATACTTTGCGGTGCTCATATCCCCACGCGCCAAAGACTGTACTGGGATAGCCAAACGGGGGTTCTGCGGAGACACAAGACACAAGACCCAGACAGCATCATCGTCCATTATTCATCATTGGTTCAACTTCCGGCAAACCGACGCAATTGACCACCATTGATACACAACAACCCTACCCAGCGTCCATCAACATCTGGCCTGGTTGCCCGCGACAATCCCCCTCCCTCCACGACTTCTTCCTGACGTCCTCTTCGTACCACCAATCCACCCGCTGATCCGCCCATCCGTCCACCCTCAACCGTCGCCTCGCCTCCAATCTCGTGCTGTATCCCCCCGGATCAACGCACGCCCCGCGAGCGACGACACCATCCGACCTCCCGTCCGCGGACGCCCCCAGCTGCATTGCATCTCGCTTGCCCGTGGTGTGGGAGCGGGAGAGCTTGACTCCTGCTGCACCTGCGCGACCATCCCCATCGTTGCTACCCCTCCTCTCGGTCGCTCATTAGAGTCGCAAAACACCTCCTCCCCATCTTCCCAACGTCCAGTGTCCTCGACACGACGCCATCACCGCCATGGACGAGACACCGGGGCCGCAGCCCTCCAACCATGCTGCAGCCTTGTCTGCAGCCTCTACCGCACACTACCTGTCCAGCCACTTCGCCTCCGTCGATACAATCTCAAGATCAAACTCCCCTGGTCCGCCCTACACAAAGAATGATGAGGACGACAAGAAGCGATACCGCCCCCGCACATTCAGCTACTTCAATCACCTGCCCTTTCCCGTCGAAGAGGAATCACAGCGCGATGCTGCTCTGGCCGGTATTCTCAAGCATCTATACATCGCCATCAAGGCTGAAGACTTTAGCCCTGGTGCCTTGCACTGGACAAGAGAGCTCACAGGGTGGCTGAATCTCAAGTTCGAGATGACGCGAGAGCTTCGCTCAACCTTGGCCAAGCTCTACTATCACCTGTGTCTCGCTCCAGGCCTTGAGCCAAGTACTGCCGACCGCTTCCTGCGCATGGTTGTCATCTTGACGAGGTGCGCTGCTACTCCATACGCTTCCTCCCAATCAACCTTGTCTCTTCTTCCTCGAACCAGACTAGCCACTGACCATTACTCCTCTCCTGCAGAAAGTACCACTACCTCAAACCCGTCGATGACCTCCTACTCGATTGGCGCCCGTTATGGCGCGAGATCAAGGCCCTGGTGCTCCCCTCAGAGGTGGCTTCACACCAGACAAACCGGCGCCGCTCCCAAAAGCAGCTGTGGAAGCTATGCCTCCATGCTCAGACATACTTCGATCCCAAGGACCGCAAAGAGATGCTCGACGAGTTCCTGCCCTACTTTAGCACCTCGGATGTCTCCAACGCCTACATCGTCGTCGGAACTATCAACGCGCTACTTCCCACCGATGCTGCCCCCGAAAACGTGCCGTGCTCCCAGCCGCAAGAGTTCATGCCTACACTATTCCACCTGTGGTCTTTGATCTCGAGATCCAAGAGCTTCGATGTCTTCTTCATTGACCTCTACTCTCGCATGGCAAGGGACTTTTTGCAGGCCTCCAATACATCATTCGATGCCCACGGTATCTTTACCAGGGAACAGTCTGATTGGATTTTCACGGCTATTCTCCGCTTGACAGAGATTCCGGTCGGCCAGTCCAACTCACCATACTCGACTCTCGACTACTCGTCAGGCTTGGGCCTGTATCTCGAGAAGGACAAGAAGAAATACCCCACGGCTTACATGATTGCCCGGTGGATTGTCTACTCTTTGTCGCCCAAGTGCTTGGAGCAAGAAAGCTCCATTCTGGCGAGTCTCGAGGGCCTTCTAGAAGCCATCGACACCTTCTACCACCCCTCCAACGTGGGATCATGGACCACCTTTTTGGGACAGTTTACAGTATACCTAACAGATATCTTTGTGTCTCGTTGGAACCGCGAAAAGAGCGGCGAACTGGATACGCCTGAAGATCGCAAGATCACTCCCGCCTTGAAGCAACGATTCGTGTCTGCGCTCAAGGAGGTCACATATATGGGACTGTTCTCCAAGAGTAACAGAGTTGCGCATTACTATTACGCGTCGCTTCAAGGATTGGCATACCTCGAGCCCAATCTCATCCTACCTGGAGCTTTGCAGCGATTTTACCCAAGTTTGCAGGGTCTCGTTGAAGTACACCGGACAACGTCAAGTCTGAACGGCCTGCAAATGATTGCCAACGTTATGTCAAAGACCAAAGGCTTCCGCTGCCACATCACCGCTCTTCTGGCTCTTGCCCTTCCTGGTATTGATGCCAACGACCTGGGCAAGACCCAGTATACATTGAACTTCTTCCAGAGTGTCGCGTATAGCATTCCCATGGTGCCTCTCGTCAAGGACGGCGATTATGTCCACGACACCAGCCTGGCCATGCAATGGGTACAGGGTGAGATGGAGCGCATGGAGCGTGAGGGCCAGGATATCAAACTGGACTACGAAACTGAACTTACCGATGAGGATGAAGCAAACGTCCTTAGATCATCAACAGCGGGACTCGGCGAGTTCGTCATCGCCCTTTTGGGCAAAGTCTTTACGCTGTTGGAGAACCTGCCCGATGCGTCCCATATACGGGGAGGCACGCCGGAAGACAATGTTATCAACGCGTTGCCGGCAGCTCTCTCACCTCTCTTCGCATCGCTGTCCCCTGAGCTATTCGACACGGCCCTCGAGAAGCTCGCCTCCTTCGTTTCGACCCATGTCGTCCACCAGGCCAGAGACGCAATGGCCTGGATTCTCAACGCCCTCTGCAAGGTGAATCCGGAAAAGACTCTCAAGGTCTTCATTCCCATGCTCATTGTCAATATTCGAAATGAAATTGACTTCAATCATGCTGCATCAGACCGAAGCAGCGGTACTGACTACTTGCCAAGAGATCGCGCTCTCGTTTGGCACGTAAGCATGCTGGGTATGGCTGTTGTACATGTTGGTAATGAGGTTTTGAAATACCAGACCGAGCTCCATGACATCGCCAAATACATGCAAGAGAAGTGCCGTGGTCTACCCACCATTCACATTTCCAACTACATTCACCATCTGCTACTGAACTTGACCCACACCTATCCCATCGACACCGCTTTGTATGAGCCCGACATCATTAAGCGCGGACTCGACGTCACCGACTGGGGAAAGACAACCTCTCCGGCCGACCTCACGATCAAGTGGCATCGCCCTTCGGCTGGAGAAGTACAGTTTGCCCTGGAGCTGTTCGATTCTCAGACCAAAGCAGCTACAAAGAAGCTGGATCTCTTAATGAGCGAAAAGCCCCCAGTTAGCCGAACGGGAAAGAACAAGGAGTGGTCCGATGAGGTCTCCCGATTGTTCCAGCAGATTAGGCTGGTCATTTCGGGAGTGGCAACATTGTTCGATGCGCACCGCGCTTCCGGCGAGAGCCCGAATGGTCAATCCAGTGTCGACGGCGAAGGCGACACGGAAATGAACGACGATGATCCTCTTGCCGAGGCGGCCGAGGACGAGGAAACGCGACCTCAATACCGCTATGATGCTGGATATCTCCTCACTGTCGAAGATCCTGCCTACCACAAGCTGCATGAGCTAAGAGAAGACGTCGGACAGCTGCTATGCCGAAGTCACGAATTCCTCAACCAAAACCAAGAAGACGATGTCTCTTGCTTCACGACGCTATATGCGGCCTATCGAACCTGGATTACCGACGTCGGCATCGAACGGTCAGCCCATCCACTCGAAAGACACCTTCGCCTCTACAAGTCCGACATCTCTGCATTTAAGATCAGTGGCCTTCGCAAGGTTTACCCAAGACCGTTGCTGATCAAGCGAGCGGATGCGTACCAACTTCTACGTGTCAAGCACAACGCATCGGCGCGACAGAAGAGCGACCTAGATAAACAACTCTTGCTTAATCTTGCCCAGTCATCTGTTTCGCCTTACGCCGATGTCAGACGTGTCGCACAAAGCGCCCTCGACTCATCTCTCAAGGCCCTGATTGGCGGCCGGCCTCTCGTGATCCCAATTCTTCTGGACAGACTCCGGGTGGCTCTGGACGATGTTGATCACGATCGCATCAAGGGCGCCATGTATACTCTGTTCTTCACTAGCTTATTGAGGACGATGGTCAAGGACTGGAGATTTGCTCCGGACGCGCTCAAGCTATACCTTCGTGCCGGCAATATCGACAAGCCCAGCATCCAGCAGCTCAACGCGACGGCGCTCTTCCCTCTGCTGGACTTTGGCAAGCCCTTTGAGCGTATGATCATCGTCAATAAAGACTTTGTCGAGAAGATTCGACCTTCAGACGACTGCTCCAAAGCTATCGATAGCCGCCACAACTTCATTGTTCAACGTCGAGAGCGTGTCGAAAAGAAGAAGCTTGCGCTAGGCTTGGAGTTGACCGAAATGGCCAGAGAAGCTCACTGGAAGATTGCGTCTCGATGCGCAATCTTTGCCAGCAACATGTGCTTGCGCTTCGATACGGTCGCGCCCCCTGAGTTCATTGCTTTGGTGACGGAGGGAATCAACGACACTCATCCTGGCTTGCGGTCCAGCTACATGGCTGCATTTACCAGCGTTTTCGAAGCTGTAGAGATGCGTGCAGCCTATGACCACACCTACCGCAATTACCTGCTTGAGAAGGAAAAGGACCGGAACAAGATCACGATTGAGGTCCCCAAAGGCGATGCAGCTTTCACGCAGAAGTACCTGGACGCTTTCGCCGGCAGCCCCGAGACCGCAGAGTACATGGTCGACTCTGATCATCCTGGATGGCTGGTTTGGGGCAAGAAGTTCCTCGCATCCCGCGCGAGACCTATGCCTTTCACTGACTACGACGATACCGAGACAGCCGTCCGAAAGCAGATCGGCCAACTGATCACGAAGGAGTGGCTGAAGGCCTGTTTCGAGTATCTCAAGCAGGAACCTCGCGACGCGAACGCTGATAGATTCCGCATGGGTAATGTGTACATGCTGATGCACGTGTTTGATCTCATGCATTATGGGGGCACAGCGATCAAGCTAGACGACGTCAAAGAACTTACCACTGAAGTCTATGGCGATGGCAGCGACAAGCACCAGCACCGTGCTACGGCAGAGATCATTGCGGCGCTTCTCTGCGGATCGAGCGACGATCCGCCCGAGTTTCGCGATAAAGTATGGGGGTTTGCCGCGCCTCTGATGCTGAAGGTCCTTAACGAGGACCTTACACCCGAGAACTTGCAGTACTGGGTCTCATGTTTGCATCTTACGGTCGACCCGAAAGATCCGCGTAGGTCGCACGAGCTTGTTGACGCACTGAGTTCTTTCCGGTTGGATATGTCTTCCAATGCTGCCTTCAAGGAGTCAAGCAAAGTCCAGGTACTAGAATTCATCATCACGGACTCAGGCTGGCACTTCCGTCACGAGAAACCGATCCTCGCAGACTTCCTCGCGCACATTGATCACCCCTACAAGACAGTGAGAGAAGCCATGGGCCGTGTCATTGCCACCATCTACCGAACCCGCTATCACGAATCCTTCGAGAATGTCGACAAGTTGCTGGAAGCCAACAAGTCGGCTTCATCTCTCGGTCTTCGCCCATACGAGGCAACCAAGGAGTTTTCTGAGACTGTGCTCGAGATCTTCGATCGTCTCGAGAAGTGGCGACATGAGCGTACTCCCGGTCAACAGACACCTTCGTCCTACACCAGTGGTTCAAAGACTGTCTTGACATGGCTTGACAGTACGTTGTCGTCACAGGAATGCACCCAGTTGATGCCATTCTTCCCCGAACCTTTCATGGAACAGCTTCTACACATGATGGACGTCAAGGAGGATCCCGAGCTTATGAGACTCGCCTACCACGTTTACCGTCATCTACCGAACATTCCTTTCAGAATTGGTGAAGATGGGGCTTTCATTGATGCACTGGTCCGCATCGGCAAGTCTGCCACGAGCTGGCACCAGCGGCTGCGATCCATGGTAAACATGCAAGTGATTTACTTCCGTCGCCTATTCCTCATCGAGAAGAAGCAACGGGACATCCTGTTCAACGCCGTCAGCGATATGCTCGCTGACCCTCAACTCGAAGTCCGGTCTTGTGCCTCGGCCACCTTGGCCGGCATGATTCGGTGCTCGCCAAAGCAAATTCGCGATCCCACCATTGATCTCCTCAAGAAACGCTTCGAGAACGAACTTCGGCTCAACCCGATGCCCAAGAGGAAGCTCCCGGGAACCGAGACCCCCGTGGATAACAACAAGCAGATTGTGCGTCGTCACGCCGCTGTACTAGGTCTCGGTGCCCTCATCGAGGCCTTCCCCTACGCTACACCGCCCCCGTCCTGGATGCCGGAGGTGCTTCAAATCCTTGCTACTCGTGCTGCCAGTGATCCTGGCGTGGTTGGTAAGGCTACCAAATCAATCCTGTCCGACTTCAAGAAGACAAGACAAGATAGCTGGAGTGTGGATCAAAAGGTACAGTCCATTACTTTGCCCCTTACCTCGCGTTGAACGTCGGCTCACATTTCAACAGTACTTCACATCAGAACAACTTGAGGATTTGGAAGGTGTACTTTGGAAGAGCTATTTCGCATAGTCGGCGCGACATGGCTCAGGTATGCAACGTGCATGCGTGGGTTGATTCAGTTTAGGACATGGGCAATCATAAAAGGCATGGTGACGGAAAGATATCCAACCAGGGAAGCGGGATTGCATGGCCCTGATAGACGGGCCCAGGATAAACAGTGTGCTTGTAGACTTTGTAATTCACATCCATCCTTTGATCGTACATACTGACCATGTCGAACTGTTTGGCTTCGGTACTTATTCAATAAGTCTCTTTAGTGAGGGCTTTTGCAGTTGTGTCGCAAGGCCCCGACCAGCTGGACACCAGGTACGAATGCCTCGAGTCACGACATGTGTCGGGAGACTAAACTTTATTTCGAGCACGTTTAATGCGACGAACTCAGCCCAAGCGACGCGGCGTTCTGGAACACTCTGACACGCCTTGTTCCAAGGGTCCAAAGTGCAGAACCTAGGTCATTTTCCAGCGTTGCGATATGGAGAATGGCGCGCGGCAGCAGGGACAGGATGCTCGCTGTCGCCGTTTCGAAGTCTCAGGCCCTAACATCTGAGACGTCCCGACGGGGCGGTTCACCGTCCTCGTGCGTGACTGACTCGAGGGCACTTGGGCCTGAGCTTGACTTCAGCTATTCAGCTAGTCGCCCTGCGTTGCCTTGGCTTTCTTGTGGCATGGAGAGGTGTATATAAACTGGATGAGCCACGTTGTCGCATTCTAGCTTTGTTCGTCTTAATTATCAACTCATCACAGCTCATACAACTCATACCATCTATTTATACGGCTAGCAAGAATATCATACACCCATATTCGTCCCACCAAACGAAACCGCCAAGATGAAGACCACCATCGCAACACTCGTTCTCTTTGTGACCATGGGTCTGAGCGCCAAGACGACCTCCCTTTGCCGAGACGTAGGCAACAAGGTGATTGAGGACAATGGAGTCTGTTCCACGGCCGGAGGCGCTCCTCTTGGCAAAGGAGTAAGTTGACCCTGAAGATACCATGAAATTCTCCAAGGAATAATGACGTACTGACGAGGAGACAGATCTGTTGCTTTGACCAGTCCAATGCTCTCGTCAAGTCGAGGTTCGATATTGCGTGTGATGATAAGCTGGGTACGGTTCAGTCTACCGGGGAGGCTTGCGAGGCCTAGGTGGTGTCAAGCAGAATCATTTGGTCATTTTGAGTCACCCAGCATTGCCTAGCGTCATTACAGCGAGTTGATTGTCAATAAATGTCTTTATTCGAGTTTTCGGACTTGAGAAGTCGTGGTGCATTGTCTCAGTGTCAAAGAATGAGCTGCTATACACCTGTGTACTGGCAGCCTTCACTACAGTCTGGGAATTCAACTGAAAATTCAGCCAAGAAGACTCAGCACCAAGCGCACAACCGCAGAGCTTCATTGAGTTGTCAGAAAGCGATTCCGGCCTTCGTAGGTTCGAAGTTCGGTGCTAAAACCGTCACCTAGATCAACATGCTATTGACAACTAGGCAGTGCCGAAGCCTGTTGTCAACGCATTGAGGAGGGGCTACGTCGAGATAGAGACCGCTAGCTCAGGATCACACGCACTCGAATTCCGTGAAAGCACAATCGCTTACACATGTAGACATCTTTGCATCGTTCTTCATGCCTCTTCGTAGCTCTTCACTGGGTTTGCTGGGGATTCACATCGGACGAGTCTAAACTGCAGCCCGCGGGGATAAGACGGAGACGATACACAACAATGGCACGTCGAATGCATTGCGCCATCTGAACTATCCTTTGCGTTTGACGTGGAGAGGTTCTGGCGCAATTTGGGATCAAATAGAAGGTGCTTGCCTTGTCGGAAACCTCTAAGTGTACGAAGGCACGAGATACTCAATGCTGATGCGTTGCTTCATGACATTGAAGCTGAAAACTAACTCACCGCCGCCCACTGCAGCCTGCTAAAGATTCCTCGGCCCAGTATGAAGGCATTTGCCACATTGATGGCCGTGAGTGGTCTTTTGTCATCAATAGCAGCTGACTGGCAATTTCGCTCCCGACCTGACCTCGCTCCTCCAAGGCTTAACATCACCATCCCAGCTGGAAACTCGGTAGAAGAGGGATTCATTTTCGTCGCCCCCTATGCCGGCTTTGAGGATGACAACAGCGGACCGAATCAACCTGGGGCCTACATCTTCCGTGACGATGGGGAACTCGTATGGTCTAGTATTGGCTACTACGCCGGCTGGGTTGCCAACTTTCGTCCCGATACTTGGAACGGGAAACAGCATCTACGCAGTTTCCAAGGCCTCCTTGACGGGCATCATGGCCGCATGTTTGGATATCATACTCTTTTAGGCTCCGATTACGAAGTTGCCAGGGTGGTGCGAGTTGGGTCGCACAAGTTGGTTTCGGCCCATGAGTTCCGCTTGGTCGATGGTAAGACGGCTTTGATAGAGACACCTATCCCTAGACCCGTGTCTCTCAAGCCTTGGGGAGGCAGTCAAGAACAGAACTGGATAATTTCTGGGGGATTCCAAGGTATGTTGCTCACGTGTTTTAAACTCGGTAGAGAAGGTGTTCAAAGGCTGATTGGGACGATAGAGATTGCTATCGAGACGGGCGAGGTTGTCTTCGAATGGGAAAGTCTTGACCACGTAGACCCGAAGTGTAAGTCATCGGACCGACAACATGCCTTTTGTAAAGGTTCCAATTTAACGCCTGATAGACAGTGCATTCCCGCTCGACTTTGACGAAGGTCTCCCAGGAGGCGGCAAAACCGAGGCTGATGGGTGGAACTACTTCCACGTCAACAGTGTTGACAAAGATGATGAGGGCAACTACCTTGTATCAGCACGTAACACGGCGGCCGTTTTCAAGATTAATGGCACAAACGGCGAGATCATCTGGCAACTTGGCGGGTTCCACGGAGGTTCTTCCTTCACCCTTCCGAAAGAAGATGTCTTTGGCTACCAGCATCACGCACGGTTCCGCAGTCGTTCGGCTGATGGGATTATCGAGGTGATTCCGCTGTTTGATAACGGCGCGCACTCTGCATCAGTCAAGACATATCCGTTCTCACGCGGCCGTATCTACCAACTCAATCATACCGATGGCACAGCCAAGGCTCTGAAAACATACGACGCTCCAGATGGACTATCGGCCCATACCCAAGGAAACTTTCAAGTGCTTCCTAATGGCAACGCTTTCATCAACTGGGGCCAGGCGGGCGGGGTGACCGAGTACAGCAATGATGGTGACGTCTTGTTCCACGCCTACCTCGACTCAGCTCCCGAGGGCCACTTGGTCCAAAGTTATCGTGGATTCCGTTTCAATTGGACAGGCACTCCCACAGAGGAGCCGGCTATAGTTGCCTTGAGAGGCAAAGGCTCTGTCATCAACGTATACGTTTCGTGGAATGGAGATACTGAAGCAGCATCATGGCGATTCTCCTCTAGGAGTGCAGCGAAGGAGAATTTCCATCTCCTAGGAGAAACCAAAAGGGACGGTTTCGAAACACACTTTCAATTTTCGGGGGCGGTTGATGAACAAGACTCGTTGGTCTTTGCTCAAGCTGTCAGTGCCAGAGGCAGAGTCCTCGGGCAGACTCGGGCAACAGCAATCTCAGGGAAAGAAGTCCCTTCTTTGTCGGTTCAGTGGTCAGAGGAGCTTTGAGCTTCTCTCCCAAGGTCTTTCAGGGCGAGTTTGAGCACACTTGGTGGAGACTTAGTGCAATCGAAAACGGCACATATGGCCACACTTAGTGTTTACCGGCAGATCTGTTGCCAAGAAAAGTTCCTCCCAGATTGCAATTCCTTCTCTGCGGGATAGCAAGCGAAAGACAATTACCTATCAGCAATCAGAGACAAAAGGATCCAGCATGCATCTTGACTACTAATGGCATCTCCTCTGGCCAAGGCATTGGCGGATACAACGTGTCCTGTCGGGTATTCAAGTGCGATCCGAGTCGATTGGGATACTCTTGGTCAAATCATCTCTCATGTGTATGGGTGGAGATGAGGATTTTATCCATGGGGGTTTGAATTGCGGCTCTACTGGGCGTAGTCATCGTACAGCAGCCAAGTCGAGCTTTCAGCCGGATTCTCGTTGAAATCAGGCGGTTCGGTCAACTCCCGACTACCAAGAGGTCTTGGTTTCTTGGACTTCTTGGCTTGCCAAACCAACCCAGTCCTCTTTTCAAGTCAGTATCGTGAAAACATGTCTATGCACCCCACAATAGGCCCATCACTTGCCAGTTTCTCGTCTTCATTTAGCGCCAGACCTTGTCACGTTGTCCGAATCTTCCCGAAGTATCTCGGGGTCAAGAAAGCTCAGCGGGAGGCCGGCTCAGACGCCATATTACTAGGGACCTTTATACCGATCTAATGGGCTTCGTGTGAAATGCATGCCGAGTGGCCAAGCCTATTCCAACTTCACCGCGGAGACTCCACCACGACAAGCTGCTGTCTTGCAAGATCCCCCGTCCTATCTCTCGTCCACAGTAGTCATTGCTGTGGGTCTCCGGGACACAGATTTGGATTGTCACACGCGGCCATCTGCGAATTTCGTTGAGGCGGGGCTGGGGGCAAATCCAGTCCTATCCCTGAACTTTCACTTGTGACTTCTCTGGACCCGGGGGAGACCCGCCAGAAATTAGCTTGACTGGAGAATGGAGGCGGGGCCTGGGGAAGTTCCATTGTGAAAGGCGGAGAAGCATGGGGAAGTAAAGCACAATTTGGACATCGGTAGCAGGTCCTAATATTCAGATTACGGCAGCTCAACGAGTAAGATTCGAACAGCAAGGGACTATAACGTATAAAACGAGGCATATCCTGTGCCTTCCACTAACTGTCGCGCTCTCACTTCCCCTCAATACTGCCTACGCCATACATCTGTTCCTCATCAATCATGGTCAATGAACAGAAGCCCACAGTCCAGTCAGGCATCGCCACGTCTAATCCCACTGGGGACGACAACGCCGCTACGGACCATGTTACCAACAACCCCTCTCTAATGGAGGCTAACGAAGCCAACGGTAAAGGGGACCTTCTACCTACCCCCGAAGAGCAGATTGAGGCTCTTGGTATCGCCAACTGGCGTGATCTCGAAAAGCAAGTCGTCAAACGTCTTGACATGACCCTCATGCCATGTTTATGGGTACTCTATCTATTCAACTATTTAGACCGAGCGTCTATTGCGTAAGTCACTGCCTAGTTGAGATCGGAAATGCTGGACTGTAACTTTGCTGACTGAACGTGACCGCTTCAGACAAGCTCGCCTCAGTAGCCTGGATGAAGATCTTAGTCTTGAAGGCTACCAGTACGGGACTGCAGTATCAATTCTCAGTGTCGGGTGAGCGAATGAATCCTTACTTCTGCTTTCGTTCATATTAGCCTCTAACACGAGAAAAGATACGTCCTTGGTCAAATTCCGTCTAATATGATCATTGGGAAAGTGCGACCCAGTCTATATCTCTGCTGTATGGCTTTGGTCTGGTCTAGTGTCTCGGCAGCAACCTGTGGTGTCAAGAATTACCAGGGCCTCATCGCCGTCAGATTCTTTCTCGGCGTGGTCGAAGCACCTCTGTTCCCAGGTGTACGTTATCATTCGAAATCCGTCCACCTCTGTCCCTCAAGCGTTCTTCTAACAACTCTCCAGGCTATCTACGTCATGTCTTGCTGGTACACCCGCAAGGAAATGGCATTGCGCTGCGCACTATTGTACACCGGCCAGACACTCGCTTTCTGTACCGCTGGTCTCATTGCAGCAGCCGTTTTTGGGACCTTGGAAGATAAATATGGCTTGGCAGGTTGGCAATGGCTGTTCATCGTTTTGGCGTCAACCGGTGCAGGCCTTGCCATGATTGCTCTCTTCATTCTCCCAGACTACCCTGATTCCAATACTGGTAGCGCCCGCTGGTCTATGACGGAGGACATGCGCAAAGTGGCTGCTGCTCGCATCCTGGCCGATCGTGTGTCAACTTCGGAAGCTAAAGCTGGCGTTTGGGCTGGCCTGAAGATGAGCATTTTCGACTACAAGATGTGGCTGCTTGTCGGCATGAACATCGGAATCTCAGCTGCATATGGCTTCTCAAACTTCTTCCCATCCATCGTACGGGGATTTGGCTACAACAACACCATCACTCTTGTTCTGACTGCTCCACCTTATATCTTTGCGGCTCTTGGTTCTCTCGTGAACGCATGGCACTCTGATCGGCAGAAGGAGCGCGGGTACCATTTCGCAGGCCCCATAGCGTTTGGTTGCATCGGCTACATCATCTGCCTGGCTACTGAGAGCAAGACAGCACGATACGCTGCTTCTTTTGTGTACGTTGGGGGCATGTACTTTGCAAACCCCCTCATTTCAACATGGACATCCAACACTATGGGTAGGACGCCAGAGAAGCGAGCCATCTCTGTCGCATTAGTCAATGTTCTTGGTCAGATTGGTAATCTGATCGCTCCCTACTTCTTCGTTGACTCGGATGAGCCGCGCTATCGGCTGGCCTTCATTATGATGATGGTTATGGGCCTGATTGCGTGTACGAGTGCCATGGGCCTGAAGTTCTACCTTTACAAAGCGAACCAGAGATTGTACCGGGAGGCCGTTCGCAACGGAAGCGTGTATAATCCTTACGTTATGTAAGAAGAGGGCGTAATTATCACGCTTGCAGATATCACGAGAGCTCCGCTGAGAGATAGCTCTGGATAATATTTCATCTCAAGTACCGAAACATTCACAGGTCCAATGCTGATAATAGCACACACGACAAATGAGTGGCTGATGCAACAGTTCGCTCCCTTATTCTCTCTATTTCTGCAAAGTTCTCAAGTCACGGTCAGTAACCATGTGCTAGTGTTTGTCCTTGCACCTAACCAGTAAAGGCACTTTCTGCCAGACGAGGAATGTCTTTTGTCTCAAGGTCCATTTCTTTGACTCCTCCATCAATTCGAGGTCAAAATTCCAAATCAACTTGGCCAATATTATGCGTAGCTCTGCATAGGCCATGCTAGGGGACATGGTTAGAAAGCACATGGGATAAAGATACTGCTGTCTTACCTCTTGCCTATACAGTTCCTAGGGCCATAAGAAAACGGCTGACTAGCAGACTTATCGTCGTTGGCAAATATACACACGTCGCTCTTGTCCAGCCATCTCTCTGGAATGAATTGCCTTGGATTAGTCCAATTCTGTTCCGAGTGACCAGCGGAAAGCTGATGAACGCCAACTGCCGTCTACGATAAGAATATTAGTGTCTTGCTCGTATCACCATCAGTGACAATTCGTCGCGGATCAAACTCACGCCTCCAGGCACCCATCTGCCATCAATATCCTCACCGATTCCAGGCACAAATCTCGGCAGAGCGCTTGGGCTGGGGGGATATATCCTTAAACCTTCTTCGATGACTGCCTTAAGATATTTCAACTCCCCCGTCAATGCCATTGAGATCTCATCATCGGTCTGAAATGCGGTTCTGATCTCTTCCGAGAGTGTCGTGTACGTCTTCGGGTTGCTACACAAGTAAAACGTGATGCCAGAAAGTGCAGTAGCTGTCGTGCCGCTGCCTGCGACAATGAAAGCTGACGCCATCCTGACCAAATCGGCATTGCTGAGGTCAGCTTGTGGGTTTTCCAAGATGTAACTCATAAAATCTCTTTTGTTATCGGATTGTTGAAGTCGGCGTTTGACTTTGCCGGCAGTCAACTCGCCATGTCTCTTCAGAGCAAGCTTCTGGGCCTTTGGGGCGAGCCATTCTAGCCAGGCCTCAAATCCATAGTAGATAGCGAACTGGTATCGGACAATTCCCTGCGCTCGAGCACCAATGACTTGCAACCACGGTTGGGATGCATCGTCTAGACACCCAGCCGCCTGGCCAAATGCCAGGTCGCTAATGATGTCAAAGGCAGCAAGGCTAAACCATTTGACCATGTCCTGAGGAGCTCCGGTTTCGCTCGAGAATCGCAGTTGTTTCATCAACTTCCCTGCATAAAGCTGGAGGATATCCTCCTGTTCTCTTAGTGCACGGTCGCTAAAGGCTGGCAAGACTGCTTTACGAAGTCGGGAGTGAGGTTCTTGCTCGGCCGTCACAATGCCGCCATTACGAACCGCTGGGTTAGTCACACTAGGCCCAGCGATTCCCCGTCCGTCAAAACATTTGGCAAACTCTGGTGATCTCTGACCATATATCTTTGTCCAGGCTGTAGAACTCGTGTAAGACAGCTCATCAGGTGCAATCCTGACAATTGAGCCATACTTTTCGTGGAGCTCGCGGATTGTCCAAGCGAGGTTGCCTTGAAGGTTGACAATGTTCCACGGCAGTCGAGAAGCGGCCCAAAGTCGAGGCCCAGGGTAGCGGCTCAGAGGATGGAAGTAAACATTATAGATGGTTCGAGATGCAACGAAAGCAGAAAACTACGCATTGTTAACAAATGCAAGAACACAGCAGTAGAAATCCTGATCAACTAACAGAAAAGCTGATAAGAAGTAGCACCAGCCCAATATGGGATGCGCAGAGCGCATTGAAACCGTGGATCAACTGCATGAAGCCTGTCTCTCGTAGAAGGAGAGAGATTTTCCTTTCGGTTGAGAACCAATGTTAACTAACACTGAATGCAATAGTCTCTTGGCACTGCCAAGGCTCGTGGCACAGGAATGCCTTTTATTTTCACCACCAAAAAGTTGTCATGGTACATCATGAGTCAGGAAACACTTTCGGATGAACAAACAGTGAGGCTGCCTTGCAGAACGTGGGCGGCTCCTGGTTTTTGATTCATTGCATAAGCCATAACCATCCCTGCAGCGGGTCAGTATCCATTGGCTGTACCGGGTTCATGGGAACGATTACAGCAATTCCAAGTTGCATTAAATCTTACAATTATCTCAGTCTATGGGTATCATTTCTCCTCATCTTCCTCAAAGAAGTGCACGACCGATGGTGCGAAAGTGGCGTTGCCATTAACGTTTCCTCCGTACTGCAAATATCCAGCCGCATCAACAGCAGGAATGCCGGTAATGTCTTGGTAATCTCCCATGACCCAAACACTCTGCATGCCCATAACCATGTGTTGCAAAATATGGCAGTGAATCTAGACTTTGGTCAGCTCATGTTTAACAGGCCTTGTGAAAATGAACCTGACTCACCATCCATACACCGGCGTCTTCCACACGCAGACGCCAACCTCTCCACCCGGAAACATCGCCGGACTTTGTCTTCTCGCCATATCGATAAAGGTTTGTTGTGTCTCGTTTGACTGGATTGTAGTTCTTCAGCCGCTCTTCGTTCTCGGTGCTATTGTAAGTTCCATTTCCACTACCAATGTCCCAGTAATGCCCGCCATGGGCATGGAAGGGGTGGAAGTCGAGACCACCATTTCCATTGACCAGTGATCCAGTATTGTGCCAAATAATCTCGAGAACCTTGAATCATGTCAACTCAGTGTTTTGTTACGTGAAACAAAACGGCATCAAGCACTCACCTCGCCCATCTTTGCCGGCCATGTCAACGTAGTCGGGTCCCAGCCGTTGTTGTTCATGGCTGCAGTGTAGTTCGGAATAGCAGACGGCCCGTTCTCGTAGATGTTGATCAGGTAGGGCTGATCTCCCGCATAAGGTGTCGAAGTCTCGTTCCATTGCAGACCGTTGAGCTGCCAAAGGGTAGTTTGGGTCGCGAGTTGACGATTATCGATGTGGATTCGTCGAGTCACTTCGCTTGCCTGTGGAAAATTGTTTGGTACCAACGGTTCCAAAGCATACTCTGCCCATTCATACGTCTTGTTAGAAAGAGTCAGAGGAGGAATTACTGGCGCCGTTGTAATCTGCGGTTGTGCCTTGGAGTATCGTAGTACGCCATAGCCCTGGTACACCTTCGGACGGTCTTTGGTTTCCAATTGAATCAGGTAGTCGGTTTTCCCGTTCAACTCTGCCTCGGTCTTAGTCTTGAAGATGACATCAAAACGCTGGCCCGAAGTTAACTGCATAAATTTCTCAGTATGAGGCTTGGTATAATGACCATCAGCTTCGATGATGGTGAAGTTGTCATGATCCACGATGCCTACTTGCACCATAGACAACGCCGTGGCACCAATGAAGCGCATGCGGTAAGTTTTTCCAGGCTCCACATCGATGACTGGCAACTTGCAGCTACCATTTCCGGCTGTCTCCCCAACAGAGACTCCGACGCCGTTGATGAGGACCGCATTCGTTTCGCCAGACCAGGTGAAAGGCGTCGCCACCAGCCCCTTCTCGATAACAGTATCCGTTTTGTTAAAATAGTCGGTGAGGAAGACAATCCTCTCCTCGTCATATGCATAGGGGGGTTCGGCCTTGTCCTCAATGATCAGCGGGCCAGAAGCTGTCATAGCCTGGAAGCCAACATGGGAATGATAGAAGTAGGTGCCGGATTCGGATCGTAGAGGATAGACCTCGTAATCGAAGAAATGGTCAGGTGGAATAGGCCACTGGGTGGCCGATGGGCTACCATCAGAGAAAGGTGCCATGCGCATGCTCAAACCGTGCCAGTGGATGGTGGCATTATGGTCTGGCATATCATTGTAGACTCTGATCCAACTTCTTCGCCCAGGCTTGAGTCTGAGCGTCGGCCCGAACAATGTGCCATTGATCAGGGCCGACATTCTTGTCTGACAGCCAATTGAGACGTTTTCGTAAGTCATCTTCAGCACAAAGTCCGGCGTAAAGCTGGCACCATGCTTTTGTCGACCTCCATAGTGGCCTGGGGGCCCGTGATCCGACTTGCGCGGGCCCCAAGCAGAGACCTGCGTAAGCAAGGCAAAGAAACAAAGTACCGAAACGAACGACTGCATCATGGTCAATGAACGCACAGAGGAAAGATGAGGGTGTGGGAGCGGAATAGGTCGACCAGAATCTGGCAAGGGACCTCATTTTAGATGTATGCTCATGAACCCCTCACTCGGCGCCCTGTCTCAGAGCCAGGATGAGGGAATGCCATCATTGAGTTAGCCTTCTGCGCTACCCATTCCAGCATCACCGTACGCATTCGTAGCCCCTCTGCGTTCATTTCACTATTAAAGTTACCGTTGCGTTCACCCGCCGAAGCGTTGGCTGCGTTCCTCGCCGGCGGTACGTAGTACATGCACACGTTGCCGGCACTGCAGCTCAAGCGGCCCTGTGCCGGTTTAGCCCCGCGATGCAAACCTAAAATGTGATTGTTTCCAATCGGAACTCCCAAGTGCTGCGAATGCGAAGAGAGTGGGCTTGAGTAGCGTTATTGGCTTTGGAATAGACTTTGGTTAATCCTTGTACTTATTTGAAATTCCAATTAAGCCTGTTTCTTTGTTTGATGGTTGTTCCCGAAAGTCCGTCTCGAAGCTATGCTCTGCATTCGGCCGCCTCGTGTCCGGAGTTCTCGGACTTGAAGTCAAGGGTCTCTTGAGATCTGCGGGCGCTTATTAGATTAGCTTCCGCCCTAGCAGGCGAGCTCACCTGCAACTGCACGCCAGAGAAATTCAACAAACTCCTATAAGGTTTGATTCGACTACGGCGTAGGCCGACCCCAGATTGGGTTTAAATGAAGAGTACCAAGAATCACATATCAAGAGTCATGACCGTCTGCTAATTTCTGTCATAATTCGACAAAATTCGATGATCATCTTGAACACATCGCGTTCGCCGACACTGGAAGGCACTTAGCGTGTCTGGCTCTCGATTGAGGTGGATAATACTAGATATTTACGGGAGTATGCAATTGACCGCACTTTCATCTGACTCGGGTGAATGCGGAGACCCCAACGTCATGACAAGTCACTGGAACCAATCTTGTGTAATACGACAAAACTTATCGAGAATATCAAGGAATTGCATTCCATTAGGGACAACTTCGGCGAGCCGAATAACAGATTAGAACTTCTCCTCAACGAGAGGATGAACACCTTGCCATGTTCTTCGAATTGCCTGCCGAGAGAGCAGAAGTGACGAGGAAGATTAGATGAAAAACTGTAGAGTGGCCGCTCCCACACTCAGTTGGCTGGAAGATAATCAGAAGCTCACATAATGACTGCGTACATGTAAAGTCATCAGTCTTCCTTCCATGTTGGCACTCAAGCTTTGAATTCAGGGCACCGCTTGACCGTCTTCGAGGAAGAAGTGGGAATACAGCATGAGAGCATTCTTGACGACAGGAATGCCTCAATTTCACCAACGCTTCCTTAGTCCCGGACTCTTGGACAAGCCGTGGGCACTGCATATCTAAACAAAGGGAAACCTGAGCCTTCTCGGTGGAGAAGTGATACCAAATAGCAACCGGCTATTAGAAATCCCACGGTTCAAGGCAAAAAATGTCATTTTAATCCACACTTTTATGTAATATATGTTAGTTTTCTGCCGAGTCAAGATCGCCTTGTTAGCGATTGGGGGATCCAGCCAACCTAGCATGCTTGTCAACGGGACTGTACACATCGGTAAGCACCTTGAAGCAGAACGCGAATGACGACGCACTTGGACCTCAAATTGTACAACAATAAGTGTGCATTAAACCAGTCCCGCGAGTACTTTACAGATAATAACGTGGCTCAGAAATCTGGCCACTTTACGGATAGTCAACCGTCACTTGGAAAGCACGCACGGTGTGGTTCGAGGCCAAGCCAGTTGTATACCTCAAACGTGGGAAGCCTCAACAATGCCAAAACGTCGACTGTAGACAAAAAGGGTCTGTGATCATTCTTGTAGAGACGACCACGTGGCTTCAATCACATAGTCTCCTAGGCATCTGTTCTATTATAACACAACTGACTTTGGCCGAAAGGAAGCTTTACATGAAGACATAGTTTGTCGGATTGGAAGTTCAATTCGACCTCTAGGCAAGGGCCCGCGCAGGGGCCAATTACCGCCCATACTTACGGTAATCGCGTCCTGTCCAACCTACGGTTGGAACCTCCCTTTTACACCTTACGCAGAAGCTCATATAGATCAATTGACCTCTTCGTCAACCCATGGTTCGAACCAATTACCCTGTGATAGGGATACCAACATAATTATAAGAACCAATGATGACATATTAGGATAATGTCGGCATCTCGTTCATATTGCTACGCTTTCAGACATAGATCAGCCTGCTCAAGTAGACTGAGCAGTGGGCATTGCATCTGTACGTGTGGGCTGGTATAACGTCCGCTATCTCTTGGTCTGGAACGCCAAGAGTGTGTTTGCAAGTCCACTATGAAACAATGACAGGACTTGAGCGTTCTCAGTGATGAGGCTTGTACAATGAACACCGACCGGAACACTTATTCTAGTTCCGTCTGTGTCTTTCAAGGCAATGAACATTCCTCGATATCAAAATCTCAAGTCTGTTCAGGCAACACCTGGACAGTTTGGCACCCGCTTAGTAATGAAGTAATAAGAATAGTGCTGTCAGGGCGCTCGCGGCTCGCGTTTAGTGCAATGAGTCCGAGAACACGACGTTAGCGCCTCGCCACCTCGCCGTTCGGGAGGAATATTACGCAAAAATGTAGAGACCCGCTATATTGGCGTTCTAGGGAACATCACATTGACTGCTTCAGTTATCAAGTGACAGTGTTCTGAACGAGTGTGCCTGTCAAGGCTAAAGAGCATCAGGTAAGGCGCGTCTTTTGAGATGCGGGAGCAACCGCGTCACTAGCGAGAACTTTTGTCAATGCGGCATGAACAAAAGCAATAAGACACCGGTACATCGGAACGCCCTTTCAAGACAGAGACAGGTATTAAAGGTCTAGATGGCGTATCACGTAGGGTTACTCCCGGCGCCGTTCGTAACACCGAGTCACCTAGGTAAAGTAAGAAGCTCAAAGGTATTCCGAGCGGAAAGATCCTCAATGCCAAGATCTTAGTCTTCATATCCAAGACGGACTACTGATCTCTGTAAGCACTATCGCCTTGGGGTTTTCCGCCGGTACGCAAGCTTTGGTACCCGAATGATACTTCGTGTGCAAATTGGAAAATACTACACGCAGCGGCTCGACTGGATATCGCATCAGTCATAAGCACTCTGAAGCTTGTGATTGGATGCTTAGACTTTAGTTGCGCAACCGTGATATCAAGATGCCAAGGTTTCCCGCCATTCCGCGTAGCAGCTGTTTTGGCACTTCAGGACGAGGGTCTAAGTCGGGGGAACACGCCTTCAACCATGAGCAATCGCACCGTGTCTTCGGTCGATCGCGGAGCCTGATCAGCAGATGTATCCGTACGTGCTTTCGACAACAAACCATATTCATCAATCCCTTTTCAGTCCGTCCCCACGCGTCGCGAATGGTCCATATTTGCTACTACACGATGCATGGTTTCCATTCATGCTTCATAAGCAAATAGTGACATCGCGAATGACCATTCACTTATACAAAAGTATTTATGGGATGCCCAAGAGCCATCTGCTTCTTGTTGCAGAACTTTTTCGTATACAAGTGCTCAATTACATTTTACACGATGACGGTAAACAAAGCAAAAGTCACTGAACGTGGTTCAAAAAGCAGTCCTCTCGTTCTCATGGTGGCCTTTCCCGGAGAAGGTCATACCAATCCCCTCCTTGTCATTGCAACATACCTCGTTAAGAAGGATTACGAAGTTGTGTTTGTTACAACTGAGAACTTCCGAAACAAAGTCAAAGAGGCGGGCGCCGAATGGATTCACACCGACAACCCCATGACCAACAAAACCTTTCAAGCCCTCCGGAAAGCAGTTGCTTTGCCAATTGGTCCCGAGCGGTTCGCTGCGCAGATCAAAGCTGTTTTCTTGGAGACACTTCCTTCGCGAACGCTAAAGATGGAAGAGGTTCTTTCCCAGCTACAAGCACGGAATCCAGACCGTCAGATCATTGTTGTCGAGGACGTTTTCAACTGGTCACTCTTTCCCTTCAGACATGGTCGTCCTCTTCCTCAAGGCTTCAACGCGGCGCCCGAGTCTATCGGCATTGGTGTTGCAGCTTTCATGATGGAAAGTCAAGACACGGGACCAGTCTCACTTGGCCTACCCGCTGACGCCACTGACTCGGGCCGTCAGCGGAATGCGGTTCTCCAACAGTTGGTCGAGCGAGGCCCAATGAAACCTATGATCGATGCGTGGCAGCAGGCCATGAAGGACACTGGGTGTACGACCATCCTAGAGACAAACATTTTCCGTTCGTGCTACACGGCGCATGACTTTACATTGCAACTTTGCTCTCCCAGCCTTGAATACAACATTTCGGACTTGCCACCATCTGTGGAATTCGCAGGTGTCTTGCCTCGAAAGTCCGCTGCTCCAAGCTTCCAGCATCCTCCATGGTGGCCAGAGGTCGAGAGAGCTCAGAAAGACAACCAATACCGGCATGTGGTCTTCGTCTCCCAAGGAACTGTCAACATGGATTACTCAGAACTCGTTCTTCCAACAATCGAAGCCTTCTCGAAAACTAAAGATATCCTCGTTGTTGCAACCTTGGGGGGCCGTGGCGCTCACCTCCCGCAAGACTTTGCTGTTCCCTCGAACGCTAGAGTCGTGGACTACATGCCTTACGATATTATGCTTGAGTACACAGATGTATTCGTCTCCAACGGGGGATATGGTGCTTTGACACATGCTGTGAGAAATGGCGTTCCCATTGTCCTAGCAGGAGAAAGCGAGGAGAAGATTGAAGTTACTATGCGGGCAGTCTACGCTGGCCTTGGCGTCAGTCTTTCGACACAACGGCCATCGACAGATCAAATCAGACTTGGGGTTGACCGAATCTTCCAAGATACCAAGTTCAAAAAGGCAGCAATGAAGCTGAAACATGAGAATGATGGCATGGATGCATTAGCAGCGGTAGAAAGAAAGATTCGGGCAATCACATTGTGAGGCCCGAAGGAGTCAACAACTGTATTACATGACTTTCTGAGCTTTACAAGCAGAACATAGATCCCCCTCCACTCGATACCATCTATTATACTATGCGCAAGCTCGTTCTCCTTCATATAACAGCAATTATTATGCCTCATATCATGTCAACTTGATCATCAGCCGTATCGTTTTCAGTTTCTGGTACGCTATATCTCAACACTGTCTACTAGACTTAACGTGCCGTTTGCCTAGTTGCGTCACTGAACCTTTTCGAAATTCAATCTTCTCTGGCCTTTGCGTTCACGCCAGCTTGTCTTTTTTTTTTTTTTTTTTAAAATCTCTTATGATTGTTTTTGGGCTATTGCTAGCTGATATTTTTACCGAGCCAATGTCTTCTGAGGTATCCTGCGCACTACACGCGCAAGCTTTGTCACTTCTTCTGAGAATGTAGCACTATGGTATAATTGCTCTAAATCCACGACCATTTTGGCAAGGGTCGGTCACAAGACTGGCGCGAAGCTTTACTATTATCTCAAGATCAGTCGCTGTTGCAGTTGCTGTTGCTATTCTTCATGCAAGACTCACGGTGCAGCTAACGGACGCGTGACCCGAGCGTGATTCTGAACTTATCCCGTTTCAGCTGGGCCATGGTTAGTTTCTTCACGGCTGGCAACTTGAAAGAGCGGCGAATAGGAGTTTACCTGGACTGAGTACTGTCCCGGATAATTTGTGTCCAAGTATTCCTTGAGTTGGCTGGAGCTGACTTGAGATGCAGAAATGATGGCATTCTGGGTGCCATCCTGATTACTCTGCCATTGAACCTTGCCGGAAGGTGTATGTCTTTGCTGCCAGGCCATGACGCTTACTCAAATTTGAGGTACGAAATCGAGAAGGTAATTATTCGTGGAACTGAAAGGGCGCGATGGAAAAAGAAGGCAGCCAGACGCCTTGCGCTACGATTGTCGTACGTGAAACTCCTATTTCAACCTGGAAATGGCCCGCGAAAAAAATCGACCGGGTGATTAGAGTGGCGAGAGTCGGCACATTGCTACCAATGAATAGTGATCAGTCTCCTAATTGTTAGGTCAAGAGTCGATTCCATAAGCTTCAGATCGAGGATCTACTCAACTTATGAGGATATGGTCGTCTAGCCCCTGACCGCCACATCATTGTCACACGGGTCTGTCTCACCGGTCATGTTGTCCCATCAGATTCCCGGCCATCGACGGAGGCAACCTTAGCCTGTTGATTGGGTGGGAGGTAAGGGTCGAGGCGGACCACAGGCGACCCAGCCCCCTTGCCTTGAGGCTTTGACCGACTGAGCCGCAGTACTAGCGCGTTGCCAGCGCATATTGGTTACACTGCAGGCAATAAAAGCAAGGTTTATGACCCCTCAGTGTCATGGGTGCGCTCTTGAAGTGCAACGTGGTTTGTCCGAGCTTCGTAGCCATTTTGGACTTCATCAAATGGGCTCATTATCGCTGATGCAAGGCATCGAATCCCATATGTTCCCGCGACGGGGCATTATTCCTCAATTGAGCACCTTGCGCAGCACATCCTTATCCGGAGCATCGAAAGTTCAGACTTCTCGACTATTCTCATAGCAAGAGTCGGATAACATGAACAGCCTTTGAGAGTCCGACTGAGTGAGTTGATGGCCACTTTCATCTCCATTGAATCGTCAACATCATCAACGTTAATCCCCAAGCCTAGTTCGTCTGGTCCCTCCAAACTCTTCAAGACACTTCCAAAGACCTAGGTACTCCGTCCATTCAGGATCTGTAACCATAAGAGTCACTGCTCTTTTGACAATTTGGAAAGCTCATCTCTTCCTACCGTATCGCTAACTTAAAGGCGAGTTTGAGGCAGCCTGTGGGGGCCGTTGCTCGGCGTGAAGGATGAAGATGGGTGGTGGGCCGAGGCCTCCTCAGGCATACACTTCGTCGGGCTCTGTTGGATGAAATAAGCAGGCTGTCTGATGGCACGTGTGGAATGCGAACTGCGGTTAAGTGCAAGACACAATACCCAGACCAATCATGATACTGCCCTCATCTTGCTGCGGCTTGTTGAGATCCTGGTGCGCGCTCCGTTGCCTTACTGCTTCTGCCTTATCAAGATGCCATCGCTAGGTGCTCTCCGGCCGTGTCGCTGACCGAATTCTACCTTAGATGCAAGGTCCATCAACGAGGCTTTCCTAATAAGGCCAGGGATGGGTGACAGAGACTGGCAAGAAGATGGCAAGGCCAGCAAATCATGGTCCGAGGCACCACTCCATCAACTGGGGACGTTAACTCTGAGAAAGGTACTTCAACTCTCATAGCCCGTTCTCTGTGTACGATTGGCTTTAAGATCTGCTCCATTCCGGCCCCATTCCTCCGTCTTGCGTGCATGTGGATTTCGCACTTCTTCACGTAGCGTCGCCTCGTGGAACTCTTCTACGCTGGCGAGACGTCTTTTCGCATCACATTGATCGATAGGTCGTGGTCATATGTTGAAAGCACCAGCTCTGGGGACTCGCCAGTAAGTCATCATCTAACAAAGGCACAAGTTGGACATCATTGGCAAGTTCGCCGCCCTGTTGGTTTTGGCTAAGAGCTGAGCTCTCTAACAATGCATAGGTCAGACTACGTATCACATGCATCATGGCAGCCAAACCTCAGGAGGTTTTCAAACTGCTATTCCAACAAGGAAAGCTCGTATTGGATAATCCGCAGAAAGTCACACATATCCATGACAGAGGCGAGTCCTTTCGACTGAAGAGCGAGCAAAGGAATCCACCAAGCCGAAGAACCATTGGGGCTTCCATGCGACCAGAAGAGTTTCGTTTCGAACACGATGTCATCAGAATCATTGCCGAAGAACTCGACGAAGCAGCTGCCATGGTGCCTGACCTTCTTGAACCGGACAAGGACTTCATACCACGGCGCACGTTTGAACAGATTATGACGCACAGCCGAGTCCTATCTGCTGTTCATGTACTCAAGTGCTTCAAAGGCGTACAGGACAAAGATCAGCTTGCCAGGGAAATTCGGTATGGTAGCGTAGATGGCTCGAAGTCGCCCTGTGTCAAGCTACTTGCAATCTTAATTGGAATCGACAGAGCCGAGGATATGTCAATACATATGTGGACTGATGAGCTGAGGGACAGCTGCCTGCCCCTTAAAAAGGTACCTAACGACAGACGTCGAGCGCTTCAGTGCAGGAAGCACAAGGAACATCGCCTACTCAATAGCTATCGTCGACCAGAAGATCGTAATAGGTTTTCTCAATGGACCTACTCCATGTGCTCTCCCTTTATCAAATGGGAGCATGGAACACATCAGCATTACCTTCTAGATACGGGAGACGTCTTTCCCATGGAAGTCATGGCCAAGGTTGAGGAAGAAGACAGGAAATCGGATTCTGGTGGAAACTCATACGGAGGCTTCAGCGAGGTGTACAAAGTGAAGATTCACCAAGGCCATTCCGACTTCGGAGTGCATGGGGTAAGTTACAAATTAGAGCATATCTTGAGAAGTGTTCAGCCACGGAAAACATCAACTGACAGTTTCACCCACCTACCTTAGATTCGGCACCCACAAGGCTACTTTGCGCTGAAGAAGCTCACATCTCATAGTCGTGACAGCTTCAATCTCGAGTTATCTTCACTTGTTTCCACTGCCCAGAACTATCAAAAGAAACATATCATTCAGCTCCTAGCCACGTTCGAGGTGAAGAATGCGGCGACAAGAGAATCAACGTTCTATCTCTTGTTTGACTGGGCTGATGGGACTTTGAACAAGTTCTGGCAGAGCAACGAAGCTCTAGTGAGAGACAAACGGCATTGCAAGTGGATGGCGACTCAATTCTATGAAGTTTGCGAAGCTCTTCGCTATGTTCACAACGACCGCGAACCAACTGTACGATATCTAGAGGACCGAGACTCTAACAAGCAGTTGTATGGACGTCATGGAGACATTAAGCCAGGTAAATTAACTATTCTTATCCCATATCGATACACAACTTACTGAAAGACACTCTCAAGGAAACTTTCTGTGGTTCAAATCGGATAGCTTTCCTGGTCTTCTGGCGTTAGCGGATTTCGGCCTGGGGCGACTGCACACCCAAGTCTCACGCTCAAAGCAAGATCCCAACAGCCTGGAAAGAACAGCAACGTACCGCTGCCCCGAATTCGATCTGGAATTCGGTCTCGTGTCACCAAGGTCCGATATTTTCAGCCTAGGGTGTGTTTTCCTCGAATACGTCACCTGGTTTTTGCTCGGACTTGAAGACGTGGAGAAGACCTTTCCTGATTTTAGATTGGAACAAGATAAACATGGTTTCGACTCTGATGTCTTTTTCTCAATCAAAGATAAGAAGGCTTATCTCAAATCATCGGTTACCAAATGGATCACGAAACTCAAGAACCACCGCGATTGTTCTTGGTACCTATCGGACTTGCTGGATGTCATTCGAGACCGCATGCTAGATCCCGAGTCCACGACAAGAATCCCATCAAGCTTGTTGAGCAAAAAGATGAAGGATCTTTTGAGTACTTGCACCGTCGACCCCGATTACTATCTTAAGCCTAAAAGTTAGGATCCGCGAAAAGGATGACTGAGAAGCCCAGGCAACCTTTCCGAGGCCCGGGAAGGTTAATGGATCACACTTTTTGATGCTCAAGCACAAAGTGAGAAGCAAGAGCTATGTTCAGCCCACTTTAAGACCACGATCTTAAAGACATCATGAATTACATGATTCCACGAAGAAACGGCGGGGCGTCTCGCGTGTCACAAATGTCCGACCTCGATACAATATTCCAGTTCGAAAGGTCAGAATTTTCACATCTCGAGCCTGAAAGCCAATTATTAATTCAATCATGATAGTGAACCCTAATGCGCTGCTCGATCGCTGCTAGCTCGTCCTTCCAAACCGAATACGTTAGTCCATTCAGTCCGACTTGCCAATGTACAAGAGGATATGTCAGACCTTTTTCAGTGGCTTAGGTAGCATGAGGATGAATCTATTGGCTCTTTCCTAATTGAAGCGATCGTCAGTAAATCATGTACTGGTCATAACTGAGAGTATTTTGTAGTAACATCAGTGTACCTTGACTTTATAATTCCCTTGGCCATAGATTGAATCCAGCGATGTTTTCAACTTCGCAGAATCATGATATCTCGCTCTCATTCTCTCCTCGAAAGGGAATTCTGATCCAGGCCCTGGTTTTGGTGCCGTTTGTAATGCTGTTGCACTAGTCTTTTCAGGCTCTGCTTTCGCTTCTGGTTTATCACCGCGACTCGAGCTCTTGCGGAAGAAAGACATCCCGGGCTCTCGAGGTTGTAAGATATATTCTTCGTCAAGTGCCGAAGAGGTGTGCTTCACAGCGATTTGGGCGAGAGGCTTGTGGTTTTCGGTGTCCAAGTTGAGGCGGGAGAAGAAGTGGTTGAGGATCTGAAAAGGCAAAACCGGCGGGGGCAGCACCTGCGCTGGCTTTACTTGTGAGGCTCTTTGTTTCGAGAGGGTTGTATCGTGCGTGCAGGTGACCAATCCCGATTCCGAGTCCCACCCGCCCTGTCTTGCATGATGCATGAGAAGAATCCCAATGGCGGCCCGACAACACATACATGAACACCGCCTATCGCTCCACCTCGAATCTGCCTACGTATACTAAACCAAAGATGTTTTGGCTGCTGCCATGCAAGTAAGCCGACATGGAACTAACTGGTCTTGGCCCCGGCCAGCATAGTGTGAGCAGGGACCATGGAGGCCTACTAAAGCGGCCAAAGGCGTTCTGCGAGGCAGGCTCGAGAGGAGGATTTCGAGAGAGGTTTGGAAGTGTAGAAACTAAGAACAACATGACGGAAATAAAAAGATTTTCAGAGTTGACTCTCGCATACTGATACATATATCTCTCAAAGAAGTCGAGATACATAGGGTATGCTATCGATGTTGTCGAACAGTCCAACGCTCGACACCATCCAGAAGCCTCCTACCTCTGATGTGCCACGCATCTCAGCACTCGTGATGTTGAGGGCCTTGGACGATTAAAGCCTTCTTGGAGCAATAGTCGCCGACAAGCAAGGTTAAAAAGATGGATTTGTCAATTGAGACAGTGAGCTGGTCGGCATCAGATCTTGGTTTCTTTGGGTACACCGAGCGGAAGGCTGTGGTGCTGAGATCCTTGGAAGGCCAGAAGGTTTGTGACGATCTGTTACTTGAAGCTCTCAGAGTGGCTGACACTTCATAGCCTACCAGCCAAGCCCTTTATACCAAAGAAGACTGGGAGCGATGGTTCAGCTCTGTAAGTTCAGAGCATTTCCTACTAGTCGCGCAGCAATGCTAATTACAAGTGCCAACAGTCACAAGGTAGCTCTCCTAACTGGAAGGACTTGAAGCCAGGAGTATGTGTAATGTGAGTCAAAAGTTCTGAAACTACTGGGCATCCAAACGTTTTTTTCCTACGTTGCACGCAGGCAATGCTACTATGGAACATCATACTGATTCCGATTAGTCTGTGTAGCAGAGCTCCTCCGGTCTCGGAAGCGCCCGGTAGAGTGCAATACCTCCCGTTTACAGAGAACACCTGGAAAAGAATCACTAGAGAGTTCCACGTATCTCGAAATGTGAAACGAACGATAGCAAGACTGGTCCCGTGCTTCTCTTCTGCCCGTGAAGATGATACGACGTCAGGTCATCTCAAGATGTGTTTGTTTCTCTTTCGGTACTGTCTACCTGAAGAGGCTGACACGTATTATAGCCTTTTCTGCGCGCATGTCTTCAGGTCTGCCAGACGATCTAGCAATGTCTGCCACTTACATACCGAGTACTGGGACCACATTCGCTGTGGTGTATGGTTGTAACGATGACCAGATGAGAAGCATTGAGTCAAAAGTACGAAGAGCTGGCAAACAAGCCTTTCACCCACTCTTGATGCCAGGGATATTTGAAGAGCTTGAGAGGGCAAGATTGGTTGAGACAGTAGAAGATCTGTTGGACGAATTTACACTTCGATCAGAGAAGCTCGAAACACACCCCTGGAGCCCAGACGCAGATACGGACGGCGCAAAAGCACAGCAGCATTTATCCCTCTGTGTTCAAAGCCAGGGTTTGATGGACCAAATTCGTATGGCAAAACGGCAACTGGCAAAGTTCTCGAACGAGATTGACATCATAACGACAGAATTCGAGTCTCTCGGCGGAGTTGAGTACATCTACAAAAGTGAACCAAGAGCAATAGAGGTAGCGAAAGTGGGAACGAAGATGAAGAGGAGGGTGGACGACATCATGATAGAATATGAAGATAAGATTGATGAGTGCCAGATGATGATTTGCAACACATCATTAGCAATGCAAACGGTAAGTGGATTTCCGACACACGACTTTACTCCGAGAGCCGAAGGTAGTAACACCGGCAGGTTTGGAACCATATTGCAAGACAAGACTCAAAGACCAACACCAAAATGTCAAAAGCAAATGCTGCCGTTGCAGTGCAAACAAAGGTTGAAAGCGCTCAGATGAGGACGATCGCGCTTCTTACCATGATATACCTCCCTCTATCCAGTGTCGCAGTAAGTCATTTATTCCAATTTTCTGGAACCTCTTTCCACAAGTTTCTCTGTACTAACGAGACACATTCATAGGCCATATTTTCTATGGATATGTTCAACTGGGAGGCAGTTGAAGGTCAGTCCATAGTATCGAAGCACATATGGCTATTCGCAGTCCTTGCTGTTGGTCTCACATTACTCACCATTGCTGCTTGGTTCTTGGGGACGCGGCGAGAGAAGGCCATGGCGGATAAGTCGGACAACTACTTCAACTCGCCACAAAGACATGACACATTCGAGTATGTTTAAGGAGGTCAGTCACTCAGTCTGGCTGGGTTGAGGCGAGGGACTTGCGTAGGGTAAATCCCGACTTCATCTGCAGAGGCGGCCACCACTGTAGAAGTTTTCAACCGGAATATTACAGGCGCTCAATAATGTAGATGCAAATACGGTGATCTATCACTGAGGTCCAAGGCTAGTAGAAGTCGGTGATACTGTGGGCCACTTTGTTCCACAGCAGGTGTATATACCAAGGGTTATTCACCTAGCACTCTCGGGGCTTTGGGTTTGACGATTACCGCACGTAAAATCTCTGGCTCTCGTAATTTTCATCCAAACGCCACTTTTATGGAGAGTCCAGCAAAGCAGTAAAAGGGAAATAAGAGAACCTTCAATAAGTTTTCTATGACTGGGTTTCGGGTGCGCAATGGCCCCTTTATCTTGAGGGAATCAGTGAGGGCAAAAATAACGGAACGAACTCTGGCTTGCATCTTGTTACCACCAAACAAAAAGCTCAGACCGAATCACTTGCCATTCGATTCCCGACTTCTTCTGCTTTCATGATGCAGCTTCCATCTCCCAAACCCTTGCAGCACATCGCCATCCAAGCAGAAAGCACAAGAAATCCTCGCTGGACAAGTCTTTCACTAGAGCTCTGACTCACAATTCTGCAAGCTTTAGTCGATGTATTGACTTCTAAAAGGCTCCCTGTCGCCATCTACGCAAGTGTCTCAAAAGAATGGCAGAGCCTTTTCGAAACGTTGTTCTGGCAGAAGTTGACCATCCGGCCCTGGACTTCAACGTCAAACTTTCAAGGGCTTCGCGAGGCTATTCAAAGCCATCATAAATCTCTAATCAAGACTATTTCTCTTCAATTGAGCATGGAACAACATCTTTGCCATCGATGTCTTTGGGAGGCTGGAGGCCAAAATATAATTATCGAGAGTGGAGAGAGAGGATACTTTTTGAGAATTTGGAAAAACTCCTCTCGATTCTTGCTCTTTGGACCGAAGAAATACCCAAAAATGGTATCTCGCTTGAACTAAGCGATATCACAGTGCTGAACGCAGGCGATCGGAGGGGAGTATCTAGGTGTGGTCGCCGTCGTTGTGTCCACCGTCGATCACCCGCCGTTCCAGATCCATTCCTCGAAATCTCCAGCATCAACAGTGTCATCACCAGGCAAGGGCCTGTTGAGGTAGTCCCTAGTATCACCGCAATTTCCATCAGCACAACAATCTCTTGGAGCTGTTCGTCTTTCTTACTCCTTCATCTCTGCGACAGCTTTCCGTGTCTTCAGCGACTCGACTTTGAACAACAGCTTGCAAAGAAGCAGATATTTCAACAAGCAATCGGAGCCAAAGCCACTTTCATGGTTGCAGATCGAGTTCCTTCTCTGCGGAAGTTATCCATGTTGCAGTCTCGGTCCAAATTGATATCCGAAGCACAAAGCCAAGGTGACTCTGAGGAAGCAAATGGGACAGTAGGTGTGCTCCAGATTGCAGTTTCCACCAGCTTTCATCTTAAGGAACCGGCGATTACACATGTCATCGATGCGAGAGATCTCTTTTCCAACTTCAATCTTTTGATCTCATTCAGCGAGGCATCACCTTCTTGCAAGCTTGAGCGCCTAGTCCTCAGCTGCCAGCTTGGGCGACTGGCTGTTAGTTCTTTAGAGGCAGATTGTCTACTTGCTGCAGCAAGTCGTGCAGCTACATGTATGCCTTGTTTGAAGATATTGGAAGTATGGAGTCCTGGTATTGGAGAAGGGTTCTCAGTCAGATACGAGGTCAACACGAGCGAGATCAATTTCGCGATGGTTGCGACTCGGCAATTCGACATCATGTCTTGGCAATGTGCTCGAGGGTATAAGGCTTTACGGGCGTGGGAGTAGGTAGCGAGCCGACATACACACTGGGGGTTCAGTTATGCAATTCAGAGTATCAACGCGGTGTATCTACTCAAGCTTCACAGTATTAGCAGGAGTCTCAAATTTCGTGAATTCATTATTGTTCAACGGAGAGATTCTGGATAAGTTGAGTAAGAACGAATTAGTAGAAGAGTACACTTTCACTGACGACATGCGATGGTGTCCGTCTTGGTGAGGCAGTTCCATTTTGCTGGCTAGGCTCGCCTGAGAGCCTTAGGTGAAGACGATGAGTGAAGACATCTGATTTACAAGTCATCGGCTTGCATTGCGGTATCACTCGTGTGATACCGGCCTATGGCGGAGGTGCCGGCATGCGTCCCTTCAGAGACGCCCTCCTCCAGGATAGAGGCTCCATTAGTTGAGTGCAACTAGGCGACCAAACAGGGACTCTCTCATACGTGTTTATGCATGAAGAAACTTGGGCTCTCATTCTATACACGCCTGCTTCGGAAGGAGGCTCCGGCTTGACAAGTGACACTTCATGCGCCAAGGTAGAGGCTCTTGACCAGTCATATAGGAGCTTGTCATCCATTTCTCTTGATAATGATGAAACTAGAGACTTTACCTAGTCCATTTGGTTCATGGTAAACAGTGCAGGCAATCACGTCGTGAGTTGTGTCGATGGAGCAAGGATCACCAATAGGAAGGTAAGGTTCAAAATGGCTATCCGGTCTACAGGGATTTCAATCCTCTTCGGATCATAGAGGAAGAAATGCAAGGGTTGCAGTGGTAAATCCAGGAACAGTGCAAACAAGGCAACCAGAAACCCTATTTGTACCCATATTCGTAGTGTTCTAAGGAGTAAAATTAATTGACGTCTGAGCATTGCGTACTCCGTACGGATACTTCAATCTTCAGAAGCTCATACATCCCGCATCTTGAGCCATAAAGAGAAGAGGAACGGTCCGTAGACCTCTACGCTCAGTAGGAATGCTTATTATTACCTCAGCAAGTCGTATTTCTAGGCTGCCATTCATGCAGTGTCATGACCAGCTGAAGCTAAAGTTCAACTGTTGGGTTGAGGAAACGATAGCGTGGTTCTTGGACGTCTTGCATCTATCTGCACTAAGCCAGATGAAGAGGTGTAAAGAGGCGTGGCCATGTGGGAGGAATTGAGCGTGGTGCTGACAGACGCCGATCGGAGGCCGCGAATCGCGGCCCCGCTCTCTCACAGGCCTGTTGACGATGCCGCGGAGCCGAAATGAGGGTGGAGCTGGCGCGTGAGAGAATTGAACGATGGCCTGCGAAGGGGAAAATTGCGACCAGTGAGGATCGTGATGGTCCAAAGACGCATTTCCATACCTCAGAGAAGCCGCACTTGATGTGTCCGTACAGAATCGAGAGTGGGCATTGCTACTTTACTACTCAATGTTATCCTCCTCGTTCATTGTGCTCATAAACGTCTGAACAGTGAGTGAGTGCGTGAGTGAGTGAGTGACATGGAAGTGAGTGAGCAACGGAGATTGAGTGAGAGATGGCCGCTGACTAAAGCACCTTATCGAGTGGATTGCGTAAGGGGACTCGACGAATTGTGGCTGATGGCGTGCGCCAAGTCGCCAACCAACGCCTGCAAGCTGCATGGACGGAAGTACCGAGGCAGATGTAATGATTGGTGAACCCAAGGACTGAATGGCCGGTGATTGTTGCTTGCCTGGTGCCTCCATGGCCGATGAGCAGTGCGACATGGGCCGTACGGCGTAAGATACTCGGTAGTCTGCAGAGATTGCAGCGAACTTTACTTAATCTTAAGATTTGACCCTTTTTTCTTGACCAACTTGGCCGTTGCAAAAATTTCTAGGCGCGCAGCAGAAATGATAGACAGCAAGTCAGCAATAGGGGAAATTCCCAGTGGTGCGGATCCGGTCGGTACAACGGCAGGGATGCAACGTGGAGTTTGGCAGCGCATCACAACAGGACGGAAGGTGGGTGGTGCGGCGTGCCGTCAACAGTGGAACGATGCCTTGTGTGTGTGTGTGTGTGTGTGTGTGTGTGTGTGTGTGTGGGATGATGAGGGAAGGTGTGGTGACGCATACAGTAGAGCAACTGTTCCCGAGTGCGATTTGCAATTTGCATCATTCCATGCATTCCGTGATGCATCAACTTGAAGGTTGTCAACAATGGAAGCTCGTGCGGAATGGCAGGTACCTCTTGCCAAGAGTTGAGGTGCTCCATTGAGAGAGGGGCCGCGGAAGGAATCAACGGGAAGGATGAGAACCTAACCTCGAAGACCTGCCTCGGGGAGTCGGGGAAAGGAAAGAGGTATTCGTGCCTTTAGACTTAGGTAAGCACCCAGCGTGAAAGGAAGAAGGGGGAAAATCAGAAGGAACCTGGCACGCATGCACGCCTGACTTGTTATTGTTGTGTCCGCTTGCGAGCTGCCACACTTGCTTGCCGCCTGATGGGAATTTGGGAAAGAAGTGAATAAGAAAAAGAAAAAAAAAAAGGCCGGCCGAAACGAGATGAGAAATGGGCCGTGCATCCGGTAGTGGTGATTCTGATCATTAGCAGGGGAGCATCGCGTTAATCCTCATCAAGTCTAGTGTCACAGTGACTGTCACGGCTGGGAGCTCCAAAACCTCCTTCCATTTAGACCTTGGCATTCACTGACTCCTTGGTTAGCAGCCCTGCACTTTGGTGCTTGCGATCTTTGATGCTTGAGAGACGGGGCCCGCTACACTAAGGTACTCCTTACCCCTTGCCTCCTTGTCTTTCTCCAATTAGCAACTGGCACCACCGAGACCACGTACATAATAATCTGATCACCATGGACTCGTTCAATGTTTGGCAGCGCAAACGACATATTTATCAAACAATCGAGGCGATGTTTGCACTATAAGGTACTCCGTACTTGCAATCTGATTATGTCTTGATGTCATGGTTAGGTTGTTTCCATTGCTCACCTCAAGCACAATCCCGGAAGGTAGCTGCATGCCAAGGTCCTTCCCAAGGTAAAGGTAGGTCAGCAAGGAGAGGCACAGCTGGCAGGTGCCGGAGCTACCCATGTCTGCCGCTTGCCCAGCCGGACCTTCTTGTTCGACGTCTATCGAGCACGTTCTTACCCTGGCCTCCGACACTGGATGCGGAACTTCTTCCTCTTTCATATGGCGTTTTTTTTTTTTTTTTTTTTTTTTTTTTTTTTCATTTTGATATTCCCCAACCTCAACCTAAAAGCTGCAACACTTGGAAACCGAGATCAATGTCTCACTCACCCAACTTGACCATCTTCATCCATTGAGTCAGTCTCCCGGCGGCATCACCTCCCGTCTTCCTGCGAATGTCGGCCGAAAGCCATCTCCTACCTACTATGCCTGAATGTGAATGATCGAGGGCAAATTCGCCATACCCCAACGGTTCACCACCACCACCGCCTCCTCCTGGCCAATGGCGCACGTCTTCGGCTCGATGCCTCTACATGAAAACAATGGATGAAGCAAACCAAAGCTGCAAAGCTGCTCTCTCCGTGGGCCCCACCAGCAGTCCACCACCACCACTTGTGTAGGTAGTGTATGAGGTTCAGACCAGGATGGCGTCGCATTGCCGGAACAGAAACATAGTTTCGAGGTCGTCGAGAGGGTTTGCGTCCCCACGCTGCCCTGCGACATGCGTCCTGCGCTTGCTTCCCCTGCACCCACTCACCAGGGCACCAAGCAAGCAAGTTGGCAACCACGCAGCCATTGCGCGCGGCGCGCCCCCTTTGTCTATGTACCGCCGATGGCACCGACCCTTTGACCAGGAACGGTGAAGTGTGGTCACGTCCAACCCTTGCCGCCCCCGAGTCAAGCTGTCGCCATGTTGCGCCTCTGCCCTAGCATCTGCGGCTGCGCATACCTCGCCATCTCTCCCCATGTTCACGCCTAGGATAGGTACGCTCTCTACGAAGTCCCTACCCGCACTTTACGCCTCGACGCCTCTACACAACGACTGTACAAATATAGATACTGTATCCGTACAGAGTGCACTCCACACAAATCTTCTGTACGACTACGGAGCAGATAGATTATGGGCCAGACTGTGCATCTCAGGTCCCTGCCCGTCTCTCTCTCTCCCTCCCTCCCATGGTCCATCCATCCATGGGCCACCAGGTCCTGTCACTGGCTCCATGAGCCACACCATGGACCATCCTCAATTGCACAATGCTGCTCCCAATTCGGAAGCGTCGTGCCCCCGGCCAACCTCTAGCGGTGGCCGTCATCGCCGTGGGCCGTGGGCCGTCGTGGATCATGGACCGTGGGTCGTCCGCTATGGAATTGTGGCTGCTGTTGGGGCAGGGCCGGACTGATGTTTGGTCTGCCCCCAAACTCGATCCCAAACTCTAAGCCCATTCCTCGAAGCCTTTTTCGTCCTGGTTCCTCCTCGCCGTCGTTCCAGACCTACACGCCTCCACGCCTCCACGCCTTTCCCTTCCTGTGCTTCGTCAAGTAGCCGCTACCATTCTTGTAATGCTTATCCCCCCCATCTTCTTTCTTCTCCTGGCCTACCTTATTACTTTAGTTTAATCCTCCGTTTCCTCGCCTTGCTACCGAGTTCCCCCCTCCCACCTCTGCCAAGGAGACCCGTTGGACCTGTTCCCCTGCTCAGACAACGTCAGCTCGTCTTCAGTCCAAGCCCTGCAATCGTCGTCCGATCTTGGAATCTCTGACCGCGCATGTTCCAAACAAAACTCGACAACGGCCGGACTTGACACCTGGCTTCTGTGTAGCTGTTGTAACATCTACTTTCAGTTACGACCAACGGGAATCCTTTTTAAACCATTAATATCATCGTGAGCTTTGTCTTGGCACACGACTTTGGCGTAGACTTACATGGTGATACCCTCCAGGACCTTCATAGACACATATTTGTATAAAGAAGACGACGAAGACGACGAATACGACCACGACCCCTTAAACCGAGCCTCGTTTCATTGGCACGAACAAAAGTACCGCAATGCCGAAATCAGGGGAATTTGCCTTCGCTGAAGAGCGATCTTCATCATCCGTAGAGGATTTTGACCTCGACGACGAACACAAGGAACCATTGCTGCCCGGCTCGACCTCGATTTCGCGCCGGAGGCAACGAGGAACACTGCTTGCATGGCTCAAAGGACGGCCAAAGTCATTGTTGAGAAAGTTCCGCCGCCAACCTCGATCCCTTCCGCGACTCTTACTCCGATATACGTTCATGTTCATACTCTTCATCATTGTTACAACGCCGATATTCTTCCCGTCGTACACGCGCCATCCGAAGCACTACAAGGATTTGAGAAAAAGATGTCTAGTGTCCGACAGCCTTTCTGGTTGCGCCAACATGCAAAACGAAAAGGTATTCATTGCCGTCAGTTTGTTTGATCCAGAGGGAAAGATTGCAGGGGGAGAATGGGCCAAGAATGTACTGGACCTAATCCACATGATTGGCGAGGACAACACATTCCTTAGCATCTACGAAAATGACAGCGGTGACTTGGGTACTGCTGCTTTGGAGGAGTTTAAGAAAAATGTGCCATGCAAGCACAAGATCGTCAGCGAGGGACAGGTCGACTACAACGTCTTCCCGCATGTCACCATGCCTGATGGAACACAGAGGTTGAAACGCTTGGCGTATCTGTCCGAGATGCGCAACCGCGCGCTCTACCCGTTGGACCAGTACGACACGGATGCAGGGATTGTCAAGTATGACAAGATCTTGTTCCTTAACGACGCGCTCTTTGCGCCGGTAGACGCTGCTCATCTACTGTTCAACACGAATGCGGGCGAAGACGGCAAAGCTCACTATCTTTCGGCATGTTCCTTGGACTATGACTGGAACCCCTTCCTCGAGTATGACCTTTATGCGCAGCGCGATGCAGAAGGTTACTCCAACGGCATCCCAATCTTTCCGTACTTCACCAACAAGGGCCAGGCAATCTCGCGCAAGGCCATGCTCTCGCAGACAGATGCGGTCCCCGTCAAGAGCTGCTGGGGTGGAATGGTGGCCATGCAAGCCAAGTACATCCAGAACTTGGACAAGAAGCTGCCAACCAAAGACTGGCAAGCTGTTGCGCACCACGTCATTAACCCAGATCACCCTCACAACACGACGACACCAGTCCGATTCCGCTACGAGCCCGAGGTCTACTTTGACGCCTGCGAATGCTGTCTGTTCCTTGCCGATGTTACGAGTGTTGCGGATAAGGCCGGAGAGCCAGACATGGGCGTCTTTGTGAACCCATACGTGCGCGTGGCATATCGCAAGAGGACACAACGCCTCGAACGTGTCATCCGCCATTGGGAACGGCTTATGGCCCTGCCGCAGGAGATCATCACCTACTTTTCACGGTTCCCGACCCCGAACCCTCACAGAGGAGTTGTTGAAGGGCAACGCTTCATGGAAGAAATTTACCAACGCCGGGAAGGGTGGAAGATGGTTGAGCGGACGGGGCGCAACGGCATGTTTTGCGGGGTCCGGGAGATGCAGCTCATCAAGGAGGGCCCGCGCAACGGACGCAACTGGGAGAACCACTACAACATCCCATGGGCGGAGCAGCAGTTGGACTTCCCCATCTAATTCTGATTCTCGATTTTTGACGGAGCTTGTACTGGTTGGTGTAATGGGAAACACGGCGCTTGTGGTTGGTTGAACTATGGAGCATCAGCATTACTTTTGTTCGACGGCATTGGATGGGTCAACCTATTGGGCATAACGACGATGGTTCGATACGGAGAAGGTTGTTGGGTTCCAAGGCTGTATGCCACCCAAAAAGAAGGGGGGGGGGGGCGAAAAGGGGCAATGGGGTTTTTGGAAAAGTGTCATAGACGTACTGGCACACTTTGTGCACCTTGATACCACTTTCGTTTATACTTTTGAATGCACTTCTATCAACGATTCCTCTCAGTTGCCGCTGCTACTACCCCTTGATCATTGGCCGTCGATCATCCTTGGCAAGAAAGACCTACCGCGTTAGTCTAGTTCATGTTGGATGAGTGTGTGAGTATGCTAGATGCCTTTCTTGTCCTACCTTGTGAGGTAGGTAAGTAACGTGCTCGAACATGACAGACGCTTTTCAAGCGTAGACATGGGACAGAAGATGATACAAACGAGAATCGATTTTATCCCTGATTGACTGTTGAATTGGACCCCTGTTCGGTCCTTGCTGCAAGACAGTAAAACGTCAAGCAAACCAGACGAGCCCAGACCCAGACCCGGACCCAGACCTAAGCCCAACAAGTAAGTAACCTACCTATTTGCATTCCCAACCCACAGTCCGAACAAAACCCAAACGTTACACTAAAGAGAGGAATACCGAGAAGCTAGCCTCGCCAAACAACATGCGGACGCGGCGCGTATAGACAGACAGCAATCCGATAGACAAGACGCCCGCCCAAGAACCCAAAGTCACAAATAGCAAGCCCAAAAAGTCCGCTCGCTCAACAACAATCAAGGTGGTATTTTGGAGGAGAAATGACACTGGCAAGCCCCGTACTGAAGATTGAAGAGAGAGAGGGAGACTCATTCATGCGCGAGGCATGCGTCGAAGAAGAAGTAGCCAAGACACACTTAGGCGGCGGCGGGGGTTGCCTTGGCCTTTGTGGTCTTGGGCTTGGTCTCCTTCTTGCCTGCCTTGGTGGCGGCGGCGACCTTGGTTTCTGCCTTCTTGGCTACCGACTTGGCCTGCGGAAGGTGTGTTAGTGATGAAGCTCAGTTGTTGAGTAATGGCAAGAAGAGTTATTAAGAGGGTCTATATCATGGGCTTGGGGCAGAAGTATTGGTGGGACGCGCGACTTGGTCGGCCGGATTTTCTGAACACGAACACAAGAGAGAGAGCTGCGCGCCTCCAGCACCTGTAAGGTATAATGCATCATGAACATACCTTGGTAGCGACAGAAGGGCCCTTCTTGGCGGTGGTGGCCTTCTTCTTGGTGACGCCGACAGGCTTCGCGGCCTTGGCAGCGGTAGAAGTGGTCTTGGGCTTCTTCGCGGTCGTGGTGGTCGCGGTGTTCTGCTTGCGAACAGGAGCGGTGTCGACGACTGGGAAGAGGCGCGGCTTGGAGTTGCCGGTCTGGGAGCGGGTTCCTTCACGTGCCATTTTGACGGTTGGTCTGGTGTCGCGATGAAATGTTAGTTATTGGTTTACAACGACGAGATTGACGCGATCGTGATAGATGCAATGCGACGAAAAGAATAGGTTGTGGTTGTGAATGCGCTCGTGAGAAAGAGACATGAAGAATGGGTAGAAGGAGGGGAAACCTGAAGGCGTGTGGCGACGGCGCGATGGGCGGGAAAAACGGGCCCAAGTTGGTCGTTTTTGGAAGACTTACGGGTGGATGAAGATGATTGAAAAGTGACGCGTCGGAGCTTTCTGAAGCTGCAGAATCGAGTTAATCCAAAGGAAGATGGGAAATGGAAAGTTTGCGACGAAGAGTGGTGGAACGGCGAGGTGTTGTTGTGGAAGAAGAGAAGATGGGAGGTGACGTGGTTTCGTGTTGCGGCGCGAGGGGAGGGGAGGGGGGAGGACTGCGGATATGGCTGATTGAGTGCTGGCGGTCGGTGGTGCTGGTGGTGGACGGTCACAAGGGGCACACACACACGTCTTCACACACACACACACACACCTTTGCACGGGAGGAGCGGTGTCGGAACACATGTTTAGGAAATTACATTATCGTGGGCGATGTGGAGGGAATTGATTTTCATGTTGTTTGTTTTCGTTCGGCTAACTAAATTATCTTTCAAATGAATGGAGTAAAGCCGTGCCTTCTTTTCTGATGAATTTGCGGGGGGATGGAATGGAAGGAGCACCTTGTTCACCTGCGACGGCAAGATGGAGGGAAGGAGAGAGGCAGACGGGAGACAGAGGCAGGAACCTTAGAGGCAGGAAAGAGGGGGACAGCCAGTGAGTGAGGGAAGTAAGGCACAAGACACAAGATCTGGATGCGTTGGGATTCCCATTGCCTGAATGGGCAGCTGCGTCTGATTCTTCTCCTTCTTTCCAACACGGTCAAAGTCCTTCCTGCCTTCTTATCTCCCACTTCCAGCCTCCGTCGACTCGGCGTGGGGTTTGGCGTACGCTGATACGCCTTTTTACCTTCTTTGCCTACATTTCCCATGATAAAGTCATGTTCTCGAGTCGTCACAGTGGCCATCGCAATCAAGATTCGAACAAATGTCGGCCACGGCAATCTCGTTAGGCGGTCCCGATAGACCAAGCACATGATGGACACAAGCGAAGAACGCGCCAGTTCTAGACCGACCGAAACCACCCCAGGCACGCGACGTCTGGCGCCCAACTCCCCGGTCTCTGGAGTCTAGCGCTCTGGTTTCTCGTCCCCGGGCTCATTCATGGCTACGGATCAGATGGCTTACGGCCCATCTTGTTCTTTTCCAATGATGGATGACGGATGTCTTCGCCGAGCTTCCCCTCCACCGTGCCTACGGTCTCGACCACCGTTCACAGTCACTCTGTTCAATATCGACTCTTCATCCTTCTTCAGCGGCAACGCCCGCCTGAACCGTGCAGCGCAAGCGTGTCCCCCGACCACAGCAAACGCCACGCCCGCTCTCGTACCCATTCGCCTCGCTATTCCCACTTCACATGGCTTGCTCTCCATCTCAGGAGGACACTCCCTGATGTTGAGGTATCGGATGAAGGAAACAAAAATGACCAAGGGCATTCAACGAAATGGGAAGGTGTGGCGATGCCAAATGGCCAAGCCGGTATCTTCGCCATTTCCTGTCCTCATGGCCTACGCACGCCGCCTCGTACACAGAATGGCAGACAGAGAAAACGCCCTGGGATGCAGGGTATCGTGGCCACAGCGATGATCATTCAACGGCGCGCCCCAATACCTCCCCCGCGGCGCTGTCTGCATCAAGGGTCTGTCCGTGCTGGCCCTGCTGCTGTCAGAACGTTGAGCCCCGCATACGCGCTTCTTCAGAAGCCCACATTGACATGTCCCCACGCGAGCGACTATTTCCGAAGCAATTCAGAAGTCAGAAAGCCACATTCATGAATCGATGCTCAGCACTTGCAGACGTGACATACTCGCTTGGATATCAATAGTCAAACCAAAATTTGGAAGAGGAGTTCAATTTGATGGTTCACCTCTGTACACAAATCCTTTCCACGAACTGCAGCCCTCGTTCTGGCTTTCACCCGCAACATACAAGTGTCCCTCGCCGACCCAAGCTTGCTCTGGGTTCATATTGATAAGCGTGTTTCTTCAGGTCCTTGTGCAAGCTCTTGAGCTCCTTGTTGAGTCTCTTGCTACGCCCCAAAATCTCTCTTGCTCCCTGCATCATGGCATCGTCTGCCCGATTCAATTTGCTCACTTTCTCGAGGATCGCCTGCGTCCGCCGTCGCTCACACGACAAGTGGTCAATATTGACAGTCGTCACTTTGCTAACCTCGGCCATGGTCACCCCGGGTCTTTGTGCCACTGCCTGGACCTGACGCCATTTGGTCTGTAATTTCAGCTGCAAAATAAACCCTCTGGCTGCAAGCCGGAGTTGCTCGACTTCGGCGCTAACTGTAGATTGCAATAGGTGTCAGTTACCTCGACTTTTCAAGTGGAATTTGGGACGATGCTTACACTCAACAACACTTTTGCTCAGCTCGGTTCTTATGCGGCTGATCTCCAACGAACGGCGAACAAGCTTGCTTGCCTCATCCTGTTGCCGTTGGCGATTCGAGACCTGGACTTTCGTGACGAAAGACGCCAGCACTCTTCTCCACCATCTTGCCTTTTTGGGCTGAGCCAACTCCTCTCCGTTCTCGTACCTCGCCGAATCTTTGACATCCTCGATTTCAATAACAGTCACCTTGCCTAGACCCCAATCTTTCTCGCCACAGAGAGTCTTCTCGGACGCGGACTCGGATGTGACCGATACTCTTCCTGATGCGGCGGTCTCCCGTTCGGACACTACTTGTAGTTGTTTGGCAAGGGTGACCGCCTTGTCCACTCGACTCTCGATGCCTTGAGATTGCACAGCAACCTTACACAAGGAAAGAAGCTCGTCGTACCACTTGACGACCTTCTTCGTTGTGAAGACGGCCAAGTCAACATCGAGCTGAAGAGGGTCGGACCTGAGAACCGAAGAAAACAAAATGGCATTCCAGAGAGGTTGTGTGTTGTCGTCGCTCCGGTCCACTCGCCTACGAGCCTCTCGAAGGGCGACGGAACTCGAGGTCGTCGCCAAGGTCATTCCACAAACAGGGTCTGTCACCTGAGCATGCTCTTTCAGTATTCCACACATAGTCAAGACTCAGTCGGTTTTAAGACATACCTCCATGTACTTGAGGAGAAGCTCTTGGGTTGCCTTCTGCGCACTACCACTTGGCCCGCCCTGTTCGAGAGGGTGGCAGTAGTAACCTGCCGGCTCAATGCCCCACGGCCTCCTACATTCACCGGCAATGCGAGGATGACAGGCAAACGAAAAGACTTTTCCCCAATCGAGGGTACCTCGCTCGTCGGCATTCGCCCTCGCTAACCCTGACATGATGTCTCTTAGGGCTTCCATAGTATCCAGAAACGCACGTCTTGCAACGCCCATTTGGTCGTAGGTCAGCCAAATATGAGCAAATCTCATCTATTTCATGTCAGTGATGTCTGAAAATGGGCGTACGTGTCTGAGAAGCAGTTGACTCACTTCCAAAAACACGATCTTCGGCGTCTTGTCTTCGATATTTTGCCCACGTCTCAGCTTTCTCCCCAGCAACTCCCATCCTGCCAGTTGCTTTTGGTGCTTAGGGAGAAGCAGATACCTCCACAGGGATGTTAAACACTGGGGAACATCATCTCGAGTCGCGTAATAGCGGCAGTTCAAGTCGAACCTGAGCCGATTTGTCGGCTGCTGTGTGGACCGCCGCTGGACCGCCTTGGTGTTTGTCGTGTCAGACTTGAACCCGGGGAGCGGCTTTTGGACGGTGACGTTAACCGAAATCGGCATCATTGTGAGAGAGATACTGAGCTTGGTATGTGAATCTTGGAATGCGAGCATCCTCTTGGGCTCATATGCTGGGGAGGCACGTACCCTTATGACTCTGGCACAACCTTGGTAGGCCAGGTCCGGGTTGCTTGGCGACCCTGAGGTCCTTGGATGCGGGCTATTTCATTTGTAACTCTGGGTGGCTTACGCATCTCATGTGCGTTTCGCTGGGTTCGGCGAATATGGCTTCATAAGTCGGCGACATTTTCTCCCGATTTGAAAGCTACCAGGCCCTTGAGGCCGTGAAGGGAAGGCAACTGTGACTGACGTGTTCGACAACTCAGAAACTCTCTCGGCAGCCACGCAAGATACACAACCTTGACGCCATGAGCATCGCGGCCTACTTGACTCATGATTTGAACCCTGGTCATGAGGGACCTGAAAACAGCGGAGGGTGGCTTTCCAATCTTCGCAGATTCCGCGGCCCCACGGCGGTTCGGAGGTTCTAACCCTTCAGCGACCTGTCATGGGCTATTTATTGAATACTAATGCCGGTTGTTTCTTCCTCATCCATCTTGAGTCAGTCGTGTCATACACTTAGCAGCCGGTTGTCGTGCTTTTTGCGACTATAATCTTGTTTCTACTTCACTCACTCGTGGCTTGTGACACGACCTTTGTGGAGTTGCGATTGAATTTCTTGATGGAGTCCACGACCTTTTGATATCTCCATGGGCGAAGGCGAAGATTTCAATCTATCAGAGAGGTGCCCAGCTGTGTTTCACAGTGCTTCAAGGCCAAATTGAGTTGATTTCAAACATGCTGCAAAGTTTTCCATGCCAGACGATTATACAAATAATTCAACAAATTTGTAATTGCATTTAAAATACGGTATGCAGCAGTTTTGCACTCCTGCGCGCACAACATCGCAGCTTGAAGAAACCTACATATTTCCAGGATCCCACAGGTCAAGCTTATAATGAGAGACGTCTTAGAGTGAAGGACAGTTGATGTGCATTCGAGACCACGCCGCTGACGCGATACTGTTGCGGAGAGGCTGGACGGCGGCGACATTGTCATCTATGCCGACGTCTGCTCATTCCCACGCTGCTGTTTCAACGTCTTCTGAACGAATTTTCCTATATGGAAAGTCGCGAGTAATAGGAGTCGTTATAATATATCATGGCAATGCCCAGAGTTGAGAAAATTTGCAGCAAGTTGAAGACATATCCTCCAGGTCTTCTACGCATCAACGGTGAGTACAATAAACCAATCAATATGATGCTGGTTACCATCTTATACTGTGCTCTTTTGGTCTCTCCTTATCCTTTTTCTTTCAACCCTCCTTCGAATTGGGAGAGGCCTCTAAGATATTCGTTTCTTCTCGCTAAGAACACCAAGACATCCTGCTACCCGGCGGTTGACTTCGTGCTGGAGCGTCTCCTACGACTCATTCTGATTTCTGCGTCCTTTGACTTGGTGAGACTTCTCGACACATGCTGTTGTCCCTCCAGTGAGCCTCCATACTCTTCATTTCCGAGTGAGACAGCTGATCGAAACAGTGTCTTCAAAAAGCTATATCAAGATCGGGGCTGAATATTATTCGCTTCCGTCTATTCTAACTCAGGGGTGCTTTAGTCAGCCTTAGCCCGTACCATTGACTGTCTCAGGCCCTACATAATTGCCGTGTCTTCTTCAAGATCTTGATCAGGTCTTGCTCATCTCCCCCCTCCACCGCGCGGCAAACTTCCACTGCACCCCAGCACCAAGAAGTGCAGCCAGCTGAGCCACAACACACACGGTGAAAGCCCACCCCACACCGATCCCACTCACCATAGGCATCACAAAGCTCGTGCCGCTAGCGGCGAAAAGACACCTGGCGAGGTTGACGCTAGCGCTAGCTGCGGCGCTGCGGTCGGGGAAGACGTCGATGAGGTACGTCATGACCAGAGACTGTGTCGAAACGGCGGTCCAGCCCGTGATGAAGGTCGAGATGATGGGGACTGCGATGTGTACCTGGCGGGGGAAGTTGATGGTCCAGCCAAAGATTGCAATGGAGACGCATTGGAGAAGCGCGAAGATTGGTATGAGACGAAGACGTGCTTTTTCGATTGGAAATCCCACGTTGATGTCCGAGCTCGTAAGGGTGCTGCTTTCTTGGTCGCTGCTCGCCTCATACGTTGCCTTGACACGCTGATAGTTAAGGTCAAGAAGCTTGCCCGTGACCAGCGTGCCAATGATGGAGCCCACACCGTTTGCGATGAACGTCAGGCCAATGTGGGTTTCTGATAGACCGTAGCGTGATTTGAAAAGACTTGACATGGCTGTGATGCTCATCTGCCATACCGCGTAGTAGACGGCGAGAAACAAGACAATAGGGGCGGCGCATTTGTTGAAGAGGATCCGAAGGGGTCCCGTGATGTCAACATGCTTGGCAGATGCTTTTCTTGGAGCAGATGTGCCAGCACGCCATGCTACCTGGGAGGTTCGTCGGTAGATGATCAAGGGGTACTTTCCCAGACAACCCTTTGGTGTTCTAGTACCGTTGTCGACGACAGACCTCAGAGTTTCCGGTAGTAGAAGTAACAGCAATGCGAGAAATACAGCGCAGTAGATCGCAAGGAACCAAAAGATGCTCCTCCATCCCAAAGATCCAGCCAAAGCACCTCCGATGACAGGCCCTACGGCAACTGGGACCAGCAAGCCAGCCAGGAAGACGCCCATGTACCCGCCCCTCTCTTGCCGCGTCGTTATATCGCTAATGACTCCAGAGCCTATAGCAATGGTGCTCGCGCTTCCAGTGCTCTGTAAACATCTGAGGACGATTAAAGTTGCGTAGTTTCTGGTTTCTGCTAGACCGATGCACGCGCCGAGGAATACGACAAAGGTGCAGCAGTAGGCGACCCGTCGGCCCTTGACGTCGGAGATTGGGCCCCATACACTGGGTGCCAGACCTTGGAATATGAGGTAGGCGGTTACTGTGAGGTTGACAAGCTCTACTGAGACGTTGAGGTCGTCGGCGATGGTGGGTAGGGCTGGGAAGTAGATGTTTGAGGCGAAGCCTGAGACTGCGGTCCAGGTTAGCAGTGGAGCTAAGGATTCTCCAATAAGTCGCTAGACTTGCAAGTGGCTGCAACTGAGACTAGAAACATGATGATTCTTTTCTGGCATATATCGAAGATGGTGAATGGTTCGCGAGGTTGCGTGTCATTGACATTGAGGGGTTCTTCTGCACTTTGAGGGGCCATCTTTGACTTTTCTCTTTCCAAAGAGAACTGCAGTTTCAGAATAAGTACAAGATATCATGAAGGTCTTGAGACTGAGGGAACGGGTAGCTGGTCTAAATACGGCTGCAATGGATGTCGATGCCTTGTAGACTTGACCATGACGAACGGCCTCCGGAGTTGAGCCCCACTCTTTCGGAGTTGAGACTTTGCCCCATCATCCAAATGCATTTCTTGCATCGAAGAGCACCCAGACTGAGTCCCGCACACTAATTATGGCTGCATGATTTTGTTCCTTCTATTGATATGATGACTTCAACTGGAGTGGCTTCAGACTATTCTGCCCTTTAGTCTGAGCAATTCCTACGAACGAGTAAGAGACCGAGACTCCAAGGTACCGGTACAGAGATCTCCCTCCGGATCTGTGAGTTCGGAGCCGGAGGGACGACCCACTACTTCCGATTGGACCTCTCGATCCAACAAGCTCCACTTCCTTCGGCTGTGAGCAGCTGGCAGTGTCCAGGAGTGGATCGGAGCTTCCTTCCCGAATTGTGTGCTCTCCCCCCTTGGGGTACATTCACCTTCTTCTCTTGACGCGACTTCAACCTCACTTCTCAATATCATCGCATGATTACAGTTCGTGTTGTTTCCACAGCTTGAATAATGAAGGACCGGCAACATGTCAACATTCAACGGACTCGTCGCGGAGTTCCCTGACATACGAAGTAAGTCTCCTGCCCAATCATGCACACAGCTATTCGCCTGTTGCCTCACAGAATTCACCTCGAACAACCAGCCATATCTTCATTGCAGTATATCTCTGACAATTCCACAGTTGACTTCTTTCGGAAACATGCAGACCGTCGTCCGCCTCTTGCATGCTTCCTGAGCCATATACACAGTGACCACTTGGCTGGGCTTGACTCCCTGCGGTCTCCTTTCGTCTACTGCTCCGCAGCCACTCGGGAGATGCTCCTCCGTCTCGAGCGTTACCCTTGTCGTATCAATTACGCCAAAGGCATCCTCGAGGCACGCGCGCAGACATACAAGCATCTGAAGAATCTGCTCAAGCCGTTACCCCTGGAGACCCCCACCACGTTGGAGCTGGCGCCGGGCAGTCACATTCAGGTCACGCTATTCGACGCAAACCATTGCCCTGGTGCTGTTATGTTCCTCATTGAGGATTCATATCGCGCCATACTCTACACGGGTGACATCCGGAGCGAGCCATGGTTCGTGAATACGCTTGCCAGGAATCCCGCCGTTATTGAGTACACCTCTGGCATGAAGACGCTCGATAAGATCTACCTTGACACCTCCTTCACCAAGGACATACCCTTCCAGACCAAGGCCGAAGGCATTGCGGAGTTACTACGCAAAGTAGCCCAGTACCCAGACAACACCATCTTCCACATCCAAGCATGGACCTATGGATACGAACAAGTCTGGATAGCTCTGGCCAAAGCTCTCAAGTCCCGAATTCATGTCGACGACTACAAGATGCGCATCTTCTCGTCGCTCACCGGCAAGACATCGAACGATCGCTTCAGCTCTTCCATTCACCTATGTCCAGAAGCTCCTGCTCTGGCAGGCTACGTGTGTGGGAATACACCCCACCCCGGGTGCCTCACCCGGGATGAGAATGTTCGACTTCACAGCTGCGAGAGGGGAAACTTCTGCAACACGGTCAAAAGCTCAAAAGTGGTGTCAATTCAGCCGGTTGTCGCGCATCTCAGGAGTGGTGCTGATATTGCTGAAGTTGGTGTTGGCGGCGGTGGAGATGATCTACAACGTGACGCCGAGCTCGACCCTCTGTCAACGGAAGACGTTGCGGCGGTCTCGAAGCTCATTGAAACTGCGGATATTTCCCCAGAGGCAAAGGTCCGTCTTTCCGACTTCCTCGACACGGGTTCTAAAACTGGGCGAAATCTTCCCTTGGATCTCGATATTGCATCTTTTGGAGAGAAGAATGAAACGGCCATCATGGACGCCTTTCAGGCAGTTGGTCGGAAGAAACACCTCGAGGAGCAGTCCACACAAAACACGCACCCAACAATAGACGGACCAAGCGGGGAACTGCCGAGAGTGATCACGTTCCCCTACTCCCGGCATTCGTCTTATCAAGAGCTTTGTGGCCTGATTCGAATCTTTCGCCCCAAGGATGTGTGGCCTTGCACAGTGAATCCTGTCGACTGGCTCAGAAACACCACGAGTATACGATACCTGTTTGGTGAATTCTGCTCTGGCGATACCTTCGCCCACGACATGGAGATGGAGAAACTCGCCGAGAGTCTGAGAATCCTCCAGCAACCGCTATCCCAACAAGGTCTTGGCAATAGTCAGTTGCCGGCAACTGAGGCTCACACCACGGCGTTACACTCATCGCATAGTCACGAAAGTATCGCATCCGATCCTTGCGCCGTTGAAATAGAGGAGACACCTGTGCTGGGGCTCGATAGCAACCCCGAGTCCGTTGAGACACGGCTCCCCACACGGAAGCAATATGACTTCTCCTACCGGGGTGGAAACTCTCAGCACACTCCAGATACTCCGAGCCAGCCCACTGAGCCAATTTCGTTTATAGCATCTGCCGGTGTTTCTCGCATTCGGGCAGATGCGTATTTTGCAATGGAGCAAAACCTTCTCGGCGGGGAGTGGACGCCAATAGGTCTCCTCTCGACTATTGATCACCATACTACTCCAGATAAGGATCTTGGACTGGCTTGAGCTTGGCCAACGTCTCAAGAGCTATATAGCAGGACATCACAATGCAAGGGTTGGGTCTATGCTCAGTCTTAGTGACTATGATTATCATTGATGATCGGGCCTTGCTCATTTACGAGCTACGCGAACCAAGGAAATAGTATCTCAACGCCGCTGTAATATAACTTCCCATGATACTGACTGGGCCATACATGGGTGTACGCAAACTCCGTTCCATTCTGTTTGCCGCGTTTTCCTATTGTGGGCGCAACGCTCCAGCCTCCGAAACACCCCACCGGCCATCAATGTACTGCCGCAAACTCTTTCCCCAGAAAGCGAGGGGCACAGCAACGCCGCCCACGACGAGGAGAATGGCACCCAATTCGAAGTTGGCACCCAGGTAGCCCTGTGACCTGAGCCATGGTGTAACCGCGTAGCTCGTCGCAAAGCTCAACATGTACCCCGCTCCGCCGACGATGACCATGGCTGGCGCCGCCCAGCGAGGGAAAGCTTCCGTGACCCAGAGTGTTGAGGCAATGCCGTACGCAGCCGCGCTGAAGGCGTTGATGAGGTAGGAGACGAAGATCCAGATGAAGCTCCATTTGTAGTGCACGGTGAAGCCATACAAGAAAATACTGCCCGCACCAGCCAGAACGGCCGGAAGAAAGGCAATGAGATAATGTTCCGCATCTCGGATTCCGCCGTTGCGGAGTGTCAAACGGCGGGCAACACGCGAAGTAAGGATGGTCGACACGGGCCAGGCAAGAAGGGAACCGATCGCCGAGACAGGGTTGACCATGGAGATGACACGCTCGGGAAGGTTATACGGCGGCTGGGACATGACCACCGCGTACGTTTCGCCAATGAAGATCATTGCGCCAAAGTTAAGGGCGTTGAGGATCGCGACCCAGAAAACGAGGGGATTGCACGCGCAGAGCATCGTCTGCACATAGCACGTCCACATCTCCCGGAACCCTGCACCGCTCTTGCGTACTCCCCATCGCCTTACCATGCCTTGCCAGACCGTCTCGGGTGCAGCCTCGGACTGGATTACCTCGCTGGTTTTTCCGCCTGGCAGCTCTTCCCAGTCGTCGTACATCTTGACCTTTTCCGAACCACCCTGGACGAGGATGTGGCCGTCAAAGGCAACGGCTGGGCGGACGAAATACGTTTCGGGCAGGAAGAAGAAGGCGCAAACGAAGACGGCGAGACAAGGGACGAGCCAAGCGGTATAGAAGCTTCTCCATCCCGGGGCCGCGAGTGCCGGGACGATGCGGAGGGACACGAGGCCACCACCGCACCCGATACTCCAGAACATGCCTAGAGCATTCGGGCGCTCGTCAATGAATGTCAAGTCAATGACAATCAAGATGGACTACGGAACACAAGTCAGTCCAGCACCGGGAAAGAGGACGGAGGAAGAAGGGCCGTCACATACCGCACTCAGGCTCAACCCGGCCGAGAACCCCTGCAAACTTAAAGCCCCGAGAAGCTGGTAGAAACCCGAGGCATTCGCAGCCAGGGCCGTAGCGATTGTCATAAAACAAGAAGCTAGCAAAAAGACTGGCCGTCTCCCAATGGCTACCGACAGGGGTATCCAGAGAAATGCCCCGAGACCGAGAAATATTGTGCTCGGTGTTGAAACGAGAATATTGAGTGGAAACTTGTCGGCTTGCTGGATTTTCTGTTAGCACCTGACCGACTGGGTTTGAGGCATCACCCCTTGATGGTAGTAGAAGATCATACCTGTCCGTTGAACTCGACAGCGAGAGATTTATACATTAAACTGGCAGCTTGCGTCTCCAGCATGGAAACAATCGAGTATAGTATAAGTACTCCCATGGCGACTAGTCGCTTCGGCAAACTCCAGTTCAACGGGTCGTAGGGCGAGTTACTCGGCATGGGTAGCTTGAGTGTCTTGCCATCGGAGGTGATGAGGTAGATGCTGCCAGAGAGGTCGGCCGAGGCCGGCCGGTCTGACGATCGACTGCTGGCGCGGCTCATCTTGACTTTGAAAGAGGGGAAACAGGTAGCGGAAACAACAGAGAGAGAATGAGGAGAGACAAAGACAGAGAGAGAGAAAGAGAGATAGAGAGAGAGATACTCGTGTAATAGTGAGCGGACACGATTATTGCGAAATTGGACCAAAATGTCAAATTAACGACGGCCGGTGTGCTGCCAGAACAACCCGATGGAGACAACGACAAACTAAGGTTGACGGGAACGGGAGACTAGGTCCCTTAATATGAAGAACATGGAAATCTCGAGAGTTTCTGTTGACATGTGGTGCGTGGAGAAAAAAGACCACGTTGGGCCCTGGGTTTGATAGAGTCGAGGGACTGGCAGAGGCGTGCCGAAGCCAAAAAGTTGGGAGGAAAAAGCGTACGGCATGTTCGGTCGTCGACTGCGACAATCTTTTGACGATTTGGGAAGGCATCACAAAAAGTTTATTCGAGTTAATTACAAGCTACAACGGGCCAAGACCAGCAAACCTCGAGGTAGATTGTGTACCCTTTGTAGAGTAAGGCTGATTCTTCTCCCTCTTCTGCTCTCTTGAGCGTGCTAACCGCCATCTGAAACCCGGCGCCATGGCCCCTGGACTCTCGAGGCTTGCTGCTCATGAGGTAGCAAGGGGTGGATAAAGTGGTGTATCCGTGAGTACATGTAGGCAAGGTACGACGTGATGGCGCACAATTTTTTCCCTGGCGGGCGCAAGTGGTGTATCAACAATGGCGGAAGATGGTGTAGAGAAGGACGGCTGGGGGAGTCTGGGACTGATGGATTGGGCCCGTTCCCAGTCGCGGGGTCGGCGGGGTTCAAGCCTGTTTGTTTCCCTTCATCGCTTCATCGCAAACACGTTGGAGGGCTACTATGGTACGGATTCATTACCTGACTGCACCAAAAAAAAAAAAAAGAAAGAACAGACGAAGACGAAGCTAAGCGGTGAAGCAGAGCGTGCGTGTGTGAGCAGCAAACAAATTGCAAACTCCGTCTGACTGATGGCATCAAGGTTCGTGCCTAAAGTTTAAATCGTCAATCTTGGCAGTCTATGGAGAGGCTCAGGAGGCTTAGTCGCTTAGAAGGCAATAGGCAAGTCCTTGTCGACGGGTACCCCTGGGCTATCACGGACGACTCGCCCAAAACCGTTTCAAGCGGAAGTTTATTGACAGGTTTGGCGGGCTTGGGTTGGGCACTGGACAGCGGAGGGGTCGTTCTGCGTGCTACGCTATTTGCTGGGCAGAAAGTCTGATCGTGATGGAGATGAGGACCTTCCAAGTCAAATCTCGGGAGGGGCTGGCCGCCAGACGAGATTGTGAGATTGGGTGCTTATTAGCCTTCCGCTCAACTCTGGGCTCGGGATCTACCTGTCGGCACCATCCGTGCAACGGTCCCAATGGGCGGCGTTTGGAGCAATATGAGTTTCGGCCGAGCCGCCGATTTAATAGCTGTTGTGGGTTGCTTGCAGTTCTGCAGAAAAAGAAAGACGTTTGGTGGTTGATGTGAGCCTGTGACTTTGTGAGAGGAAGGATGCTGCGAGAGAAGCATGTGGAAGAACGAGTTTGCTTGCAATGGCAGAAATCAGACGGAGTGCTGCATTGGAAGACTCCATGCACACACAAAAACACACACATAACACCCAGTACACCCTCTCGCGACCCCTTATCCAAACTGGTTGATGATAGGACCCAGTCCGAGAACCAACGTCTCATATGCACCGCTCGCCCGTTCGAATCCTTAAGTGAATTCTTATTCCGACTTTCCAAGTCATACTCGCTCACAGGAGAAGCCCAAGTCGTGAGAGCACGCGACTGGTTGGCCAGACAGTTGCAGTCGTGGTAAGCAACGTTAAACCAACTAAGGTAGCCCCCGGCGGCCGAGAGCATCGGAAGGCCATCGGGTTTCAGGACATTTCGTTCGTCGTAGTCCATGGTTCGTCGTATTGCCGGATTCTCTCCTGTCTGACAGTCTGTAAGACGTGCAGAATGCGGGCAATGTGCCATCCAACGGCGGCGTGTGCCGTGTGTGCGGACTTTTCTCCCCTCGGGATCATCTATTCGAGGTCACTCAAGCATCAAGGGCTCGTCGTATGCCTCGATTCGGGTCGGTGGATCGGGGCAGAATCTTCGGTTACTGATGACCAAGCAGGCAGTATCCGTAGTAATTCACGGATATTTGGGTCATTGGGAAGTGCGCGTGAAGCTCTGGCCCCAGTCAGTCCGTCCCGCAGTCCAATCCACGTGAGACGGCAAACGGGAGACCCTTCCTGTAATGTCGGCGGCTGGAAGAAGCCCTGGCAAGCCTTGCTTATTAGTTAGCACACTACGGATACTTCGTAATACCCCCGCAATCATAATGGTTGACGCGGAGGGGGGGGGGGGTCTCGGGGAATCGGGGTAGACGGAGCCTCTGTGTTTGCCCGACATTTGGGGGCCAACGGCCAGCTTGGTGTTATCGGTGCTGCACTGCTGGGCCACCGGAGTCTTTTCGTGGGATGCTTCCAGGTTGTCCGCATCCATAGACTACGGCCCAACATACCTTGGACTGACTGGTTGAACTGCTTTCTTGGAGTGGTAGAGATTGATCCCGATGGACTGTCTGCAACGAACAGGTGGTGTGTGTTGATGCGCACGAAACACTGCCAATGAAACCAGGAGCCAAAAGGCAAATCTCGATTGTTCGATTCTCCCACGACCAAGTTACCGACCGTCCAGTCTGGGCCGCCCCTCTGTGTCAAGTAAAGACGCCATTGGAGGCTTATATCGCCATCGGTCGCGGGCGTTCACGTCGCTTTCGCTGCTGCCACGCTCTGATGCCTAGCTCACCTTCGAGGAGTGAGGGTTCACGCCGTCCGTCCTTCTGATATCCGTCTCAAACGAGTTCAGAATCCAGATGGACAATTTACTTCTCTAGCGTCGTCACCTCCTTCGTCTGGTTTCGCCCAGTCTGGCCAGTCAGCAGTTCGGCCCAACGAACTGCAGCAACGTTGCAAACTTACAGGCGAGTAAGTGTTCATTAGGAACGGACTTGTCCCTTTGCCATCCATTCTTTCGGCCCTCACGAAGCTCTTCGGGTCCGCGTCTCAGAAGTACGTAAAAGCTGCCAGTCACATTCGCATCCGAAAACGCGCACAACATGGCGATAGTACATGGCCATTATCAATGCGAAGTCGTCAGGAGAAACCTTAAGGGCTTCTGAACATGTGACTTTTTCAATTTCTGTCCATCATCACATGTCCTCAATTCCGCAGCGTGATGGTTCTTCTTTGGCATGAAGTCGCATGTCGAGCGCGACTCAGTTTGAGTTCTGTACGTCTTGTCACCCTTTTAGCTGCGGCGCAATGTGCCCCGAAGGTCATGGTCTGAGTGGCAGGCCGCAGACAGTGTTCTGGTTCCGAACACTGATTTTCAATACGGATACATTAGACCGATGGAGACGAAGAGAGGGAGATAGAGATTCCGGGATTGAGCCAGTGGGATGTCCGTATGATACTAAGAAATGCCTCCAGGGAGAATGAGGCAAAGCCGACTGGTCTGCCTCCGCTGAAATCCCATGTTCATAGTGACCAACGAGTCCCCAATCCCAACGGCTCTTCGCCCAGGGTTTCCCACAAACATGGGGGCGGGCGGCTTCACGGGACCTACCACTGTCTGTATCCGTCGTACAGGAGGCTTGTACGATTCCGTCCATGGCACGCATTCATGAGACCGGGGGTTGATTGGACAGAACAGTAGGCCATGACAAGGATGTCGCTCAAGGAAGAAGCGGCCTCTCTGGCCGGGGGAGACTCTCAGTCTCTGAGAGACTCTGGGAACTCTGGAGAGGAGGCCGTTCCAGGCTCTGACCAACCCACGTTCAGAGGGGCATGCCGCATATTAGCCGTGGCGCTGCTGCGCGGGTTCGCGGCCCGGCGGGCAGCGCAGACGGAGTTCGTGATGGGGCCACGAGCGCTCGATCTGCCCGTAAGCTCCGTGGCGCCCCCTCCCGTCCTATCCTCTTTTCAACCGGAAGAAGGCGTTCTTGATGCAAAGTGAGGATTTTGAAGCAATCTATCTTGTCGCAGATGGATGGTTACCCCCTCCAGGCCAAGCCCAGAACGGCCGGACCAGCTACTCGGCTCTGTATCCTGTTGTTCCTATGGCCATGCTGACGCTAGGGTTGAGATGGCAATTGTGGACACATTCCGCGTCGTGGTGCGGGCCGTGGCCTTGAATCCCTTGATGATAAAGTCTTCGTGATGCCCCAAGAGTACACACGTTGTGCGAGTTACTTTTGATTTGGAAAGGCTTTCTCTGTGAAGTCTTTGAATTTCTGCCACGCCAAAATTCTTGCCAATATTTTGTTTTGTCCTCTTTTGGCCACGGTGCACACCAAGAGGTCAATTACCGGTTCTTACCATTTCGGCCGTCTTGGTCCGCCACTATTTCCAACCCCCTTTGGGACGGTCACGAGGTGTCATTCTTCACTCGATTCGGAACTGCTGTCAAGAAAACCCCCGAGTGACACTAGGCCCAGAACCTACTCTGTTCCTGCGCCGCCGCCCGCTGTCTGTCCGGGTTTTTGGATCAATACGTCTGCAGGACAGGAGTTGTCTCCGTTTTCCACCACTTGGGAATAACAGCCGTTGAGAGCCTGCGACATTGTGGTGTGTTTTGCGCCATCACGAGACATTTCGGAATATATAAAAAGAAGACTATTGGGAACCGGGTTTACGCATTGCGTTTCGTTCGGTCCTTTGAAGGGCCTTGCTCTGGAGGTAGCGATCGGGTCAACTGACAGTTTCAATCTTACCTCGGCCAGCCGAATACGATATTCGATCTCACTTTTCCATGAATCTCAACAACACAACGCATCAGTCTGACAGCCACTTGAGCACTTGACGTGTCCCTTTCTTCTGCTCTACCCAGGAACTAGACCGGCCCATACGCAACATTGATCATCTATCGGAGATCGCATCTGTTGGCTGGCGAAAGATTTCTGTTGAGCAGGACTGAACTTGTACTGAGCAGTTGGCAAACCTTTGGTATCAATACATACCTTGCTTGACCCGGGAGTCGGCTGCAGGACTCGCGCATAGGCGTGTATCAGTGTGAGTGTGTGCATCCAGACACACTGCTCACGCCGCTCTCGAATCGAGAGTCTCGAGTAATAAGAGTTACTTGAGTCTCCCCCACCACACTACCCCCCTTTCGATCTCTGGGCGACGGCAGCTCGGATGATCTTGGCCCGCTGGGCCGCTGGCCCCACTGAAGCGCCCCCCGCAAATGAGGAGGGGGGAAAAGGAGGAGGAGGAAGAGGAGGAAGAGAAGATGGAGATGGAGGAGATGGAGGAGCAGCAGTTGGGGGAGTTGGAGATGCCGGCAACACAGCGATCCTGACCGAGACAACCAGTAGTAACACGAGCTCAGGAAGCACAACACCAGCTCCCGCTGCACCCTCCTCGTCTGTCAAGTCCCCCAAATCACGGTTGGGGAAGAAGTCGACTACCACTCGCAGGGGGCTTGGGTCAGGTACACGTACAGGGTCAAGCAGCAGCAGCGGAAGCGGAAGCGGTGGGAGCATCGGGGAAGGGATCCCGTTATTAGGAGGAGGGATATTAGGAGTAGGAGGACCTGGACAACCATCAGGAGGAGGGCAAGGAGGAGGAGGAAGAAGACGCAGGACTTCTTCCAGAATTATTAAGACGACCCCGCCGTCTTCCACCGCCGTGTCCCGGGCCACCTCCGCCTCCCCTACCTCTACTCTCCTCACCTCGCCCCCTTCGTCTGCGGCCATCACAGCTGCAACCTCCGCCGCGACGACGCGCTCGTCCACCTCGACTCCCACTGCCGCAGTGGCCGGCGCCGCCGCTGCTGCAGCCGCTGCAAGCCGCAAGGTCTTCCCCAAAAGTATGGAGCCCCCCGTCGTCTCCTTTTACGGGGCCGAACCCATCCCGTTACCGTCGCGCTTCGCCGGTGTCAAAAAACGGCTCATTGCCGGCCACGAGGCTGCCGTTGAGGCTTCGTGGCACCGTCTCATTGACGCTTTGAGGACCGAGATTGCAGATATTTCCACCCGTGGATCAGAGCTGATCCCGTCCATCAACTTTACCGACATCAATGACCCTGTCCGCGTCGAGGCCTTTGCCCACAGGCTACGCCGGTATGGTGTAGCCGTCATACGCGGCGTCGTGCCGCCCAACGATGCCCAGAAATGGGTGCACGAAACTCACGAGTATCTCGACAAGAACCGCGAATACAAGCCCCCCGCGCTTCACGATCCTACTTGTATTGATCTCTTCTGGACGCCCGTTCAAGTACGTGCCCGCGCGCATCCCAACATGCTGCGCGCGCAAAAGTTTGCAATGTCCTTTTGGGAATCGACAGACGACGTGCACATCACCCGCGCACCCGTAAGCTACGCAGATCGTCTTCGCATTCACAATGACAAGCTCGGCGCCGTCGGTCAGCCCACCGGCAACTCGGCTGCGGACTCTCTCAGCACCACCGCTTCGTCGACCGTCATTGCACAAATCGACAGCGGCAGCCTGGAACGCTGGGAACCGGACGGCTACGGCCGCGGCGGCACCTACGAGGCCGTCTTCCGCGGCGACTGGGAGTCCTACGATCCCTGGGACCCGGCCGGCCGAGTTGGTGCCACGACGGATCTGTACAACGGCGCGGGTGCCTGCAGCATCTTTCGCATGTTCCAGGGCATCCTCGCGCTCACCGAGGTCGAGCAGGGCATGGTCCGCGTGTTGCCGTCGCCCAAGCTGGTGGCCGCGTACTTTCTTCTGCGGCCTTTCTTCTCGCCGAAGCGTGGGCCGCCAGAGCAGCCAGATGGCGGCAAGGCGGATCAGTGGGCTGCGTATCTTGATGCGTCCAACTGGACTCTTGATCTGGAGCCCAACACCATCATTCATGGAGCTGTTCCGGGTCATGCTCAGCGTCTTACGGAACGCTGGCACCCGCATTTGCATCTGCGCAGGAGTTTGGTTTCTATGCCTAGCCTACAGGCCGGCGACTACGTTATTTGGCATTGCGATCAGGCCTACTCGATCATCACGGGCGGCACCAGACTAGGCGTCCCTCCGTCGTTGCAAAACGAGTCGAACGAGCTTTCCCTGCTCACGTACACTCCCGTCTGCCCCTTGACACAGACAAATGCCCTGTTCCTCGCTCGCCAGAGAAAGGCATTCCAGACCGGCCAACCGGGACCGGACTTTGACACGCTGGGTGGACTGGGAAGCGAAGCCTCACACCAGGACCGTCCCGGTGCCAAGGAGGTCGAGGAGTACGGCGGAGTCGATGGCCTCCGCGCAATGGGATTGGCGCCCTATGATGTCGAACCAGCGGGTGTCATCCCGCCCAAGCACGCAGATGCCATGGATATTGATGACGAGGAGGGCATCAGGAACAAAACAAAGACGGAAGCGGAGACGGAACTCCTGCGACTGGCCAACATCATTCTCTTCCCGAGTCGCTACGATTTCTATATCCCTACAAATGGCACCCGAAGCAGCGGTGATCGTACTCCTCGCGCGACGGCGGGACCGCCAAAGACGGTGGTTAACGGCAGTAAAAGCGGTGGCAAGAGCTGACGGCGTTGGTTGAAGGGGCAATGGCGGCGCGGTGACCGGCGACAGGTAGACTCGTCGGGTAGAGAAATTGCGGAGGAAAAGAATAAGGATGACGAGGAACCGGAGACCGTCGTTGAGACTGTGACCTCCAAGGGAATGAGTGAGGAGACCATCACAGTCACGGTCACCGCGGCGGAAGTCTAGATTGCTGTTTTTCTTACCGTGATACCCTGCAATCGGGCGACTTGTCGACGGAGGACTGGATGCTGGAGCTGAAGACTCTCTCAGTGAGAGAGAGAGAGAGAGAGAGAGAGAGAGAGAGAGAGAGAGTTTGTGTGTGTGTGTGAGACTGAGACAGAAAGAATGGAAAGGCCGCCCCTTCAACGTGACGCTAGAAAGCACATATTACGCGCGTAGATGACGAACGAGTTTAAGATCGAGAAATGAAGGAAGACCTGGCAATATCCAGTACGACTGACTGTACGGACCGCGATTGAGGACTGGAACGATTGGTAGACGAAACTTTGCGAGATTTCATGCATCTTCATGGCCTTGGCGGGATCCGCCATCAAGGCCCAATACTTTTTTTTTTTGCTCTTTCATCTTACCACATTTGATTTTGTATGCAATACTATCTGCGGTCTCGGTTTGCAGACTGTGAGTGTGAGACGTGAATAATTATGGCGAATATTGATCAACGGGGCGGGCGTTGCAGAGTGGTGGCCGGGACGTAGCCGGTTCTTAGGCTGGAGAGGACCGGGACGTGTTCCCGGCTCACACCACCACTTTGTCCTTTTCTTAGGCTCTCATGACTAGTCTCACTTTCAGATGGCGCCGCCCCGAGAGTTTGGGACCGGGCCTGGCTCTGCGCCGGCCGCTGTCTTGACCTTACAGCCGGGAATGCGTTTTTGAACGATCCGATCAGATCCCCTGGCAGTTGGGTTGTCAAACGCGCGCCCTTGAAGAGTGAAGAAGCATATAACGAAGCTCCTCCATGACCTACTGTTCATGTTGATATTGTAATGGTGAAGACTTGTACCCGTTTCGGTGAGCACACTGCATGCACTTGACACAGTGGAGGGCATCACATCGCCGCATCTCAGAAACCCCACGCGTGCGCGCCACTTCCCCGTGTTTTATTCCTCCCGGTCTCGATTATATATTTTGCAAACGGCATACCGGTCTGTCATTATCTTCCTTTAAGCCGAATTGGTTCCAGTTTGATCGGTCAAGCGTCGGCGCCCCTCTCGGTCTGGATCCTATCTTGGGGCGCATCGACCCATTTAATATGACCAAATGTACGTAATAAAACACTTTCAAAAGGAGGGTTCGCGCGGTGATAGTGAATTTCCCCGGACGACCAGACGGGGACCCGTTAGTGCCTGACGCCACTCCACTGTCATATGATTACTATCAGGTCTCTCTGTCTCGTCTCGAAAGCTGCGTTTTGGCGATGGAGCACCGGTACGAATACCCAGACCGTACGGCGTAGAGTTGAGACCTGAGAGGGCCAAGACAATTAACAAGGACCGAGGCCAGCCAAACCTAGACAGGCGCGCGCCCTATAGACAAACTAGGTACGGCATTCCGAATCCTGCAGTCTGCACTCTGCAGGCCGGCGAGTCAGGCCCCGAACGTTCCCGCCAGCCCGTGATTGGGTTGATGGTAGACCGCGCTGCGTAGCTTGCGAGCCTGCGAACCTGCGTTCATGTCGGGCGACTTGGACCCGGGGCTGGGTTCTTTGTCGGGGTTCTACCCGCTTTCTGTGCATCTTCTCCTGCAATGGCACCGCAAATCATCCCGCCATGCTCCTTGTTTGATGGGAAAGGTACGGAACATGGACATGCCAACCCGGAGCTAAGCAGGCCTTCAGGGCTTCTGCTGCCGCGTTCCTCGAGGAAGCTACACACCTTTTCGGCGTGGCCGCCGGCAAACACAAGCAGTGCAGAGCCATCAGTCTTGTCAGAACGCGGTCGTTTGTCGGCAGTAATTGGAGCTAAGCCCCAAGTTTTCGCCTCTCACCCGCGCTTCTCCAAGGGTCTTTTCGGTCTTTTGGGTGCTTCAGCCAACCATCAACTCGACGTCTATCGGATTATGGGGGGGCTTCTTCCTGGTTTCCATGGCCGAATCCGACGTCGGATGTCGCTCGACCCATTGCCAAGATATTAGGATATGGTCGTGCTCAGTAGCTACAAGCCAAAGGCTTGCGGCTTGCGGCTTGAAGCCTTAGATTCTGGAGAGACTTGAAGACAAGCTCAGGACCTGAAGCACGTCAGCTCGACGCCAACTGGGAAGAACTGAAGGGAGCGAAAGGCGCGAAAAGTCTCAGCAAATGCTTGATGCGTGGGCCGGCCCAATCGACGACTGCCGGGGATTTTCTGGGCCCCTTGTTCTACCCAGTACCATCTGTTCCACCAAGACTCCTCTTTCGGATCAGTGGCTATCATCGGCAGCAGATTCACATTTCATCTTACCCCAATGCTTGAGGTGATTCTCATCTCATGGCCTGCCGTTGACCCGTTGCTGCAATGCTTCGACCAGGCGCGGAATTCGGATGTTTACGCCAGTGGAACCCTTGGATGGCTAATCGAAACGTGGGAATGGGGGGCATCTTCATCGGGAATGGATCATGGAAACGCGTTACGATGCTCCTCAGCGAGATGACTTTCTCTCCGTTATCGTCGGTATCGTCCGCTCTGACGTTGCCTCCTTACTCCCCAAGCAGGGATTCCTCCTCCTCCTGGTTCTCCTCGAGTCTCCTCCCCCCGCGCCCACACTTCTGATCGCCCCAGCCAGCTGCCAACCATCCCCCGGCGCGCTTTGCTTATCTCTGCGGGGCTCCCTATTAGATGGGGCACCTGGGCCCGTCCGTTGGTCTTGTCTATCACGACCCGAGTAAGTCGCATACTTACACACATACTCAGTGGTAATACCTCCGTAACGCTCCGTATTGGCTTGTTTCTCTCCCAGGAACCGGGAGACGTCAGATGAAGGTTGGCAAGCTAACCATGGAGGGGAAGGGGGGCCGCCGGACGCAAGGTAGCGTCGGGCCAGGGGCACACAACGAACTCGTCTATATAGAGTAATTGCCCTCCTCGCTCGTCCAGGTTGTCGAGCTGTGTTTGAGTCGCATCCCATTCGATCTGCTCGCCGTCTCTGAGAGTGGTACTACCCGACCTCAGCCAGCCATTACCTCTACTTGGACGACTTGTGTTTTTAGACAGTCGAACGTCGGATCATCAAGAAAACAACAGATCTCACCGTCACCCGCCCAACATGGCTTCCGGAACGGAAGAAAAGACTGTCGGTCTCAGCCGCGCCGACAGCACCAACAGCAACAAGCTCGGGACTGTCATGTCTGGCACCAATGCTGCGGTTGCTCAACAATATGGCGAGACCCAGCGCGGTCTCAGCCCTCGCCATGTCCAGCTCATGGCTATCGGAGGTTCCATTGGTACCGGTCTCTGGGTAGGTCTTCTCACAGCCTTACGGTGTTGCGATTTGCAACGCAACTATCTAAAGACTCTAACATAGTTTGATAGGTCGGTATTGGTGGTGTTTTGTCCAAGGCCGGCCCTCTATCCCTCGTTCTCGGTTACACTTTCTGGGGTCTCCTCTTCATCTGGCCGCTAAACCTGTCTGTCGCCGAAATGTGCGCCTACCTGCCCATTCGCGGTACCATCTTCGAACTCGCCTCTCGCTTTGTTGACCCTGCTCTCGGTTTCGCCATGGGATGGACTTACTTCTTCGCCGGTCTCATGTTGGTGTGTACGGAATACAGCGCTGTCGCAACGGTCATTCAATACTGGAACGCGGATATTAACCCAGCTGCCTGGATTGCCGTGGCCATGGTTTCTTGTGTGGCAGTAAACTTGGTTGCAGTCAAATACTACGGAGAATCCGAGTTCATCATGGCTTCGACAAAGGTCATCTTGCTGATCGGTCTGTGCCTCATCACCCTCATCACCATGTCTGGCGGCAACCCTATGAACGACGCCTACGGATTCCGCAACTGGGGCGACGGCAACTACATCCACGCCTACTTCACCGACGGGTCGACAGGAAGGTTCTTGGGATTCTGGAAGGTTGTCATCTACGCCGCCTTCACCATTGCCGGCCCCGACATGATCGCCCTTGCCGCTGGTGAGATCCAGAACCCCCGCCGCACCATCCCCCGCGTCGCCAAGCTCATCTTCTACCGCCTTGTCGGTTTCTACGTTGTCGGTGTTCTGTGCGTCGGCATCATCTGCAGCTCCCGCGATCCTGGCTTGCTCGGCGCCATTGAGAGCGGCGAGCCCGGTGCTGGTGCTTCCCCTTGGGTTGTTGGCATTAAGAACCTCCACATCAAGGCTCTCCCCGATATCATTAACGCCTTCATTCTCCTCTCTGGATGGTAAGTACCTTTGCTGCGTCGAGCTTCACCCTTGAATCATGCTAACAGTTTCTAAGGTCCTGCGGTAACGCTTACCTCTATTCGACTTCCCGCACTCTCTATGGTCTCGCCCGCGACGGACAGGCCCCCAAGTTCCTCCTCAAGTGCACCAAGGCCGGTGTTCCCATCTACTCCGTCCTTGTCGTTACCGTCATCTCCTGCATCACCTTCCTCGTCTCGTCAAACGGCGCCGTCGATGTCTTCTTCTGGTTCGTCGACTTGACCACCACCGCCCTGATCATGACCTACACCTTCATGCTCATCACCTACATGGGCTTCTACCGCGCTCGCATGGCCCAGAACTTCCCTCCCGAGACGCTCCCCTACCTGTCTCCTTGGACCCCTTACTTCCCTGGTCTGGCCCTGCTTTTGGGTATCCTGGCTCTCATCTTTGTCGGCTTCGACAACTTCTACCCCTTCAGCGTGAGAGGCTTCATCACCTCCTACTTTGGTCTCATCTTTGGTGTCGTCACCTTTCTCATCTGGAAGGTTCTGAAGAGGACCCGCTTCGTTCATCCCAAGGAGGCAGATCTCATCAGCGGAAAGGCCGAGGTTGATGCCGAGTGCCGTCATTGGGAGGAGGGTGGCATCGAGGAGGTGGAGAGAGCGAGACTGGCTGAGATGTCTTTCGTCAGGAGAACCTGGGAAAAGATGTGGTAAAAGTTGCTAGTAGCATAACGATAATTATTTGATGTTTCAATGACAATAACATCCTGTTAAATGTGCGACAATTCACTATCCCTCAACATCTGCCCTTTATTGAGTAGTTTTCTCCAACTTCACAACGTCTAATGAGGCTCATCCACTTGAACCTGGCAACTTGAACTCAGAGATCCAGGCTACATCAGAGAGCCAGTGCTTGCTCATAGTTGTTGAGTCATATTCAAGTACCTCAATCCCGGCCAGCTTGTGCCCCCATTACAGCCAATGCAACCAACGCAATCCCTGAAACCATGCTGCATCCTTCCATTTGAGTACATGAAGTCGCTCGCTCGTTGTTTGACGGTCATCATTGCCAACATGACGTTCTGGTAGCTCAGCAGGGAGAGCGGCAGGTGCCGTTCACCGCGGCCCTGCAGGTCGTGTGTTCAAATCATACCCAGAGCCGAACACTATTTTTGCTTATTCTACTCCGTACTTACTCAGTTTTCGATCTACGGTGTCATTACAGCGCCTATTCCAAGGCCCATAATATTTAGTACATAAACTGACACCGTAGTCTCTCTATTACGTAAAGTTCATCTTCCCCGCCTCGCTTGGACTTGCGGGGAAGTTCGTTCGTCTCCAACTCTCCAATGTGTCCATGCAGTTTCGTGTTCTAGGTGCAACCTCATCTCACTAGGCGCGGCTCTCGTTGCGACACCGGCTTATCCCACCGGGTCTAAGATGCTCGTAGTCTCCAGACACTCGCGATCATTTACTTTAGCTGTGCTCACCTAGCAATGCGGCCCACCAGGTATTCGACCACACGACAAAAGGCATGCCAGCCATGCGCGACCGCCAAAGCCAAATGTGACCGGAAAGCTGTGACATGTTCCCGGTGCCACCAGCGGGGCCTCCCATGTCTCTATCCACAGGCTCGGACGATCCCTTCATCCGCGCCGGGTGCTGCCGGTCTGCATACAGAGGCTGAAGCCGAGGTCGATACGGACCGCGTAGCAACCACGATATCCGCGACTGTGGAAACAAACGCGGTGTTCTCGCCGTTTCGGATGATTCCGTCAGTCGAGACGAGCGAATTGTTGGCCCCAGAGACCGATCGACCAGACGTCCTCAAGCCTGATGTGTTCGACTTTTCGGACATGAACCTTGTCTGCACAGTCAACGCTGATGACATTGCCAATCGATGGCTGAATAACTTCGTCCCAATATCGGGACAATTGGCAAAGAATTACTCGCCGAGTATGTCGGCTTTCATTCAAAGGATTCTGGAATCCTACGTAGATTCTTCCATCCGCGGCCGCAAGATTCCTCCTTTTGTACATTGGTCCCAGATAACTCTGCCATCAAGCCAACCCTTGTCAAATTGCCTTTCCATCATTCGAAGCTACAACGAGCCCGAGATGGCAGGCGCTGAGGCCGTAGCCAACGAACTCAAGGTTGAGATGGCGAAGCTTTACAGCCAACACACATCCCATGATGGAATGACACTTCTCGCAGCGTTTCAAGCACATCTTATTTACGCCATGGTTATCTTTTTCAAATTTGGGAAAGCTTACTACCCATTTCTACGGGAGGCCATGATGAGTACCCAGGATCTCGCATGTGCGGCGGCGAAGAAAGGACTCGCATGCGTTCCCGAAGGAGATGAGACTCGTCACAGGTGGGAGTGCTGGATTGCCGGCGAAGCTAAACGAAGAACTCTGTTCACGATGTGTCTTTTTGATAGCGCCCTGTTGACACATGACGGTCTCCCAACTCACCTTGCCACCGAGTTACGCGGGTTATTAGCGCCGGCCTCGAAGGCCTTGTGGGAGGCTCGAACGAGGCGCGAATGGTGGGGTAGATATGACTTCCAGCAAGCAGAATGGCCAGATAGTTGGCTAACTATCGACGAATTGTGGCCTGTGCCTGGAGATTTCAGCGAGACTGAAGTTACTCACAGACGTACAAGGGTGAATACATGGCTGGAGGACTTAGACGAGTTTGGCACAATGATTTATGCTGTGACCAGCGGGACCCACGGTACCTGATTTTGACTGAAGACATAAGTTATTCACGTCAAAGCCAAGTGTCCAAGAAACGTAAGGCAATATCTTGGAATCAGTCCTGTCTGAAGACTGGCCAAGCATAATAGAGATTGAAACAAATACTCAGACTATCGTGATCATCTCTTCATCGACATGGGCGAACCAGTCTCGAAGTGGATATTCTTCCGTGCGACAAAAGCCAACACGACGGAACTCTTGCGGCTGGCTTGTCGCCTCCAGCAGGAGCCCGTACCAACGGCTTGGCTCTTTGACTCTCCTTGATACCTGTAAGTAGTAGAGAGGAATCTTTGTCCCGCAGTACTCCTTGTCGAACATTGCTAATCCGACCATAATCCCCTCCTCCTTGAGAAAGTCAATTGCTAAATCTTTCCGAGAGGTCGAAAACCTCTGATAACCCGGGGCTTCTGGATCTTCTCTTAGATCAGCTCGTCTGAGCTTTCCTTCCAGTTGCAGATATCCCGATCTCAGCATACCTCTCGGGTCCAGTCCGAGTGGCGTTGTCTCTGCTTGAATAATTCTCACCGCCGCCTCCATCTCATTTCCCGAGGGCAGAATGGTTCCAATCTCGGGCATCATCACAGCGCCTTCCAAAGACGCCCAACTCCAACTTGGGGCGCGGAAGCCATTAGGCGGAGCTTCAAGCCAATTCTCGCCTCTCCTCCAAAGCAACCCAAAATGCAGGTGGTTCCGCCACAACCCGGCGAGATATCGCTGCCCGGTGCATTCCTCCATCACTTTGGCAAGACCGGAAAGCGCTGGCAGCCGATCGTAAGACTTGGTGATGCCTCTTTTGCTATACGCCGACACCATATCGTACCAGTCCCACACGAACTCTGATGTGGATAGGCGTCCTTGCGCAAAAGGGTATGAGAGGTGAAGGCGTTCATCCCATACTAAATTTTGTACATTGAATGCATCCGTCGGAACCCCATCTTCTGCCAAACGAGATTCACGGCATTCCCACAGAAGTTGATCCGTGTCGTAGTGGACAATTCGCGCAGATAGCAGGCGCTCTTGCGTGACCCACGCACGTGAATGTAGGATGCTTTGTGGCAGGTGGCTGAAGTCACGCGGTCTAGGTCGCAAGAATACGGGAATAGACACCAATTCGCTGTTGTTCTTCTGAGTACTCTTGACTTGAACGTGATTTGAAGTCGAACGCGGTAAGAAGCAACCTCCTGTCGAGTCTGCGGACGCTGAGGCGGCGATTGTTAGAGATGACGAGGCGTAGATAGTGCCCATTTTCACGCTCTCGAGTTCCCAGTCCTCTTTGGAGTCCTGTACAATGCAGAGGGAGTCGATCCATAGATACTGAACGCCAAGTGACCTCGTTATGAGGACTGCGTCTCTGAATGTTGGAGGTAACCTGGACAGTGGCAACGACTTGATGTGGTCATCGATTGTGTCGCTGGTGGTACGAATAACAGGATGCAAACCCCAACAGTGACTCAAAGTCATGTATCGGCCTACTTCTCCGCTTGTAACAACAAGCTGAGGCTCTCTCACTCCTGCGATACCAACATCTACAACTCGTGTGGGAAGAGAAGTAGGGGCTGAATGGCAGCTCTGGTGCTGGTCGTCACACTCGCGCACCCAGTCTTTCACAAGACTGAGTTGCTTAGCGGGAGGTTTGATGGGTCTGCCTAGGATGGAGGTACCTAGCTGGGCCTTCTCGTCTTTGGGATAGAAGCTAAAATAGCAGTACGCCCTTGGACTCAGGCGATCGCAGCGGACTTTAAGCCAAAAGAGTCCATGAGACTCGTAGTTTCCATCTGTGTACTGAATGCCCCGCAAGATAACCGGCGAGTCCGGGTCATTCCAAGCCTCTTGATCAACACTGACTCCCTCGATCTGGAGCTTTTCAGTGATAGATGTATGAAAAAGTCGACACAGATCGCAGGCGGAGACATTTCTCTCGAGATCGACTATTGAAGAATGAAGAACAACGTCTTGAACTTCGTCTTCCTCATCAACTAAATCGGCAAGATCAACCTGACAGCAATCTTGACATAAAGGCATGGTCGAGAGCTCCTAGGCGACAACATGCTTCTATGGAGGTGGCAATTAGACCAGGAGGAGTTGAGTCATGAGGGATTTACTAGGAAACCCCGCTGCACATAGAATGACTTGGGCTCTATTCTTAGTGAATGACAGAGGAGGTTGGGGTTTATGCAGCTCTGTGTGTGCACAACGCAGGGTTACATTCAGCTCTCCTGGTGCAACTTGTGCGCCAAGCGCTTCATTGGGGAATCCCGCGTTGCACTGTGCTATCGTGGCCGCTAAATCACCAGCAATTATCTAGTTCTGTACCATCGAAAGCGAACGTCTTCAGTTGGTGGCAGTCTTAGACCTACAGAGTCTATATCAACTTCCGCGGGGGAAGAATGTTAGCAGCAACCATGCGATCAAAGGCAATGAGATAGCCTTCAGTCATGCCTAACTCCTCCTTGAACCCTATAGACCGGATCTTGTCCAGGCACATTGCCCGATTCCTCTGTAAGAGAGAAAAGCCGACCCCCATCGTGAAGATCCAAGACGCAGCTGGTATATCGCGGTGCTTCAAGCCATACTCGACACACATCCTCTTGTAGTCATCTTGGTGTTCTTTCCACCACTTTTCGACAGGAAACGTTGCTGGAGAATATGTCAAGATATAGTAAGAGGAATGGCGGCGGTATAGATGCTCACTCTGTGCTCCCTCAACCGGAGGCGTCCCCTGCAGCCCAAAATAATCGACCATTACGGGCCATCGCTCCACCCAGGACACTGGAGTCGCATTATCAGCAGTATTGAAAGCTTCCCCGTTTGACTCTTCTGGCTTCACAGTCGAGAGATAAATATGAGACTTTGCGATAGTATCTTGCGATGAGTCTGTGTTGGTATGCGTGTAGTTCGTAGCTGTACCGATGAACTTGATTTCGGCTCCGGGCCCATGAACATAACGCCAGAGCGCGAGGAAAAGAGCGGTTGGCTCGAGAAACGTCATGATTGAGGTCGTGCCAGGAACAAAGCCGACGATTGCATCGGGACGGACTTCACACCATCTCCAACTCTTGCCCTTCTGCAATTCTTTGATAGCATCTACTTGCCCATAGTAAAAGATCTCGTCTCCGTATGGAGATGGAATTCGCGGTTGAGACTCTTTCAGAGGCGGATGTATCTCGATTTCGTCCTGATGTTGGAAGACAGCCACTCCATAGCTCTGTTTGAGCATCATAAGTAGTGGCACACGACGAATGCGGCAGAGTAGCAGATGGCGTATAACTAACATTTGTGCCGGTCTGAAGACTCAGAAATTTGAGATTCGTGCAGACCTCATCAACCGCCTTGACAGCGGTTTGGGTCATGATGACGTTGATATTGCGAATCTCCATGACGTCAACTGAATATGCTGTCGCATTCGAGTAGGCTTTCTCAATTTCAGTCCTCATACCATGTCTCGTGAACGGTTGCAGTACTTGCCACAGTAGTACACATGCGTAATGTCCTGCAGGTTGGGGATCTTGGTTCTCATTTGCTCCTTGACCGTTTCAATATCCTTACGCAAGTTTATGCCAGAGTAGATCTCCAAACGAGGGTCGTTCTTAGGAAGCTGGCTTCCTGATAGGTCCATCGGCCGGTTTGTCAGACCAATAACGCGAGAAAATGTTGACGGTGTGGGATAATTGAACAGATTGTTTGTGACGGCCCATCCGGAGATCCCACTAGTCCCGAAAACGAGGGCGACATGTTTGCTGGGAGGGTTCATGGCTGGGAAAGACCCGATCGAATGAAATTCCAGCCAGTAACTTGTCGTCAGCGGGAGATTTTGATCTCGATGAGACGGGACTTGAAAGAGAGGCCAGAAAGAGGAGTCAGGATCAAAGAGCCATACGGAGCATCTGTCGCTTCTTTAAGACTGAGCAGATGGCCATAATATTTGGTTAGAGCCTGATGGTCTAGACCCCGTGTCTTGAGTGTCTACCGGACAATACTACCTACAGCAGAACTTGGGCCGAGCTGTCGGATTCAAACCCTAGTCGCCCGTTGCCTGGCCCGGGTCGCGGGGGTTGAACTGTGGAGTTACACATAGAGTGCGAGTGGTCGAATCGCATTCTTCAGCGAAGGAGCGCTAGACCCCTGCGACGAAGCGTTGGTGGGTAGAACGAAGTGAAGTATCATCTAAAGCCTAATCACCTCATTATTTTCTTCACTCTCCAGCTTTCGAAATCGTATTTTTGAACAAAGTAAAGTCCTCAAGGAGTACCGAGGTGCATGTGGCCTAACCAGACTAAATAGACTGAGGAGGTTCGAGAAGGAGATATGCCTTAAGAAGACCAAGCACCACAATAATGAGACTTGACCACGATTTCTGACGGAAGCGGAATGTGCTTAATTCATTGTTTACCGAGCTAAATACTGTCAAATCAATGCTACCCTACTCCCCGCTTGTTTCAATAGCCCAAGAAATGTTTTGTCCCAACTTCGAAGCTTGTAGCCAGTCCACTAACCTGTCTCTCCATAATCTCGATGAGTGTCTAATCAGGGAACTATAAGACAAGAGCAGGTTTCATATCGTCAGTGCCTAATCCGTTATGCCCTATACAGAAAGATAAGTAACTAATTTGTCTAGTCGAGTCAGCCCTTAACTGTGCGTTGGAACTCGTTCTCAAGAAAGGGCTGGCGGGCTGCCGATTACGCGGAATGAGACATTTGAATCGACTTGGGGCATTATCAGCAATATTTTAGTCAAAATTAGTGCCTGACAAGGGAAGGCGCTTTTTGAGGGTTGGGAAGCTCGGTTGAGGTATCCAGTCTTGCGGAAAGTATTCACACTTTGAGACAAACGTACTCTCTCTGAGTTTCAGAACGCAAAACTCCACACGCTCAAGCTACTGTTACCAGCTGCTCCCGCTAACACAAAAAAAAAAACGCATCTACATATGCATTAGGTAAGGTAATTAAGTAGGTACCTTAAGCTAAGATGACTGCTGTAGGTACAACACTTAGGTTGTCTAAGGTCAGGCAGGTGAGATATTGATATTCAATCCAATAGCCGACCGATAGCTTTTCAATCATAGTTTCTTATACCAAAGAATTGATGCCAATCCTTCACTTTTGAGTTGTTCAGCTGACATGGACTTACTTAAATTCAAAGTTCCATCTCCACGGCCACATGAGTGCCCAACACTTATCTCGTGTGACGTGTTCCAAGTCGTATCGCTCGATACTTCCAGATAATCAATACAAGTGTTCACGCTCATAATTCCCTATTCATTCAATCCGAATTCGTTCCTTGGAGTAGAAGCATGTTGGCACTTGCAGTTGTCTGTTCTCAGAGCCTTACTGCAACTTAATCCAAGAACAGTTATATCACCAACTGTAATGGTAGGTGTCTCTGAGAGCTTAGGAGGGTTTCTCGGAAATTGTTCAATCAGAAGTTTCTCTAGTGATCACCCCTGTCTTAACTTGTTCGTCGTGCGTTGCTGAGTCCAGCCGAGGTGAACAGTTCAATCAGATGCTAACATGAATACAGACAGCAGTCGCCTGAAACAAAGGCAATCCAACTAAAGCTGCTGTCGAGGCCACGTCTAACAGCCCTGCCTGTCCTTTCACTATACCGAGCGATGGGCGAGATAACGAAAGAATATCAGAGCCCCAGAAGTTGTTGGTCACTGTTATACCTCGTTGATTGACTTGTATTGGTGATTGAACTGGTTCTGAGCCCTTGGAGAGCAGAGCTAAGTCTCCAACAAAAAGCAGTCTTTGATACTGCTGCCAATACCATACCTTCGACTGCCTTCCGAGTTCGTGTTGTTAATATCTGAATGACGCTAAGGCTCAAAATGAGAATGCTTGCCATCGATAGTTGTGCTCAAGGCCGAGGAAGCACACTTCAAAATGGATGGTAAGGTCACCTGCATTCAAGAGATTCTAAAGTCATCTCTACATGCGATGGGCAATAGCGTATGATACTAGGTGGAGACAGAGAGCTGCAATTGAAGTGACAAAGATTCCGCGCTGTACAGCAGTCTGGATTGGCAACTTTGCAGTTGGTTTTGACGTTGTCTACGGTAGACTACCACCGAGCGAATTGGCGGTGAGAGTTGATGTGCATGTCGAAGCGAACGCGAGCACGCGAGTCAACTGTAGACTGAAATTTCCCCGCATGCTCGATTGCGACCTCCCGCCAGTGACCAGCGTAAGCGCTTGCCGGTTTGCGCCAGTAATTATTGCCGATCGGACTTCTTGGACAGCTCGCATCGGCTACAGTGACTTCCGAGCTCAGAGTCGCATCAATTCAATGGCGATATTTGCATGCTGAGAACTGGATTCAAATTCGAAAACGAGATGGCGAGGCTAAGGAGTCAGCAAACTCTTGGCTTTCTGTTGCGATGCAGTACTAGGTGTGATCAGCGGGTGAGGGGCTTTCGGCTCGACATGACCGGTCTCGTACTCCGTGAAGATCAGATTTCCGTGCCAACCTCATACTTTGTGAGGCTCTTCGAGACTCTTGGCTGGGCTGTGCATGTTAGAGAACGTCCTTCAATGCGATGACTCTGTCTTGACAATGGCCATAACATGGCGTCATAAATTATTGACAAAAGGAAGATTTTCCATTGGAAACGACAGCTCTTTTAGCCAAGAGATAAAGTGCCACACGATTCAACAGCTTTGCAACATAATCCCGCCCCTGAGTCAAAGCGCGCGCGGGAAACGGTCCTGAGGATGATGAACTGGAGCTTACTCCGCCCGAACGCCGATGAGCAACTAAAAGGAAGCTGGAAACACTTGTTAATCGGGTGGGGTTGCCCCCGCCCCAGGTGATTGCCAACAGGATGTCGCTAGAGGTGACGAGAGGTGTTGACAGGGAAAGATTTGGCGAGGTCGTATCAACCGCACACGTGCTCCGCCTGACCTTCCATCGAAGCTCCTGACATGCCGCCGACGACATAAATGGGAGAACTTACTTGTTTGTCCGTTACCAAATAGGATTTGAAACCCCTCTTTTTGCCTGACTCTTGGCCTGTCTCCCGTGCGAGGAACAGAAGCAAAACCCGTGCCATCTAGACTCTTGTCTGTCATGTACGGCTAAACCTTCCCCTCTTCTCGCAAACTCGTCTGATCCTACCATCATCTCGCTTATTCTTTGCTTGAAAATCCCTCGTTCACCCTGTCTCTACTAAGATTTCTGCCAATCCACAAGCTAGTCTTTGCCTTTCTCGCCTCCTCCTTCCCGTTTTCTGCAAGCTTCACACCTCTAGCTACTCTTGATGATCAACCAGAGCTCCTGTGAATGCTCTCTTAAACTGCCAAGCCTGCATCATGTGCTGTTCGTTGGTTTCTGAGGCTTACCTGGGCCGCATTCCGGCGGGTCATCTCTCCACACACACGGTGCTATGCCTGCTTGTTTAAGCTTGTCAGGACGATTTCCCGGCCCCAATCTACCTAATTCGGGCTTATCAGATGGGATCAGGAATATCGGTTCCTCAGTAATATGTCTCTTGGAGTGTGGCAGTGCTGGTCCGGCCGGGGTTTGAGTTCTTTTGCTTTTGCCGCTCTGTTCGGAAAGTGGAGAGCTATGATGAAGGTGAGGTTGGATGAGCAAGCTTGAAAGAGGTAGCCCGGCGAAAGCTGCCCTTGGAAGAGTATTCATATTCTCTGGGCGCCGCTTATTCGGCACGTCTTGCTTTCGAGCTCGACAGCACTTTCTCTTTTTCTACCGGGCCGTACATGACATCCCTTCATGATGGCTGACAAGTTTCTCAGCCCCAACCCCCCACATGCGGACTCCCGTTCGCGGGCCACAAGCGATGCCGACACTATTGCCCCGGACGGTTCTAATCCCTTTCTCACGCCGTCCGGGACCACCGCTGCCCCCAGTACTGCTGGTGCGAGCCTCGACCTTGAAGATGTTGAATCGTCTTTGAGGCCTGACCCAGGCACGGAACGCGACTTTCACGTGGACAACAACCCATTCGCATTTTCCCCTGGCCAACTCAACAAATTGCTGAACCCCAAGTCCCTTTCAGCGTTCAGGGCGCTCGGCGGGCTCCGAGGTATTGCACGTGGCGTTCAAACCGACGTACGCAGTGGTCTCAGCGTCGACGAAGCAAGCGTCAGATCAAGAATCAGCTTTAATGAAGCAGTCGACAACCACAACGATAGCAAACCGGTTTCACCAACGACAGAGAAGCATGTAACGTCTTCCGGAGCACCGTTCGTGGATCGTACCCGTGTTTACGGTCGCAACGTACTGCCGCCAAAGAAGCCCAAGTCGATCTGGAAGCTGATGTGGATTGCGTTCAACGAAACGGTACTTATTCTCTTGACGGTTGCCGGAGTCATCTCTCTGGCCCTCGGACTATACGAGACACTCGGCGTTGAAAGGCCTGCAGGAGCGCCGGCTTCTGTCGACTGGGTCGAAGGCGTCGCCATCTGCGCTGCGGTCATCATAGTTGTCCTCGTCGGATCCCACAACGATTGGCAGAAGGAGAAGGCATTTGTCAGGCTGAACACCAAGAAGGACGACCGTCAAGTCAAGGTCATTCGTTCCGGGAAATCAGTCATGATCAATGTCAACGAGATCCTTGTAGGCGAGGTGCTCCATCTGGAGCCTGGCGATATGGTG